TCTGTGGGCACTGCATTTTGCATGGCTACTGTAATAAGCAGAGGAAAAGCTGTTTGTGGGTCTATCCTAATTACATACAGTATTAATGTTATTTTCCACCTCCACAGTTTTGGTGATGGCATTAAACATCCCAGTTCTGACACATAATATCACTTGAGCACTTGAGCAACACTTGAGCATCTTCAAAAAAGTAATATCTACAAATGTGCCATTGGAGGCTGGCTGTATTAATTGTCTGTGGCAGAATTCAATGGCAATGCAAACAGAAGAGACATTAAGGTAACCAAATAGCAACTACAGTAATAACTCACTTAACAAGGGGATGTGTTCCAGATAAAGTACTCTATTAGCACTGGAAATCAGTGCTAATAGAGAGAGCTACAGTCTGGGGTCAGTGGAGACCTGTTCCCCAGACTGCTAGCTCATACAGTACATACTGTACAGTATAAACATATTTTTCTGGTATTACTGACATTTCTACCACGGAATATAATTTAGGAATCTGCTTTTATACAGAAAAGAGCTTTATTTTTAAATTACTGGACTGTTACAGGAGACAAACGTGGCCAGGTACCGATACTGTACATTCAGTCAGAACTTGCGTGCCTTCAGCCCTTTAGCTTGGCAGCATTGGGAGACCGACGAGAGGAGCTACAGTACATCTGCCAGGATGGGCCTGGCTGTGGCTCACAGGCATGTTAATAAGCTAAATATGCCAGATCACAGTGAGGCCGTGCACACACAAAGAAGCAGGAGAGCGATTATGAATCACTCTGGCCATACTGTATAGTAAACATACATAATATGGCTCAGTCTCACTCATTGGTTCTAGCTTTCAGCATAAATGGAGAAGGTGCCCCTACTCCTGGAGTGAGTATACTTAGAAGAATGTGCAATTGTTTCTAACAGATTTCATTCTGTAGTATCTAATATGGATAATTACAGATTTTTGTGATTTTAATTATTTATCCAATACATTGTAAAGTTATATGTTGGAATGCAATATCCAATAAAAGTTCACAACTCTAAGGCCCTTATTAAATTTACATAGCAGTATGTCTTCATACAAGTAATTACTGCAAAATCCTATCATTCATTTACAGTATTTTCCTCCGTTGCTATTTTCTTTAGCTTTGAGTGAATTTTCTTTGGTTCTTAGTTTTGAAAATCTAAAACAAAAATGGAAGAACACCTGTGACTATAAATACAGTACAACTACAGATAATAAATCACATCAGGGTGTAAGAAACACAGCTACAGAATCCACGTCCAATATTATCATATCTCAAAGCTTAAGAAAGTTCTCATTGAGGGGTTTTAAAACAATTGTGTCTTCTTTGTCTTCATTGTGTGAATATTATTTCTCAAAAGGTGAGGCTTCCACAGAAACAACTTAATTAAAAGAAACAGTGAGTAGTGCACAATTATTGTCTTATTGAAAAAGGTAATACATATTCTTTGTGTATTTTAAGATAAGTTGTCATTGGAATTCTAAGGAGTTTTAATTAATGGTGGTATTGATTGCTTTCAGACAATATACTGACCTGTTTGTATACTCTACATACAGCAGGTCTAATGTTTTTCAGACAGTATGTTTTTTATGAACAAACTTTTGACACATTTGAAAGAGAACGCTTATATAGTTAAGCTATTATATAAAGCTAAACTGCTTTTAAAATGTTAGAACATGTGATCTGTTTTGATATCTAAGCTTATAGCAGTCAAAACAATTGAAAGCAGGCCATTTTTTACATTTACAATCTTTTTTCATGTACATACAATATTTGGACCTGCATTATCCGGAGGTTTAAATTATTGTATGAAATGTTTTCAAAACCTACCTTAGCTACATCGCTTAGTATGTTAAAATCCCCCCCAAAGTCATGTTAGGAATTGGAACAAGACTTACATTAAATAAAAGAAAAAAAAAACAAAGGGCATCAATAAAAATATAATACAATCTAATTTTACAACAATTACATATTAATACTTCGGATTCTGGCGAACAAATTCTTACAAATATATTTTTAAAATTCTTATCTTGTCTACTTTAAAGAGATTTTCAGAAAGATGAATAGCTTTCTATTGAAAATTATCATCAAAAAGTCTGATATTAAGAGTACAATCCATAAGTGATCTAATGCTTTAACTGTATGTTCAAGAACGCAATTCATTCAGTGAATTCAAATGTACTTTTTTCCCTCAATATTGTTTGTCCATTAGTGTTGCCATCATTAATGCGAGGCCTTTATGTGCTTGTGATAAACAGCAAGAGTTCTCTTGCAGCAGGGTGTTATCACGAGAAATGTAATGACATAGCTTTGGGATTACTTTAGGGAATGCCTCTCATCTCCATTCTATCAACACATCCTTTCCCATGAGGGGAGAACTCTCCTGCAGTGCCTGTGTGTGTGTGCTCAGGCTGACCACACCTCTGAAGGTGCAGTGCAGACTAGTGTTGTATTACTGCGTTGCTCAGCATATCATTGGCTACCGCCTTCCTGCCTGTGGCTGCAGGCTTCTGCTTCTGTATGCCAGGGCTGATTGCAGTACACTCTGTTCTGCAATGGTCGCTGCATTTTAATGAAGGTACTTGAGACTAGAGTTTTTGTGTTTCACGTTTTGAAAAGCTTGTGCATAACATAAACTCAGGTCACTGCACCAGTCTCTGGCTTTATTTAAAATGCACATATCATAGTAATGGTAGGTGATTCAAAGCTTTTACATAAGGACAAACTGTATGCAAACGAATAAAAATAGGAATGTGCTCCAATAATGCTTTACAGTACATTTAAAATCTAAGTTTCTGTTTTGGAACTAAATATTATATCCTACTATATATCATACTGTACACATGTTATGTACTGTAGCTCTATTTACTGTATATAAGCAATGGTGATAGATGTCAGTGACTGTGAATGCTGCATTAGTATTATTACTGCTGAGCTTTTCAACCTTTCAAATATAGTATGCAAAATTTTGAAGACAGATGCACTCTGTATGGTGTTTTCTGCAGACCATTATAAGATTAAAAACTAACATGATACCTCGTGTAACAAGGAACATGTAACACGCTAAGCATTCAGTCTTGGCTCTGGACTCAGCGATACGGCTGTGCCCAATCATCCAAATCTGGGTAAACAATTGTGATTTCAAAACTCGGTACATGCACAGCTGCTCTTCTTTGTCTGACTGGCCCTGGCTTGTTGAGCCAATCGATAACTGTTCCCCCGCTGGGGCTTTGCAGTCTGAATTAAAATGTTCTTGGATGGGTAACTGACAAACCAGCTGTAACAGCAAAGGTCTCTTATTCAACAGAGTATTCTTGCACTTCTGCCATTGTCTGCTCTAGAGGAACCCGAGATGCTGTTTCAGCAAACCTGGCCATGATGATAAGGCGAATTGAACTATGACTAGACAGCTATACTCCCATCACAGAAATGCAGTTTTTGAAGGTCATCTAAAACAGGGCACTCAGAAAAGAAGCCATCTTACCAGTATATTGTTCAATTATTTTATTACACAGCAAACAGAATCATAGGGTGAGTTTATTTGTAAATCTGTTCACAAAATGCCTGATATATTTGATGTGTAGGTATACATGATTAAAATTCATAAATGCTAACTAAACTGGGGTGGGAAGATTTTTCAGCAATTGGTAATTCCATTCAAGACACACCTTTGCATTTAGAGGTATGGAAAACTAAAACTTGGGCTAGATCCTCACAAAATTGGTGAAGCTGACTATGGAACCCTCTAAACAAGCACCTACTAGGAGAAGGATCAAATACATTCCTCTCATGTGTTCCACGCTTTTTTAACTTATTAACTGAAGGCCGGGAGAGATGACAACGACAAGTCAGTCTCACTCAGATGCACTTAATCACCATATTATGAAATTGGCTATATACTGTATACCAATATACTGTATTAAACTTAAATACCTTCTTTTACATCCATCTCAAGTATCCCTCCTCCCCCCCCATCTCCACCTTGCAGCTACCCCTTGGTTCACTTCTCTTTGAATGGGGTTGGAGCCTCCTCATCTTATGGCGGGGGGCTGCCCATTGACCCAGTAGGAATAAGCCAAACCTCTCTTATTAAGTTTTGCAAGCACTCACAAAGCATTCAGTCCTTGGATGCTGTTGTCCTTAGTGACATGCAGTCGGTCAACACAATACTGGTTGGTAAAAAGCAGAGGACGGACTCGGCCCTTAACGATACCACATGTTCTGGCAAGACAAGAACAGAATTGCCCCAGTGAGCCTCACCCATCACCCAGTTGTGTGCTGCCACCTGTGAGCCTCCAGCCACAGTTATTGGAAATCTCTGGAATACAGGACTCTTTGTCACCAGGAACTGAGTTTCTTTTGCTTCAGATGAGCCACTCAGGATTTATTGCATATTGTGCTTCTTTTATAGGCTAAATGAATTCAGCATTATTCTTCTATTAACAAAATGCACGCTAACATTGTTTTGTTTAAGATGTGGTTATTCACATAAAATAAAATGATGAGATTCTAATCCTCTTGCTCTTATTCATTTATTGCTTGTAACTTTCAGTGTGTTAGACAGGTTTATAGCTTACAGCGGTTATTCAATTATTGGAATGATTACTCACTGCAACTTTTACAATAAATCAGTGGTGAAAGTGTGGATAGTACACTTAAATTTAATATTTTTTTGCCCAAAAATGCCACTGTATCTTTAAAAAGTGTGTGAATGACCAATTGAGAAATAACTAAAGATATGCCAAGGACTAAAGATATGCCAAAAGATATGCCAAAGCTATAATCCAGATAGAATATAGCTCAGAGGAAACTGTGTGGTTGTGTTCTGAACTTTGTGTTTGCTTTGTGTTTGAAACTATCTATGTCTGATGATTGATTCAAGCCCAGCTTACGTTCAATATGACTTCATGGTACGTTCTATACATTCTGCACTGCTTTATGCTGAAGATAGGCTGGACAGTTCTTACCTTCACTTTCTCTCTTTTACAGTCTGACAGCAACACGAGTTTCCTGCGAGCAGCCCGGGCTGGAAACATTGACAAAGTGCTGGAGTATCTCAAAGGAGGAGTAGACATCAGCACTTGTAACCAGGTAAGGACCACAGTATCCAGTGCTAGATTTTCTGGTCTGTTTTACAGTATATGCTTTTTCTGCTGTCCATGTTCACATACATTACAGAATGTTGCTGGTATAAAAAAAGAAAACATGTTTCAGTTTCTTTCAATCCTAATGCATGCTGCATTTTGAATGCCTAATACGCATTAAATGTGGCTTGCTGAAATGTCCTGAAAAAAATAATCTTAAGAGTGAGGAGAATCGATGCCTATACAATGCATTAAGGTAGCTTTAAGGAGAGGAGCAAAGAAAAAAGTGGCAATTTTGTTTCTTTTCTTTTTATTAGATGTAATCTGCATTTCTGTAGAAGTAGTCGAGATGTCATACAAACTCTCATTCCTCTGCTATTTTAAGATTAAATCAGTCCAAGGAGGATGATGGAGAGCCCTTGCCTTGACTTTGTTGTAAGGTGTAGGCTGCAGTCTCCCCCCACATCCCCTTTTCCTCTCTCTGCTGGACCTGTGGCCATGCTGTGAATCGCTCACATTGTGACACAATGCTAATTGCAGTTCAAGGTTGCAGCCACTGCCAAAACCTGATCAACATTTTGCACTTCAAGTCTTTGCAACTGAATAGTCCAAGTATCCCTTTCTTGGCAGCACTAGGCGTGTACAAGATTGTTTAAATTCACAAGGTGCTGCTGATGTAGGCTATCGGGTGTCTCCTCTGTCCCTGCCTGGTTCCTTCAAGGCGTCCGTGACACCAAAGTCCTCTGCAGAGTGTGCAGAAGTCTGGCTCAACAAGCTCGTGTACCGAATCAACAAGACGTGCCTGTCTGCTCTCCTAGTGTTGACTCAGGGATGGAAAAAAACCCTTCTGCTAGTCACTCCCGCCTTCGTCACTATATTCTGTAATGTGGGGGCCAACAGAATTTGTAATTGAAGAACTGTGACCTTTATTCTTTGACAAGTACCAAAGATCATTGAAGTCACACGTATTGGAGTCTTGTTGAGACACTACAAGAAAATAAAATAGATGTTTTTATCTTGTTTTTATCATAAAAGAAAATTATTCATCTGGTATAAATGCCACATAGGCTTCAGCAGATATTATCCTATCCATCTTGTGGCTTCTGAAAGTATTTCTCTACTGCTTTTACAAGGTATCAGATGCTTATGGGTTAATCTTCCTAATTATGGTCACATAAGGTATTTGCCAGTGTGACTGGGAATTGGTAACACCATCTCCTTATATTGACAAGATATCAGGACTTGCTTCTGAGTAGTTTCTCAGTTGTTTATTGGTCTCAAGCGGGCATAATTAGCTCTATGTCTAATAAAGATCTAGAGGTGTAGTATTTAAGTTTTTTTCACTTGGATATCCACATATAAAATCAGAATTTTGTATGAATAATACCCAGGGTCAAGGACAAGCACTATAAATACAGTAAGTAGCCATTTTGCTGCTATTGTAATTGGACCAGAGGAGCATTACTGTAGAGATTGTATGAGTGCTTACCTGTTGTTGTGGTACAGTACATGACCAGCATGGGCCAAGTCTGCAACAGGGAGCTGAAGTGAATGCTTGATACATAAAGGGATTTCAGTTGTCAGCCTGTCCACAACAAGTTCAGAGTTCAGATGATGCTGAAGGGCTGGTGGACAAGAGGCCCAGGGAGACCTCAGCTACGTGTGACTGTCTGAAGATGTGACGTGCTGCATTACTGCCTGCTGTTTATGTTCATGATGTTTTTGCATACAGTATATACTCAAAATGCACCACATACTGTACTGTTCTAACATTATCTAGAGGGTTCTTAAAGAAGGGAGTAATAATACTCGTCTACAGCTTATTGAGGAGAACCTTAACCAGAGGTTTGATGGATGCTGAGAGAGGCCACACTGAAATGAAATACTGACTGATTGCCTTTCAAAATGGAAACTAATGCACTTCATGAAAGACTTATGAAACACATGTCCATTTAGGGGGTTTTGACAATAAGGAATCAAAGTACTTTCAGCCTGTTCATCATACATGTCATCCTTTTTCTTGGAGCTAAATGCTCAGTGACTATATATCCATAATAACGCCATCTCCTGGTTGAATGCAGGACATAAAGGTATATGGTCCTGTATTCCTGTGTACAGCAACCTTCTGTACAATCAACATGCTAAGAGTAAGCATATTTAATACTGAATGTTTTACTTACATTTACATTTACTTACAAAAAGTATTCAATGGAAAAGTGTGTGTAGGGGTATCTTTGTCTCCCCCCTTTTTTGCCATCCCCACTCAGATTTTTTATCTTCAGACACCATGTGCCAGGAGAGAGGAAGTTTGACAGTTTTCAGATTTTACACATTTCACATCATTTCACATTGGTGCCATCAATGTGTGGGGGTCACTTAAACTGATCATCTAATCCTCCTGATGGCCAAGCACTGTAGCACGGCAGCTGCTCTAAGGAGGATAATAAAAATTATAATCTTGCAACTGGGGCTCCAACCTATTAACCATTCACACCTGCTCTCAATCCAGAATCCGCTGTGCCTTTTTTGCGCCTTTCCAGGATGTGAGCTCACATGTACTTCACTCTATAAGAGATTGCAACTACAGTCCCCAGTTTGTGATGTATTGGCCACCCTATCTCTCACAGAAAGAACATCAGGTGAAAATAATGACCTAATCGTCAACCAGTAACAAAAACACTGTGGTTATCTTTGCAATGAAAGGTAACAAAGTAGCAATGTTTATAATGTTTTAACTGAGTTTGTAGATACAGCCACAACCTTTGAAGTGGATATGGCTGTATTTGTCCTACATGTACTGTAGCGTCTTTTAATTTTCACTTGCGATTTGATGTCTGGTGCAGAGGTGCATAGCATATTTTTTTTCGTGCATCAGTTACATAGGAGAGTGAGTGATCTCATTATTGACTGTATGAGAACATTTATATATGTTAAGATAAGATCACTTTATAGGCCATACAGTATACAATTTCTTGTATTAGGAATTTGTATTTTCGCGTACCCCAATTTGCTGTCCATGAGACACACAGACAGGGAGAGAAACTTGGGGTCAGAGCACAAGGTCAACCATTTATACAGCACTCCTGGAGCAGTTGGGGTGAAGGGCCTTGCTCATGGGCTTCCTCTGCCAGCCGCGGGATTCGAACCGGCAACCTTCCAGCCACAGACGCAGATCCTAAGCCACAGAGCCACCACACCGCCCATTATTACATTATTTTACAGATACAGTGATGTTAATATTTCTGTTAATGTTTCTCCCCAACATTCTCCTACTGTATGTGTTCCTGTATTTTTGGCTTACACCTTTGTGCTTCTCTTCCAGAATGGACTCAATGCATTACACCTGGCAGCCAAGGAGGGCCATGTGGACCTGGTTCAGGAGCTGCTAGGCAGAGGCTCAGCAGTTGATTCAGCTACCAAGGTGACCTTTTGAAATATAGCCACCACTTCAAGAAAATACTTTCCCCACTTCGAACAATTTTCTTTGGTGTACACTTTATTCTCCCACGCGGTCATTTTTGACAGATTTTGAGAATACTTGGAATTAGACACATTGATACGGTATCAGGATTTATTAAGATTCTGGTGTAACAGTTCTCTGTAAGATTTACTATATCTTATACAAGAACACAAGAACAAACATGTAACAAAACAGGGACAATCCTCTTACCAAACCAAGTGTACTCAGATGTACTGTACCGTATGTTACTTTATTCTCTCGCTGGCCCTTTAAATTATCCAAGACAGACTAGGGTAATGTGAGCTGGTTCTTTCATAATCTGTGTCAGTGAAAACCTTCTTAAAGAATCTCAGCAATCCTAAACTTCTGTCGAAAGAACTACCGCTCCCTTCTATCAGCTCTTGGGCTTCAGTCTCTGTTTCACTATTAAGAGGAGACTTGGCTCGTAAGTGACTCAAAAACATTTTTTTTTTGCCCCTTGTCAGAATATGTGATAGTTTGCTAGCTAAAATAGAGATATTGACCCTGTGGTAAATGCATGTCCCAAATTAAAACTGAAAATTAAAACTGAAAGGTGACTCATTTCACTCATGTCATGTGAAAAAGATACCCGAGTCGCATTTTGAGGGCCCACGACATCTGAGCAGTGGATAAGTAGTTAACAAATCTCTATATCTCAGTGTCTCATCGATCAGTTTTGCTTAACCACAGTGTCTTAACCTACAGTGTCTCTTCTGAAACACTTGTGTAGTACAGTACTACACAAGTGTAGAATATTGCTGTTAATGAGTAAAAACGGTTACAAAAGGTGGTTGTTAGTGGTAACAGACCTTGAACAGAGGTTACAAGTTCTGAGCCAAAATCTTCATGTGGGGTAAAGCGGACATATTACCTTGCTCGGGATTCTCTGACAAGCGGGACAATCTTTATTATTTCATTAAAAAAATTGTTTGAGTCAGGACTGACTTTAATTTTCTATGCTTTGTTTAGGGGAGAAATAAACAGACAAGAGCTTAAAAAGGCTTATTTAATAACTTTTTAAATGCAGCTAACATACAGTTTACTAATGTTACTAATATTGTACAGTATACTAATGTTGAAGGCACAAAGCACAGATACTGTACTAATATTCACAGGTCAGTAGTTACATCTGGAGTCATCAGAACTTACCATCTTATATAAGGCCTCCTCCACAATATCCATAACATTCACCACCCCCATAAATAGACATAAATCTTCATGAAGTTAGATAAGAATACTTAAAAAAAACATCTAAACCTTCACAGGTGACCCTTCCCTCTAAACCGATGCTAAATAACAGACATCCTTTGATTCCTAACTAAAAGGCATCCAAATACATGACAGTGACAAATGCTGTCTGGCAAATTTAAAATGGAAGCTTAAATCATTCTACCAGTATGAAAACTATAGTCCATTTCCCCTAATTCAGTTTAAAACTCTTCACTGCCTAATACCTGATAGGTTTCATTTAATCAGGGAGGAATCTAGTGTTGAAAACGGCTACAGACTACAGACTGTATACTCTCTTGCTTTCCTGGTGTGTTTTCTTACTCAAGCTATACAGTATGTTATCTTTTTCTACATAGCCCATGATCACTTGTGTTGATGGTCATTTTATTGTCAGCCCAATCAGTGGTCCACCCATCTCTTCTCCACTCAGATTTCGACCGTGTATCTGCCTGTGCAAGAAGTGCAAACAACTCAATATTTCTTTTATCTAGCAATTTCTGGTGCCTGGAGATGGAAGGACTGATTAATGAAAGATTTGTTTTTTAAACCGCAAGCTATAATAGTTTTTTTCCTGTTTTGTGTGACAGAAAGGAAACACTGCCCTCCATATTGCATCCTTGGCAGGACAAGGAGAAGTTGTCAAAATTCTGGTGAAGCATGGGGCCGATGTCAATACACAGTCTCAGGTGAGTCTCAGGGGTACATTCTTGGCTCCAATGCACTTGTTTTGCAAAATCACAACCTCTAGAAAAGTTGACTGATTCATTATTTTAGAAGTACTGTCATAATTGAAGATATGTATTAGAAGAAATAAAGTGGATGGGAAGTACAAGTAAAACTAAGAACTTAACAAAGAAGCTACACTGGGTGATATACTTAGAAAATTACAAAATTACATAACTAAGTAAGGAAGCAAAAACACATGAGCCTGATGGAACAAATGACCTCCTTACGTTTGTAAACCTAGCGTTTGAAGTGTTAAAAATAATTTTGAAAGTTTTGTAAATACCTTAGTAAAAGGAAGGTGACGAAATCTCTCACTGAAATGGACAAAATCTTCAAAAGTACTTTACAGGCAAACCAGTGTCACTACTTATATTATGTTTGTTTAATTTGATAGAAGATATACTGAGGTGTGTAGACCAATATTAATAATCCGCCCTAGATTAGTGGCAGAATCCAGGAGAAATGAATCACTGCTCTCATCTCAGCAGTTGTAAAGCAGAATCATCTCAGTGTGTTTTGCAAGGGTTTATATTTTGGAACTCATGAATAAAGTGTGCATTGTAAATGATGATTTCCCTTTACACTTCTTTTAGATCATAAGAGTTTCAAATTTTCTGTACGCATGACTTTACATGCACCAGATCTTATGCTATTGTCTGGCATTTGCTGATCGTTTTAAATTGTTGCTTTAATGTTACCTAAACGTACTCAGTACTGATCACTAGGGGATCCAATCTGTTCTGTTTGCAGAATGGCTTCACTCCTCTGTACATGGCAGCCCAGGAGAATCACCTGGATGTTGTTCGGTACCTGCTTGAAAACGGAGGGAACCAGAGCACTGCCACAGAGGTTTGTGTGATTCAAAGCGCTGCATGAAGTTTCCCTAGACCTCACACATGCAGGTTAACTTTCAAGCCTTTCAGCTCAAGCACAGAATTTGACTAACCTTTTCTATATGATAAGTAAACTGTAGCCAAATGTGTTTAAGGGAAAACAAACTGTTACTGTTTTCCATTCCTGCATTATCTTTTTTGCTGTTAAATGAAGTAAATGTTGCTGCAGAGAAAGCATTGAAAATGACCTGTGTGGTGAGGTGTAAGAGCAAATCTTTCATTTAGAATTGCCACTTATAGGTTTCAGGTGAAAACACATATTTTATAATGAAAAAAATTATAAAAATTATAAAACTGCACTGTGTTTTATCATACAGAACAATATGTTGTTGGAAGCTTCAAGATTTGTTTTATAATATGTGGTCCTTGAAGTTCGTTATTGAAAAGCAGAATACACGTGTTGCTTTAAAAAAAATAAAATTACTTTTATTCAGTTCTGAAACAGAGAAACCAAACTCAAATTGTATTTCTAAAGAGGCACTTTTTTAACTGAACAAAATAGTGCATCGTTTGACCCGTGATGACTTGAAGTGATGGATATGAGCTAGTATTCTGTCTGGCAGTGAAAAAAAAAAGTGCCACCAGCTCTAATTTAGTCTCAGATTTCACGGACTGTACTAAATCAGGAAATCAATGATGAGCAAATCAGTGGAGACTAAAATAAAAACATTTGTTCAGCCGTCAAAGAACTGTACAGGTTCTAGCTGCGTGCAAGTGAAATGGATGACTGAAAAAGGATACATACAGCAGTTTGCTTTCAGTTAAATCCTTCGTAAAACTTGGAGTCATGAATTTGGCGTGAAACATACTATTACAGTCCATAAGAAGATACATGCTTACATCCCTTAATTAATTAATTAATTAATTAATTAATTAATTAATGTAATAAATCACACTTACTGTACATGAGAAAACGTTACAGCATTCTGCTGATTGAAAATATTATAACTCCATAGTCTTTATTTCCCCTCAAGCCATGGTCTGATGGTTTATTTTTACAGCAGCACAAGAGCTAAAAAGTGCATTGACACTCAAAATGTGGGCTGCGTTATAGCCCTGATACATGTTTTTTTATTACACTGCACAATGCACCAAAACCAGTACTATAAGAACATGACGCAACCAATCCACAACAGAGGAATTAATATTTAAAGCTGCACATTTTCACTGAGCGCCATTAATTCTGAAAGCCGATTAGCGTTGGTTCATTACTGATTATAGACCCATGAAAATCAAATGGACACAGTCATATATTCTCGTGTTTTTTTTCAATCTTATCTCAAGTCAGATGGAAATCTTCTCCTTATTGTTAACAATAATTAGCACTAACCAGGGCCTGTGGATTCAGTGCCCAAATTGGTGGCAGAACATCATTCTCCTAGTTACAAGAAGTAAATGCATATCATTCCCTTTAATAAAAGCAGTTCTTGGAAGTAGCTACCACCCTGATACAATGATGTGAGCATCAACCTGGCCCAGGACTAAAGATTACTTCATGGCCTCCTCCACTCCCTCCCTTTAAGGGGATGAGGTGGATTATGCTCTTTCCTTCCTCCATAAAAATAACTGAACCCTTAGTTATTTTTTTCTCACGTAAAGCATTATCCACCACACAATCACAGATGCCCAGCAAAAAGAAAACAAATAAGGAAGGCAAAGAAGAAAACCCCCCTAGACACCTCTCACACTTCTGTGTCATTGGTTCCAATGTGATACGAACATTGTAATCCCAACGACACCCTTTTCCTTTGTCTTAACAAATTCCTATTTGAGGGGCGAAGGGCAAATGCTGTTGACCAGTGATGTTCTGAGGCAGGTGGGCTGGCCAGTCTGTGCGTTGGCGCGCGCTGAGGCCTGCTTTCGCGGCCCCTGGTCCTTGCTGCTCGGGCGGAGCTCTGCCAGGCTTGTGCCTAATGGCCGTGTGTAAATGTTTAGGATGGCTTCACCCCGCTGGCGATCGCGCTGCAGCAGGGCCACAATCAGGTGGTGTCCCTCCTCCTGGAGAATGACACCAAGGGAAAGGTGAGGCTGCCTGCCTTGCACATTGCTGCTCGCAAAGACGACACCAAGTCTGCTGCCCTGCTTTTGCAGAACGACCACAACGCCGATGTCCAGTCCAAGGTGAGTTCAAATTGAGAGCAGCCCCTCATCCCCACCCCCCTGAAGCACCTACCGCCTGCTGTACCCTTTATTACTGCCTTGGTTGGTCATTTGAGCAGTGGGAATTCGCCCTTAACCACTATCCACTAGGTCTTTACACTGTGTGTGTATCTTCCAAGCAACCCTTTCAAGGGCTGTGGCGTTTTTTAAATACAAGCAGGTCTTTATGAATTATTAGCTGTCCGAATGATGCTTAGTTTGGCATGACGTAGAAGTAGAAGCCTCTTCAGTTCTGCTTTCTAGTAATGTGAAATGGCCTCAAACTAATAATGTATCGATTATTTTGGGCATTAATATTAATTAGCTCTTGCTGTCTCTCAGTGCTGAGGTAAATATAGCTGTTTTTAAGAGGCTTCAAATTTCATAATTTGCATATATAAAGTCAAAGTTAGCAGCCAGAGATAACTGTTTCACACTTATTAAGATTCACCAGTGTGACATTACTTAACTGTGCCCATTTAAATGGTTTACTATGTATCTTCATATACTGTAGATGTATGTCTGTCACTGGTCAAAGTCAGCTGTGCCACACTGAGGAGATGTAATGAATAGTGAAACAGCTGCAGCCGCCTTTGACTTTTTATGTGCAAAAAGGCAGAAAAAAAGTTTGTTTTTTTCCTGTAGCTTTGTGATTGGACAAGAGCTAATTAATATTCAAGCCATAATGCATTGTCATCTGTCTAAACTAAAAAAAACAGCTTTTATTACTTTGTTTTTCCATCCATATAAAATTTATCTAACTCCATTACCACACGGTAGCGTGGAAGAGTGGGCTGGCTGAACTGTGGGATATTGCACTCACCCAGTTTGTATTATCAGAGTATGGGGTGTGACTAGTGTGGAGTTCTCTCAGAACCTTCCCTCTATTTTTAAAGTAGTCATTTTTTTTTGTCACTCTATTATTGATAAACATTTTTTCAACTAAATTAAAACAACTTCACCATAATGTAGATGGTGCATAATATCAGTCCACTGATATTAAGATCAGTTATCTGATTTCATTATAATCTCTGTGGATAATTGTATTTTATATATCGTAACTAAATCATGCATATATGTCATGTTTTTTTCCCTTCTAAGCTTTTATCACATTTGAAGCCTTTTCTTTCTCATGCACTGTATGCATAAGATAATGGTGATAACTTTCAAGTCACAGAAGTGGAAAATTTCCAAAGATAACACCACTCTACTGACACCACTGGAATGCCAGTGATGAGCCACTGCATTAATTTCTGTGTGTGATAACAAAATCTTCCCTTCCTTACTGTTGCTGCTCCAGATGATGGTTAATAGGACAACCGAGGTATATATAACAATATATTAATATATATAGAACATGTTTGCCATAGAGAGTTTTTATTTAGGTATGCTAGGAACACTTTTTTTTTTCAATTTTTCAGTGTTGCATGCTGTGCTTTTAGAATATGTCAGCAATTGTGTTTTTTGTTTTACATGCATGGCTGCTATTACTAGTTATTTTCCCAGAACCTATACCCACCTGTTCTTTGTAAAATAGGCATTTTTTCTTCCTTTAAATTTTTTTTAGATTTTAAATACTGCAAATAGAGTTGGGTTTCTGGAGTTTTGTTGATGTTACAGATCATGCTGTGACTTACAGTATGTGCAGTTCAATGAAAAACATTATTTGAATAACAACATACCATGAAAACCCACTATTTTAAAGGCGAATCTGCAATCTTATTTCGATTAATGAAATAAATATTAGAAATATTTGCAGGTTGTGCTCAAGGCGATTTCATTGCCTTGCTCATTTTGCCAAAATTCTCCTTTGCATGCCACTAAATTTGTTTAATAATACTGTACAGTAGAGGTATTTCAGTCAAATAATAAACAAATCCTTTTTTATCACATTACTTATGATTTCAAAGAAAAAGAAATGAACATTTCCTAATTTGTGACACAACATACAAACATGCATTTGCTAAAACTTCAAACATCATTATTAATTTTGAGTTTGCAATGCATTGATCCAGAAGGTACTATTACAGAACATAAAGTAGCAGTGAAATGCATTTTTTGCCTACTGTATATACAGTAAATACTAATAGACTTAGTACACATTATGGCAGTGTTGCTACCTGCAGTGCTGGGATCTATAGCCCTGGGCCTGGAGAGCCCTGATGTCGGCAGTCATTTTGAATCATCTGTGTTTCTAAAGATTAGGAACACTTTACTGGACATGTTAAGGAACACGTTATTAACCAATTAACAGCTGGCCATAAGACCTAGTGGACAGCGGCTCTGCAGGATCATGGGTAGGGACTCTGTATAGAGATAAAATCCATGTTCAAAATGAAGGGACCCAAGTGGTACCACATAGACTGAAGAGGATGGGCGGGTATCTCATTTTAACAGTATACTTATCTCAAAAAAATATATCTCTTAATAAATCTTAATAACAATTAATCCCAGCAGAACATCAGACCTGGATGATGCACTTGCCAAAACTCAGTTTAAAATATTTAGTCCGTCATGGTGAGCATTCATTCACTCAGACTCAGGCATGAAAAGGGCCAGTCTCGATGTACAGTAAAAGAAATAAAGCACTGTGGACATGGGTGCAGAATCATGCACTTCAATAGGAATTAGTTGACAGCCAGAATGATGCTGACAATGCTAATCAGCATTGCAGACCTGGAAGCTAATCGCAAGGTAAAGTCAAGGACACCAAATAACCATTTAATCAATTTTAATCACTGCTACTTGAGTGAATTCATTCTCTCTTCATGTATCATGTATACAGAAGTGGTGGTTCATGTTGTATTGTATATACTGTGCTTGGAATAAAATACTATACAGCACTTGCAAGTGAATATGATTGCAGTGGACACTAATGCAGACTGTGAATTCGGGTATTTATTCTAGAGTGTGATGAGGAGGAAAATTGGGGAACATTAATGAGTGTGTAAACCAGGTCCAAATGTTGTATGATGTGTACATTCTTATAAAAAAACAGAAAATCTATGCACGGCATCTGTATTACTGGTACAATGCAGGAATACCCTAAACACATAATAGCACAGATGCCTGCACACAGAAAATTAAGTTTTGTTTATTGGAGATATGGTATTTTGAGATAAATACGTTATAATGACATGCACTCCAGACTAGTTTTACTCTATTATGGCACTTCCATAAATAATAGAACAATGTGCATAGAAATACAAATAAAAAACAAATATTAATTTGCCAGCTGTTCTAAAGTGGTATGACATCTCTAATTAGACAAATACATATGTTTGCATCAATAAAACTAATGGAAACAAAACATAACCTTTATACTTTATCACCTGAATGCAAAATAAAACATCTTTCTCTAAATGCTGGTATAGGTATTTTATTCTTTTTAACTAAATGTCTCTGAGTTAAATCTTTTCTGCTGTGAATGTAATCTAACAATGTTTCTCAATAAGTAGCAGTGTTATTAAATATCTGTATGACTTGCAAAAGCTGTTCATAAGAATACAGAAGGCAGTATGGGTCATCTATGAAAGGTACAGTAAATACCAGGTTAATATTAATAGTTTTAAGAATTATTCATAGATTGGACTGTATTATTTAACACTGTAAATGCAAATGTATCTGAATCAGATGTTTTTAGAACTCTTAAAGCATTTTGAGAAGAGACTGACAGCCTGACAGCATGTGTCCAGAATTTCTGTTGCATCATTGCCAGCATTAAATGTATAATTTTTTACCATTTCATAGTCACGATAATCTTCACAATTTTGTAAATAATGTTTTCATATTAAATCGGACCATGTCTAACAGAATGGAAAGGTAAGGCAAGCATTTCAAGTACTAAATTGCTCTGCAATATAAGTTTTCATATCCCTAACTTAATACATGATATGACGTATGGTGGCATAGTGCACTTATGTTTTGATTAAATGGTTAATTGGTTAATTTTAATTTATTTTTTCCTTCTCCTGTATTTGTATTAACAAACCCTTGTGTATCCTTTCTGTAGATATTAGCTATTCATCAGTTCATTTTTTGTTTTTTTTATTCCATCATTACAGTACGTGTACAGACTGGATGTGTTTATTTTTCTAGGTTTACAGTGTGTTGCATGGGAGCGTTTATGTATGCGTTTGATTTCTAAACTCCTGGGTTTTCTCAGTTTTTCTTTTGAGAAGATTTTTGTTTTGGTTTTTATCCCGTGATGGTACATGTGATTGCTAAATTGCTGCATGAGGGGGAAAAGTGATTTTGAGTGGGAGTTTTCTGGAGCCAGCGCTAACAGGCTTTCCTCTTTGTTTTACAGAGTGGATTCACCCCCTTGCACATTGCGGCCCACTATGGGAATGTCAATGTTGCTACTCTTCTCCTGAACCGTGGAGCTGCAGTCGACTTCACGGCCAGGGTATGTCTCCGCCAACCTTGTGTGCCGTGTCCTTGAGCAGACGCCATACTCGGGCCTTGAGGGCATCAAACAGGGAAATTAACGAACGCGTCCATGAAGGAAAATGGCGTTTCAGGTTAAACTGTCAGTGGATAGTTCTTGGACAGTTTTACCTTGTGCTTGAAAAAAAAAAGAATTGTAGTTATTATGACTTTGAGAGCAGTCATTTAGAAAGCTCAAACTGGAAATCAGGTCGCTTTTAAGAAGTGCTCTTCTATTTGTCTGATCGAAAACATTTTCAATTTGTCATGTCCACTAACTCTGCAGGTGCCGGGATTTAGAACTAAAAAAATTATTATTTGCACACCAATTTAATACTAATTAATCTTAATACAGGGGAACACTGGTATTATGCCTGTACTCTAATTTTAATATAATTTAAATATGTATTTTTCTGAAGTACTTATATGGAGCTAAGCATATTAAAGAATAGTAATCAGTGTGCCATTTGTTGGAAGTTATGAAACATGAAAACCAGAAAAGAAATACAATTAAGGATGGCCTCTGACAACAACTCTTTTATTGCCCCGATCTGCTGTGAAATGCTTTTGGATTACACTTTAGGTTGGACAGGAGCCACACCTTGACATTTGCAAGGCACAACATCAATAATAACGATAACAATAATAATAACGTTCTTGGGCAGAAAGATGTCCACAGTATTATACTAGGCCAACGATGTAGATGCGTTGTGGTCTAATAGAGTCATCTTCTGAGCAGGTGACATTTTCTAAAATGTGCCTCTTGACCCTGCTGTGGAGAGACAGAGACTGTTTGTCTTGTAGAATGGCATCACACCCCTGCATGTTGCTTCCAAACGAGGGAACACTAACATGGTGCGTCTTCTTCTGGACCGAGGGGCGCAGATTGATGCCAAAACCCGGGTGAGTCTCCATTTCCTCTACAACAACAGTAATGAAATATAAGGAGAGTGAATTTTGTATTTCTTTTATTTTCCTCTGAAGTGTTATGTAATGTATTAGGACTATAATGTCTTCAGATATAGCAGAAAGGTGCATAATAATAATAATTCCTTAAACTTATATAGTGCTTTTCTGGACACTCCACTCAAAGCGTTTTACAGGTAATGGGGACTCCCCTCCAACACCACCAGTGTGATGATGCGACGGTAGCCATAGTGCGCCAGAACGCTCACCACACACCAGCTATCAGTGGGGAGTAGAACAGAATAATGAAGTCAATTCATAGATGGGGATTATTAGGAGGCCTTGGTTGGTAAGGGCCAATGGGAAATTTAGCAACAACTGTTAAGAAACCTCAACATGTCATGGTTTCTTTAGCCTTAGACAAAATTTCACGGAGAGCTATTAAAAGACTTTGAAAGAAAGGTGGAAACAAAATCATCAGTGCAGATGTGAAAGTACTAATACAGTAGAATCAGACCTGAATAGTTTCCGATAATGGCCATAAGTGTGGAATTCCTAATGTAAGATTCAGGCACTGATGACAAAAAGTAGATTTCAACGTTTGCCTCTATTTAGACTCATAGTCAGAATAGCACACAACTCTCATGCAGGGAGGTCATCTCCATAAAATAGTCTTCATTGCTTTACATTTTAGTGATGGTAATACTGTATATTTTATTCCTTCTCTTTGATCCACCACAACAGATGTGTTAATCACCTTCCCTAAACTTAATTGAATAGTCACTGTCAGGCTCGACTGCTGCACCTTAGTGATTGTGCTATGCAAGTCCCAGATATGAAATTATTTGTTTCATAACATTCTGTGTAGCAACAAATCCAGGCACATGTGGCTCCATGGCAAATGGCAGATAATTACCGTAGGCTTAAGCTTTAGCCTCTATATAATTCATCTATATTTGTTGAATTGTGCTTGGGATGTTTTTTCTTTTCTTGTGCTACAGGATGGACTCACACCTCTGCACTGTGCTGCTCGAAGTGGGCATGACCCCGCTGTGGAGCTGCTTTTGGAAAGAGGAGCACCTATGCTGGCAAGGACAAAGGTATCCTGTACATAGAGACTTCTTACAGTTTCTGCCTCTGTAAATGAATGGCTCCTGAAATCCTCTGCTTCTTCTGGGGGATTTAGGATTACACACAACTGTCACGTCCTCTGCAGCCAGAGGGCGCTCCTTCTCTGTCCTGTCCCTAGTTTCCGGTCTGCTGTCCTTCCTGTCCCTCTCTTTCCCTTGGGCTATATATTTCCGTCTTGCACTCTGTCCTTGCTCAGCATTGACGTTCGGATGTCCTGAGACCCGCCTATCACCAGGGCGCCCCACGTCCGCTCCCTGAGGGCATAGGTTTCTATACGGCATTCCTGAACTCTTTGCACTAATGAGCCCGGGCCTTTTTCCCGTCTCGCCGCTACGCATATGGGTCTTTTTCCGCTCTCCTGCTCCCCACGGTAAGTCCTTTTGGACGTCCGTGACAACAACGTGCAGGTTTTTTTTTATTATGCTCCACAGGTCTGTATTTTTCAGTTTATTGTCTGAGGATGAACTTTCAGCAAACCATTTTAATGATTTTCTCATTGTTTGTTCTTACAGAATATGATCTCTTGTTAAGTCCTGAGAAAGCTCTGTGAAGTACTGCTGCATGCGTGAATCATGCAGTTCTGAATTCCCATTTAAAGCCAGATGGAAATCACTGTACATTCTCTATGTTTGAATCAGAATCACTAAAAATGAATCTGGTAAATTTAGTCAAGGCAAGCAACCACAGCCAAAATCCAAAACAGGCCTAGCGAAATAATTTGCATATTAACATTTATTCATAATTCATGACAATTGTTATGTTCTTCTGTTCTTGGACTCTTAAATGCTCATGTTTCATATAACTCCTATTTTAAGGGGCAAATCTTAATATTATTAATGTTAAAATAATCACAAATACTTGTACTATGTACTGTATGTCATGTTGATTCAATGTTAGATAGGATATAGTATAAACTGTATAATATACATACTGTATACGGTAGACAGTGTTGTATGCTCTCTAATGTCTAAAACACCCAGAGCTTTTCAAAGAAACTTCTGTGTGACAGTTCATTCCTTCCATATAAACCATAAAAAGTATATTGATATTGAAGTACTTTAAGAAGCACACATTCTTAATTTTCACGTCTTATATGTTTAATAAAGTATCTGTAATTAACATTTTTATCACAAGAATTGTGAATATACCATACTAGAATGTAGATTAATGTTATTTATTCTTCAGTGTGATACAACAATAACGAAGGAACGTTATACAGTAGCTGTATGTTACTTAAATCAGAAATAAGAGCAGCAGGATCTGATACTCATATGTTTGTCTTACGTGTTTCCCAACCCTATCCCCATGGAAATGTCAGACAAAAAGGAAAGATGTGTTTGTATATGTGTATATATGATTTTTTTAATAACTTAGATGTTATTAAACATATCAGTGACAATGCATATGAGTAAGCAGTAACAACTGTTAAGAAACCTCTCTCATAGAAATAAAAAACACTGAAACTTCTACAACGTGACATTTTTCTCTTTGGTTTAGGAAGCTTCTAATATACTGAACAATGATGAGAAATACATCCAGTAATAAAGTAACTGTTACAAAGTACAGGTATTGTTTTTGAATGAATATTGCTGTAAAGAGTGTTAAATTAAAAAGGCAGTGAACTCATCCTTAAGCTCTGTGGAATTTTACCTTCACATATTACATTAGGTCACTAGTAAAGCGGAGAAAACACAGTTTTTTTTTTCTTTTACATAAAATTCTTGGTAAACAAAGCTGACAATGCTCTAAAAGTCGCCTTCCAGTCCCAGCTTGTGCAGTTATTGGGTATTTCATCCTGGCCTGTAATTTGTTTAGCACTGCGACTGATCTAGAGAGGTGTAAGGATCGTCTTTTTTTAAAACCCCGCGTCCTTCCCCACAGAACGGTCTGTCTCCTCTGCACATGTCTGCCCAAGGCGACCACGTTGAGTGTGTCAAACACCTGCTGCAGCACAAGGCCCCCGTCGATGACGTCACCCTGGACTACTTGACGGCTCTCCATGTTGCGGCTCACTGTGGCCACTACCGCGTCACCAAACTGCTTCTGGACAAGAGGGCCAACCCCAATGCTCGAGCTCTGGTATGTCTCCCCATCATATTTCTTCCACAGACACCTTCAAGACCAGTTACTGCCTAATTAGCACCAGGAAGACAGAAGAAGAACCTATTCATTAGGAAGATACCTCAGCTTGTTTGTCGGGAAGTAAGAACACTTTGAAAGTGTCATTACTCTGTGGATTTGTATCAAGCTTCAGTTACCAAGTTAACTGTCACTTCACACATTATAAAATATGAATTCACGTGTGTTTTCCCTGCTGCACTCCCTTGAAGTAGGGAAGCCCAGAGAACAACGCTGAATTTCTTTGCTCGCGCGTGATATGACAACGGGGCATGCCTGAGTGACTGAGTGACGTGATTGGTGCTTGCTCTTCATTTTTATTGTGTCCCGCGCAGAATGGTTTCACCCCCCTGCACATTGCGTGCAAGAAGAATCGAGTCAAGGTCATGGAGCTACTTGTAAAATACGGGGCATCCATTCAAGCCATAACAGAGGTATAACATTCTGGTAGTTGAAAATATATACAAAAAACTGTTTGAAATGGAGCTTACCTGTGTCAAATACAGCATTATAAAACATCTTTTTTTTTCCCCACTCAGTCTGGCCTTACACCAATACATGTGGCTGCATTCATGGGCCACCTGAACATAGTCCTCCTGCTTCTCCAGAATGGAGCTTCGCCGGATGTCAGCAACATTGTGAGTGCCGCATGAGCTGAACTACTTCTCTTGCGTATAGTGCTGAAATTTTTCAATAGATGTACAACAGACAATAGTTGACACTCCCAACATCATCCAGCCTAAAATAAGCTGCTAAGGAAGATGTACTGTAAGCATACAAGCTGGAATTATCATTCCCTCGTGTTTCTTGTTTTTATCCGCAGTATTCTTTTAAAAAGAGAAGTTTACATATAGATAACAGACATGTAATTAAAAAAACAGGTACATTACTTACTGTGGTTAAAGTATTTATATGTAAATACATGTATTTTCAAAATAACACACATCTACAGGTTGATTACATTGTTAATACACTGAAATTAGTGTACCTGTATTTTCAAGACAAGATGATTATGATACACACTATACAATTAAAGGCTGGAGCCCACAAAACAAAGTCTGATTGGGATGCAGTATTTATATCCTGATTAAGGACTGGGAGGTTGGTTATTTTAATATATTAGGGTCCTTGAGACATTCTGTTTCTGCACTTTGTCAAAATTAATTACAAGTCTTAAGTTTGTCAGGAAACAATACTTCACTGCAAGTCAAGTAGCTGTAATTAAATGTGAATACAAATATTTTTTCCTGCAAAAAACATGAATTGGCAGAACCAGGGTACAATGTTATGTTAACATTTCATTGTTAACATAATACTGAAATTAAATTAAAAAATTATATATGATGAATAAACAAACAATATTTAAATGAATGAATGTAACCAGAAGCAGCTCTAGAGAATATCAGTCTGCACCCAACCTTTTACAGTAGTTTTCTACTTGTAGTTAGATCTGCCAGTACAATGGCATCATGGCAATCATTACTGAGTAAGCTCAAAAAGCCTGTCTGGTCATGATGGATTAGACAAGACATGTACAGTATGTTTCCTTTTGTTTAGAAGGAACCTTTGCAGATAATTTCCTACTGTATCTTTGTTTACAGTCCAGTGATCACAGGCTATAGATAGAGCACAGTTGTGGACCTTTTTTTAAGAATAGGAAGCAGATTAGAGTTTAAATCTCTATTAAAAAGAGTCTCAGAAGAAAAACACAAATTCATATTAAAAGGCCTATCCAACCGTACATGCTCATTACTCTTATTTTATATCCTGCCCTTGTCTTACTTTATCAATTAAATAATGACTTTTTGTCCATGGTTAAAAGACCTGTGCAAATTCATTTTAACAGAGAAAATAGTTTCCAAAGTTAGCTGAACAAAGTAAAAAGAAAGTTGTAACAGTGGAGCTGTACGAAATGCGCCGACTGTGCTGTGCTGGGGAAAAATAACTTATGGTACCTGCTCTTCCAGCGAGGGGAGACAGCTCTTCACATGGCTGCCCGTGCAGGACAGGTGGAAGTTGTGCGCTGCTTGTTGAGAAACGGCGCGCTCGTGGATGCCAGAGCCAGGGTAAGGCATTGGCATTCGGTTTGTGTCACGTGCTGCGATCATAATAACGTGCTCTCAAGTACAGAGTGATCTGAAACCTGTCGCTTGTGTGTTGTGTTCATCAAAAAATAATAATAGTATGTGGAATCAATTTTTTGTATTCCATTTAAATATTTCGAGTTCTAAAAAGTAAAATTAAACAAGGGGTGAGATACAATACTTTAATAAAGCATATGGATAAACTTTGATTTTTATTCCTCTATCATTTCAAATTCAGATTTATATACTCTTGATTGACAACGCTACAGTGTAAGAACTACTTTACCCACTGTCTGTGTTTGACTAAAAGTTTGTTCAGTAATTGATAACTAAAGACAGGAACAATTTAACTTCAGAACAGATCTGCCGTCTAGAGGCGGTAATAATATTGTGGTGAACTGAAAAACAGTAAATGGAGTCTCTTGACCTCCACAATTAAAAAAAAAAAACATCAATCTGAGAAATTAAGCATGAACATGAAATGCAGTTATGTCTCACAAAGGCGTGCTTTTCTTTTCAAACAAAGTGTTCATTCGTGCCATATAAATGAGCAATTTCCTTTCAGAATGCATAATAAAATACTTTAAATACTTGACTGGTTTGCTCATGAATTAAAGCATTATGACCCTCTCTGACTAGATCTCAATGTACTGTACATGTTTTAAAACTCTTAACTCGTGCATTAGCCCTGACTGCCATCTATCTTATGTGGTGTATTCTGCAGCATTATCATGCTGTATATTTTGGATTCATTCCCCAAGTGTATTTTGAAAAGCTCCTCCTTCTTAGTGGTGCTCCAGTTCAAGTCAGTGACAAGTCAGATTTCCATTCCATTCGATTTAACGAATTGCTTTTCCAGGAGGAGCAGACTCCTCTTCACATTGCATCCCGCCTGGGCAAAACCGAGATTGTGCAGCTGTTGCTGCAGCATATGGCCCACCCTGATGCTGCCACCACAAATGGCTACACTCCTCTCCACATCTCTGCCAGAGAAGGACAGGTTGATGTGGCCTCAGTTCTCCTGGAGGCTGGGGCCTCACATTCCCTTGCCACAAAGGTAAATCCCCCAATTCCCATTTTCTTCAGTGCAGTTTTAGGAAAAATGCTGTATATATCAAGGCCTTCGCCTTTCTTCTGGCATTAGAGGTAATCCTCTAATTCATCCAAAAGTGGCTTGGAAAGCATGAAATATGCTGTATAGCACCCTCTGGTGAGAAAAAAGGCAACTTGTCATCTTCATGTCACTACAGGAAATCCTCTGGCAGAATTGGAAAGCTCCTGTTGTAGAGTGAATAAAGATGTATTCCTGCAGGAGAAATTCCTTGTGTGCAGTGGAACATGAAATAAAGTACTCTTGTCTAACTGGAAAGGTCGTTTTTCACACATTTGTCTCAGTTGACTGGTAGTACCTATTTTGAAAGAAACGTGTATCAAGATCAGTTGACAGCTCTATGGATTTGAGCCATTGAAACGAGTTTGAAATTCAAGACAAATCTAATCGTGTGTCAACATTCGAGAAAAAATATACCTGAAGCACACAGTAAACACAAGGTTTTACATGGCAAGTCTTAGTGCAGTATTTCTACATCATTAGAACAACTGGAATTTGGTTTGCGTTTAAAATGATCTCGATTAAGTAGAGAACACACTCAAATGGTGTCTCCATTCCTAATTTGCCAATTTTATTTATTGTAGGAGGCAGAAAAGTAGTCCGGTTCTGTGTTTCCCTTTGATAAGACAATAATTGTCTGCTGTGGATATTTTACAGAAAGGATTCACTCCATTACATGTGGCTGCCAAATATGGAAGCCTGGATGTGGCAAAACTCCTCCTTCAGCGCAGAGCTCCCCCTGACTCTGCTGGCAAGGTAAGCAAGCTATTCCGCTGATCAGCACCTTTGATAGAGAAAGAGAACCTACAGGACAACCAGATTCCCCTCGACTACACAGAACCCATTCCTTAGAGTTCTAGAGTGTCAACAGAAGTGACCTTGATGACTCAACCTAAAAAAAACTATCCTTTTCAAGTCCATTCAAACACTGTACTTGTGTTTCATAAAGTGAGTATAATTAAAACTAGCAATAATCTTAACACTATACCATAGAGTGAAATGCCCATGGAGTTTAAAGGATTGGTTCAGTCACATTGGTTCAGTAACAAACTACCGTACAATATACTGTATGCAGTTCTTCTGTTATTTAAATTTTCATGAAGAGCCTTGAATCTCATTTACTGTAGAAAGCAGTGCTAAAACTCAAAGCACTAACAGCCATTACCTACAAATGAGAAAGCACTGGTTGATTTATGTCCTTGTTTTGAGATGAGGAATTAAGTTCATAAAGGGACAATCAATGAGATACTGTAACAAAGCACACAGCATATCCATGGTTGAGCATAATCAATTTTCAAAATGGAACCACATCTCCAAAGAATTCTGCCTGCCAGCAAGACAGGCATAAAGCTTTATTCTCAGCTATATACAGAATAGCACAGCTGTGTGACAGAATAAAGGAAGTAGCAAATTATCTCAAGTTGCATTGCTTTGAACTGCTTTATAAATATTTCCTAAAACAGTTGATCTCAAATTATATTGTTTCATACAGTACTATAGCTGTCCTTTTCTTAATCCCTGTGTTTGCTACTTTAAGCTTCACTTGAATAATGTGGTAACTCAGTTCCTATGAGCAGTTCTACACAAGATAATCAAAATGTTAATTTCCAAAGTTAAATTTCATTTTTCGAAAGATGTGTCCTCCCATGTGACTGTTTAAGTCACTGTTTAAACAGGTTATGGTTAGTTTTATGTTAAGGTACATCATTTTGGTGAAAACACCTCTGATGTGTGTTTGAGAGTTAATCAATATTTTTTTGTATTGAGGCTATGTTGACAGCCAGAATTCCGGTAAGCACAGTTTTAGTCCAGCTAATTTTTCCTAATTCTTGGATCTTTTTTTATCGTCTTTTTTAATTCGAGTCAATAATATGAACAATAAAATTTCTTCTTCTTTTTCAATTAATAAGGAACCAAAAAATAAACCCACTGCAGCTTGCATATTAAATTAAACATTTAACATTTAATGTGCATTTCCCCCCATAACAAAGCTTAGTTCTTTTTTTGTTTTCTGTGATTATTTGCCTAACTGCAGCTTAAGTCCTGCTAACAGCAATTAATGCATTTGCACTTAAAACCTCCTTACAGAACGGCCTCACCCCTCTTCATGTTGCTGCTCACTATGATAACCAGAAGGTGGCACTCCTGCTACTGGACAAAGGGGCGTCTCCCCATGCAACAGCAAAGGTGAGACTCTGAAACAGGCAAAGAGGACATACCTCGGTCAAAAGCACTTGGTCTTAGGAATCATTTTTATGTTCCACTGAGCAATATACTGACGCACAAAAGAAAGACAACACTCAAGTCTGATGGATTTAAATTCAATGTTTTAAACATGCTGTAGGTACAGTATTAAACAAAATCGCATATTTTATGAAACATAAACATATATAGATTTTCAGACACTTGTAAAACATCACAAAATTACTATCAGGTATGCTAAACATTAATACAATCCTGGCAGCACTGATACTTAGACCGGATCACAGTTGGTCACAGTTGTCTTCTACTGATGGCACCGGCGAGTTGGTCACATGGATGTTCTATGGGACTTTGTCCGGGAAAAAATCAAAACAAGATCTGAACACTATTTTCTTGAAGACATGCCATCACAATTGTAGTACTGTGGTCTCTCATTTTCCTGATGGAAGGACTTCCATATTGGCTTGCAGAACTGGGAAAACCCCTGCTGATTCAAGGACTTTGTCACTATCTCTGAGCCATGAGGGTCTGCCTTCAGTGTGTACCTAAAGTTATGCTAAAAGAGATTACTCCCCGAGAGTTACTCACCCACTCTTTAACATAAAGAGTGATGAGAGTCTCACAGAAGCCATTTTTTAAAGTTTATACCTTGCTTTTCTTCAAGAAACAGCTAGTTTAGGTTTAGATCAATTAATTACTACCAACCAAAAAAACTACAAAAGCTACAGTAAATAGCTTACCCTCATTTGTGATTTTTGTTATATTCTTGTGTCATTCTGTTTATACATGGGTTATTCTCTCCTGGAATATTTATTGTGCAGTAGCCACTGCACCCTCATAACTATACAGATGGATCTGAATGTTGTGGAAGTCCTGGGCTAGTGACCCTCTACTTTCCAGGACATGGCCTGTCTTTTACAGTCAGTGTTCTGGTCTCTCTATACTAGACTGCAGATTATTAAAACAGATCTCTTCTGTGGGGAAAGTATCTCACAAATAGGCAGCCAGGAAATCTTCAATAGCAACCAGGAGATCTTCATTACTCAATGAAAGACATACAGTAGTTGTATTTGTGGCTGTTCTCGTGTTAATTGACATTGTCCTTTTGAATGGCTGTTGTATACAGATTCTTAGTGAGCTCACTTTGACCATTATAACTCAACTCAACTACAAAACACGATGCACCTTGGATTTTTTGTAAATTAAATGACTTGAGCTCATTATTAAGCACCTTGTATACGGAGGTCATTGGCTTTCAGAAGATAAAGTAGGTCTAGTCAATACCTGGGTAGGAGACTTTCAAGGATAAGTTGTTGCTTTTATTAGTGTTAGTGGTATGGTAGACCAATGCTGTAGCTTGACCCTCTTCCCTCTGGAGCAGATTTATCAAACCCATGTGACAGGAGATACCGTGCTATAAGAGGTGCCATCCTTTGGATGAAACAGGTCATGGCCATATTTGTAAGAGTAGGTGTTCCGACCCTGGTGTCCTACAAATTCCACTTTACACTTACCCAGCTTAGCTTATCTTAAGTTCCTCCTAAGTTCAAGTGAGTTACAGTCTTAATTCCCTACCTGATTTGTTTTATAGATTGCTTCTGACACACAGTGGCTGCCATCTGTCATACAGTATATGTGCTACATGTCACAGTGGTATATAGTATAAATGAAAGACATTATTATGACAAACTGATGTAAAATTTTGACTGTTGCATTTTCATTGTACATCAGTATATATTTTACATTTAAAAGTCAAATGAATACATAAAAGGTTTGCAACCCCCTTAGATAAATTTTACTTCCAAAGCTACAGTGTTGCAAAATTCAGAGCAATTACAGCAGCTTAATGATCTAAAATGTCCCATTGAAATGACTTATTACAGTCTTCCACCCACTTATAAAAGACTGGGCCTTTGGAGACTGAAGACTGAAGTTGCAAAAGTTTCTCAGCGTATAATTATTTTTTTACTTTGCACAAGTCATCTGTTTAACAGATTACAAATATATTACCAGTTCATTTAAGGACATTTTTTTCTTGTGAATTATACTGTTTCTTTGCAATCAAAATGCTGTAGTCAGACAATTAATTTAAAGATCAGGATGTGTTATACAGTCCTCGCCCTTTTTCTGGTATTCCAGGTTACTTAAAAAATGAATGAATGGATAATGAAGAGTATTACATTTACATACTTTTAAAATAGTAGCAAGTGTGTTGAAGGGTTTGTTGCATACTATTTTGTAAATAAGGTGTCTGAAGCTCCTTCTCTGGTTTATACGTTTTGCCTCTCAAATCACAGAATGGTTACACTCCACTGCATATTGCTGCCAAGAAGAATCAGATGGACATTGCCTCAACTCTGCTGCAGTATGGGGCAGAGACAAACATCGTGACCAAACAGGGAGTCACCCCTCTACACCTCGCCTCACAGGAAGGACACACTGAAATGGTGACTTTACTGCTGAAGAAAGGGACCAATGTTAATGTGCCTACAAAGGTAAGGGACAAAGGAAAAACCATCCATACCCACCCTTTAATATAAATATTTTCAGTATTTTATGGATAGCGACCTACCTAAACCACAGTAAAAAGCTGCAAAAAATTGCAGTGCAATTGCAGACAAAGTAAAAAATCACAGGATAGCAATTACTATATACATCTTCTATGTTGAAATGTTGGTAATATACCACAACCATTTGTCTTTGTTCAAGAGTGCAATGAGAATGTAAAAAAAAACAATGAATATAAATGATAAAACACATATAGCATTTTCTACATGGCCTGAAGAGCTTTAAAGTAACTACACATTCATACAAGACACAAATTCCTTGGTGTCTTTTAGCAGATGTGCTAAACCTGGGATGTTTTCATATTATAGTCTTCTAACCCATAATTATACAGTCTTTTCTAGTGTTCCTCACTCAAGAATACCTTGATGACATAGATAGATACTTTATTGATCCCGTGAGGGAAATTGCAGTGCAACAGCAGCTTAGCACAGTCAGCACAGCACAGTTTAATGAAATGATACAATAATACAACAATACTGTACAATACAGTCAGTGAGAAGTGCAGTAAAAAGTAAAAAATGGATTATACAGAGTTGCTCACAGTTCAAAATATACAAAAACAGACCCGAAAGTACAGTACACAAAGTTGTATTGCACATTATAAATCCATTGCACAAATCCCTAGCATACAGTATATTGCACAAAAAACAGTTGTAAACAGGAAAACAGATGTAAGCAGTCCATGTCCATGATGGCCATTAATTTGGACACCATTCTCCTCTCAGCCACTACCTCCAAGGGGTCCAGATCAGACCCAATGACAGAACTTGCTCTTTTGATGAGCTTGTTCAGCCTGTTAGCATCCCCTGCTCTAATCCCAGAGCACCAGCACACCACTGCGTAAAAAATGGCACTCGCTACAACCGACTGATAGAACATATGAAACATCTTACTATACATATTGAAGGACCTGAGCCTCCTCAAGAAGTAAAGTCGGCTCTGACCCTTCATGTAGATGGTCTCAGTGTTCTTAGACCATTCCAGTGTATTGTCGATGTGTAGTCCCAGGTTCTTGTATGAGTCCACTATCTCCACACCACTCATATGGATGCAGTCCGGAGTAGGCTGGACCCTCTTCCTCCTGAAATCTATCACCAGCTCCTTCATCTTTGCCATGTTCAGTTGCAGATGGTTCTCAAGCTGTTGACCAGCAATCAACTAGTATTTTACATTTCATGTGAAATATATTAGAATCTGCTTCTTGTTTTGCATTTTCATGTCAGTACTGGTTTACTGTACATATGTGTGATCTAACTGCAGGAAAGGGGAAATGAAGTGTACTTTAATTTACCTTGCTGAAGGGTTTAGTGATTTTGTCATTCAGAGCATTGATCTTTTTTACTGGACAATATAAGGCAATACAGAAGGTATTGGAACTTGGGCAGTGTAGCACTGTGGTCTCTAACATTGAGTCCATTCTGCCAGAATGCATTACATTACTATTAATCTCCCTTTAAAAAAAAATGTTAATACAATATCTGTTTCCTTGACTTGACCGCCATTTTCTGAAAACTTGTACAGAGCGGACTGACATCTCTCCACCTCGCAGCCCAAGAAGACAAGGTTAATGTAGCTGAGATTTTGGCAAAACATGACGCAAATCTTGATGCGCAAACAAAGGTATCATATCTAGTTTATAATTACCATTACTATAGAACTCTCAGTGTTTCAAGTAGTACTGGTTTTGTACTTGAAAAACAAGTCCCTGTCGTTTCTTTGTTTTTAAAAATATTAAAAATAATTTTCTTTTTAATATTGATGTTTACCTACTGTATATTGATAATGTTTGCTGTTTAATCAATCAAATTTAATTAATCAAAATTCACTGTTACAATGGCTAGTACAATAAAATAATTAAATCCTTTTTTTCTCATATTGTACCATTTTCATTCTCTCCCATCATCTCTCTCGCAGCTTGGCTATACTCCATTAATTGTAGCCTGTCACTATGGCAGCATCAAGATGGTGAACTTCCTTTTGCAGCATAATGCAAATGTCAATGCTAAAACTAAGGTAACACAATTATACTGATTTTATATATGACTGTATTCTCCTTTGTGCAAATAGAATTTGAAGAGATTCAAATAGAGGCAATAACATTTCTAATTACACTGAAATAATTGGTATTTTTATATGCATTATTGATTTTTTATGCTGTATTTATTTTCTGAGCAGAAGTACCTACTGAATGTTTCTCATTGGTATGCTGTGGCACAATACAGTACTAGACTCACTGAAATTTTCAACACTATTTTCAACATTAACCATTTACAGTATTTGGTTCTAGAATATTCTGTAGTATTTGCTCTGAAAACACACAGATAACCAGAGAGATGCATAAAAATCTTTAATACAGTATAAAATGCAATGGTCTGCACCTTAACAGCAGTAAAACATTATGTCACTTCTAACTGCTTAGAGTTGAAATGTTTTTCTTTTTCTTTTCTAATTTCTGCTCTCTCAGTTTAGAATTCACAAATGAACTCATCACTTCAGTCATGTTACAAAAACAGAAGATGATGAGTAACATGGGTATAGCCAGTTCTGTTCTGATGGTTTTTTCTCATTATTTTTGTCAACCTTCCTCAGAATGGCTACACTCCACTCCATCAGGCTGCCCAGCAAGGACACACTCACATTATTAATGTGCTTCTGCAGAATGGGGCCAAGCCTAATGCCACGACTGTGGTGAGTGTGGTTTTTTTTTTGCAAAGTGTATCCAAACAACGATTTCGTGATCAGCAAAGAAAATTCAGATCCAGAGGACACAGACTGACCTGACGTCTGTCTGTGCAGGTAGCTTAGGTAACTAGTATTACTATCTGGAACAACATCTCCAACAAACTGTTCCACTACCATACCAAAATGTGTAAAATAATATGTAAAAGAGAGGTCAATGGACCATTTCAGAAATCACTGCCCAAGAGGATGTTTGTTGGCTTTAAACTGACTTAAAAACCTGGACAGGAATAAGCAGAGTTCTTATTTAAACAACACATAATAAAATCCTTCTTGGTGTATAGTAATGTGAATTAATAAAAACATACAGGTAACTGTCAATAAATCATCTGTTTTTACCAGATATTTCTAATGATATTGGTTAACAGCAATGCCATTATGAGCACTACGATCGGAGACAGTTCTTAATTTAGATATGATGACTTGTATTTTGCTTTCCTTTTAAGTGCTGCGGATTTGTTTTCTGTGCGGGGCAGGCACTGCAGTTCTGAGCTGTGACTCCTGTGTGCCATCTTTAAGCTTTCCCTGCTCTTTCTTCAGAACGGCAATACAGCCCTTGCGATAGCGAGGCGATTGGGATACATCTCCGTGGTGGACACGCTGAAGGTCGTCACAGAGGAGGTCATCACCACCACCACAGTGAGTACGGTTGCCCTATCTTCGGTTCCAATTCAGTTTACATTCATGGTCTATTTGGATATGCATTGAATAAAAAATATAACTTTACTGTTTTAGTACATTTACCGGTGCATCTGGTACTGTTTGGCCTGCCATGAAGATACAGTAATGCTTGCAGCATGTCAAATGAAGTGGAGGAATTCAGGTGGATCTGTGACATTAACATGTGTGAGATACTGTGCTAGTGGAATCAGTGTACAGTATACCGAACCCCCATGGGCCTGTGTTGTGCACAGTATCCACTGTGATCTTGAATTGATTTGCATTCATTTTGAGAGGTTTTTTTATGGCAGTTCTTATTTCATGGAGAGGACGCTTTGTGTGCCCCAGTTGTGTGGTGTGTCATCTTGAGCATCAGTCATGCCATTACTGATTGTTAAGGAAAGGCCTGAGAATAAGTACTAAACTTCAGTATGATCCATTACAAACCTTACTTTTCTCTCCTGTTGCTGTCTGATCAGACTCATTTCTGTCCTATTTAGAGTATGGATTTTTAATTTTTTCCCTTTCTGTTATCTCCCATAAAATGGCACCCCACAAAAAGAAAAGATAGGCAACTCAATAATTTCAATGTGACAATGGTAGGGTCCAAGGGGGCAGAGCTATTCTGTACCTATTTAGGAGGCTCTTTCGCTAGGTCAAGGGAGAGTTAGGGTTTGGGCCTAAGTGTGGTGGAACTACTGACTTGTAACTCTTGGAGGAAGCATTTGTGTCTGTTTTGTTGTTTTTTTGCACTACATATAATTGCTTTGTTGGGTTGTGGGGCACGCTGTCCAAATAAACCACCACTTTTGCATCTAAGTGCTATTGTGGCTGAGCCAGCATTTTATTTAAAAGAACTCACTTGGGCACCCCTCCAGCCCTCCCTGTGACAACAGTACATCCTAGCATGCATATGCAAAATTAAACATAAATATGATTTGATGTAATACTGTTACATAACAGTTAATACCGTGGCCAACTTCACCATGAGACCTCACCTGTCCATGCTAATAGTGAGTATAGTTTTAAGGGAGGCTGGCCCTTGCAAACATGGTCAAACACTGAGGTGTGTGGCACAATTTCTGTGCGCAAAGAAATGTGCAATTCATTGCCAACACATGTAGGTGTATTAACACCAGTTGATGTCACGAGTTTAGTGTGATACAGTCTTCTGTTCAATTAAATAGGATGGACAGACTCCAGCATAAGCCAGAAAACTTTGGGCATTTCATTCCTCAGTGTTAAAAAAATAATAAAACTGATAAAAAAGCTGACACTTAAAACATTATATGGTGCAGTGGTGATCTAGAGCAGGATGAACTGAGACTCAAGCACAAATCGGAAAACATGGCTTTTCATCTCGCAGTGTTCTAATTCTGCATTGTTTCTGCTGCCAGACGGTGACTGAGAAACACAAACTGAATGTACCTGAGACCATGACTGAGGTGCTGGATGTATCAGATGAGGAAGGTGAGCCACTCTGTGATATACAGTGTCATGCACTTTTTGTGATTTTAGCAGCATATGCTTTTCTGCTTCTTTCGTAGTTTCTGTAAATTAAAATTCTATACAATTTATTCCTTCAGACTCGGCATTCAAAAATGATTAACGTTTTGCTTTGAAAAATGCCACAGCAAAATAAAAATGATAAACAAACTCCCACAGGGCAGTATGTGTTGCAGTGCACTGTAGCAATCGTAGCGTTATAAGAGGAGTCTGCGTTTTTTCATGATGCTCTTTTTTATATTGATCAGTGTGTAATTTTTCCTTCACAGCACATAATCTTTTAAAACAGGGTGAGATGACTAAAATAAAGAGTATTACGAAAACAAAGTAGGAAAATTCATAGAAGACATTTGAAATCTCAGCATCTTTTGTTCCTTAAAAAGTAAATTGTCTTATTAAGAAGTATATTTTTTATTGATCAATGTTTTTTATACATTCCACAAATTTGCTGCTCAGTTTTTCCCATGGAGCACTTAAAGGTTCTTTTATTAGAAAATAAAGTTCTTTTCCTTACACCCTTTAATATGCAATGTATATCCTACAGTGCGTAGGTACTATGATGATGAGCAGTTCACTGATGGTGAATCGATCGACTTGGAAGGTACACAGACTTGCTGTGACTATGACTCTTCTACAGAAACCAATAGCCTGTTCTATAACTAATCTAACAGCATGATTTCTTTTGTTGTGAATTAAATACTCAACATTGAGAGTGCTCTCATCTCTGTTGTCCTCCGAAGAAATGTTACATGCAATGGCACACCCATTTTTTGTCAGATGACGCTGCATGACGCTGGTTGTCTGGACTTGAATCTTCAAGCTTCTTCTCAGTTTGCCATACAACAGTTTGCAAACGACTGTAGTGAGAGTTATTAGAGATCCTGTTGGTGCACTGGGGAACTTGCTTTATAAAAATAATAATTTACTTTGGTAGGTGTCTCTGGTAGGCACGAGTTTTGTGTAGTTTTGTTAATGTTTGTATAGGTGCTTATTTCCTTCCTGTATTACAAGCATTGTTGTGCTGAGCCAAGTTCATTAACGACTGGGGATTTCAAATTGGGTGGGTATACAGTAAAACATAACTGACCATTCCATTTTTAAATGAATGTTTAATAAAGTGGATTTTTGAAAACAGAAGTGATGCAGTACTGCAAGAGATGTATTTGATGGTTATATTAAATTATATATATATATTGTATATTAAAAAAAATGAGTTTGGGTCCATTGTAAGTGTAAATTCTGACCAAATGTGGATTGTGCTCCACAGTAGTTTTGAAGACTATATATATAAAAAAAAACACTACCACAGCGAAATAGCCAAGATGCAATATAATTTAGCAATTGTTACACATAAAAGCTTTTATCGGTTTGGAGTTGATTCTGTACAGTCTAAATAAAGTCCTGCTTTAAAGTATCATGACTGTAAGCTCAGAATGCAACAAAATGTGGAACAAACAGGGGGGTGAACACTTTTTTAAGCCACTACTGTATATGCATGCTAGCAGCCAGTCAACTTGGCAAATTTTTTAAAGCTGCATGAAAAAATGTTTTCAGGTGCGCATTATTATTCTTATTTTAGAAGAAGTGCATTGTCTGAATATGAAAATAATTTGCTCTATGAAGTTGTCTGTTTGGATTTTGGATTTTTTATTTCTTTAAGAGTCACAAAAACAAGTTTCATATAAAAAAACAAGTTTAATATTTTTTCATCATCACTTGCAGAGCAGCCTATACTGTATATTAAGATCATGTCAAGGAACAGAACTCATTACAAAAACAGCGGGGTATAGAAATTACATTTACATATACAGTATTTGATTGAATTTTGTGTCTATCTGCTTCTTAGAGCTGTAATTCTAACTACCAGTAAATAGTAGTTATATTTGTATTATTTAATATGCATAGTTAAACATCTTCCCCAAGAAAACATTATTTTCAGAACTCTGAGGAATCACATATTCACACAACATAGGCCTTTGCATTTTGACATACATTATACAGTAGATTAGTTATAGGCAAGATCATAGCCTCCACTTATTGTAAAACTTTATGGGAGCTGAAAGTCATCCTTGTTTACAGGTGGTAGTAGTTCAGGTGGGTAGCTGCGTCAGCATGCGTAGGCCGCAAAGGAACAAGTAATAGGTTTATTCCATGCTGAAAAAAAAGAAGAAAGAGAACACAACGTTTCGGCCGTGGAGCCTTCTTCAGGTGTGAAAGAGACAGGGCAGTAGGCACCTGAAGAAGGCTCCACGGCCGAAACGTTGTGTTCTCTTTCTTCTTTGTTTACAGGTGTCTGCTAAGCCATTGTATCTAGTGTCTCAGTTGTCATGTAGGAGATGCTTCTTTTTCTTTTGTTTTTAACTTTTCCTTTTTTCAGGAAGCCAATATGGTATTGACAGCAGAACCCCACTGTCTAACTACAGTATGTCTGTCTTCATTCTCTGAGTATGTTAGAGTTCCTGCTTCTTGCTGCCATAGTGGCCTTCCCTCTGCTGTAGTGAGAGCAGCACTCTAGCGCTTGAATGCTAATGAGTGTGTTGGACTTACATACCTGTTTTTGTAGGTAGTCATATATACTGTAAGCGATACATTAGCTCCTCTTTCTGTACATGTGTTAAGAAAAATGTGATGGGTTAACATGCGGAATCACTGAATGATCAAGGCAACCTATTTGAGTGTGAAGGGTCAGGAAACCAGGAAGCAAGTTAGATTGAAATATGACAATGTTAAGCAGTTTGCAACACGCATTATATTTTAAGTGGTTTCATGCTCTTTACTTTTATAATCAAAACTTAGTTCTGACCCCTTGAATATAACTCTCTTTTAGACAAGTGAGTCTGCATGGAGAAGAAGTTTTATATTCATACGCATGTTATTTTATTTTAACCATGATAAAGCAATGCTTCTCACCATTGTAATGGACTCAATTTACTATACTACCAGACATTTTTCAAATAAATACCATCATATAGTTGCAGGCGTTTTGCACTCCGTATCTCAAATGAAACTATTCACTGATTAAATGTACTAAAGTACTAAATATTGTAATATCGTCATGATATTTAACTATGTGAACATTTCTTAAACACACATTAACTGTATATTATAATAGTACAAAGAAAGTTAAAATTACAGTGAATTTATTAAAGAAATAGTTGTAGCCAGGACTTATCTCGGTATCTGTATATGTTATGTTATATTTTAGTGTTTTTTAAAATGTAGTGCAGAAAATAGCTTCTTGACATTTTTTAAATCTTTTCTTTCAGGTACAAAAATGTTAAATTGTATGCTTTTAGTTATTCTCAAAGGAATAACTATAGGAGATTTAGGTTATTAGTTTAGTTATTGTCAAAGGAAGTAACCATATTTTTCCTACAGTATGTGAATTCTAAAGGCTTTTTAAGACAACACAATCTATTTTTAAAATTTAAGTATAGACACTATTGATAGATTTACATGGATTTTTAAGCTTCATTTGAATAAACCAAGATTGTTTCAGCACAACAAATGTAATCCAAAAATTTCTGAATCTAGGTTCATTAACCAAAATTAGTGCAGTATTTACAAGTCATTATTTAAGACTTTTAAAGAAATCCGTAAAATACAAGAAAAACCATAGAGAAGCTCTTAAAACAGGATCCTGTTGTGTTGGAAAGATTTCCAGCTTTTTCTGTATTTTTGAGTGTCTGTGTTTGCTCTGTCTTGCATTCTCTGATTGCGGGTTGAGGTGCTGTGAACATGGAATTTGATCTGCTGTTCATTGTAATAGTCCTGAAGGTCATTTTCATTTTTTGTCTTTATTCCCAAGGTGATGACACTATGACAGGGGATGGAGGAGAGTATCTGAGAGCAGAAGACCTGAAGGAGCTTGGAGATGACTCTCTCCCTGGCCAGTACCTAGATGGTATGAATTACTTAAGGTTCAGCTTAGGAGGACGATCTGACAGGTATTTCCTAAGATTTGTATTTTTCTATCTAAAACAGCAATGCATGCTGTCAGTTCTGCTGTTATTGTTTACAGATGTACTAGGCACACATCAGACATTCCTAAACATACTGTACAGTGTTCAACAGCCTTATAGAAGAAGTTACAATATTTGATGAAAGCTCTCTTCATTTTCATAGGCAAAGACTGAAATATTTATCATACAAAACCAAACGGTACAGATTATGTATTAAGTGAGTTGTGTCAGAGACATTCTGACTTTGCTTCTTACATATACAGCATTGTTTATAAAACACGTCCTTTTGATTTATTCTACCCACAATCCTTCTGCTTTGAGTCACTATTTTATTAAGCATATTTTGATTTACAACACTGAGTCCGTCAAACCAAGCTAGAACACTGTCAGTATGCTTTTGAGGAAGCACCTGTGACAACTTTTATAAGAGTCAGATTGCAGGACTGACCCATGAAATTTTTTTTAAAATGTTGTCCGATTTTCATGATACTGTATATTGTATTGCTAAAGTGATTAAGGTAAAAAAACAACATGGAATGTTACTGTGCACCATTCATCTTGTAAGGATTTTTGTTTTATCCAGGATGATATTTTGCAGTGTATGTTTGACTGTACAAATCACTGATTTACTTCACATAAATCTTAAGCTGAAATGTGCCTGAAATGTGTTAAAGTGTGTACTGTATGTCTTCTGTTCCACTAATTGGTCCATGCGTCTTGTTCTCTGATTCTACTCTACAATGCTTACATAGTCGCATGCACAGGTATGTAGAATGGAAAGTATTGTTCATACATATTCTTCTTTTAAGGTCTCTGCTTTTTATTAGATCAAGATCTGAAAAAACGAACCTTTTTGGATGCCTAGAATTAGATGTAGATTGGACGAAACCTCCAAAGATGTATTATTTTGGTGGATTAATGGTGGTTTTCCACAATCCACAGTCAGACTCTGTAGGAGTTTGAAAATTCCTGATCAAATTGAAAAGATTTTCACAAAGAAAAAAATATCTTTAAGACAAACATCATATAGAATTCACTAATAGTAAGATAAGATGTCTTAAAGGTATCTCACCTGTGTAGACTGCTCTTTTTTACTGATGTACAATTGTATAAAAGTGTCAGGTTTTTACATTGTTGTAATTTGTAGTTACCATGCTGTAACACCTTGTACACCACGATTTGAAATGTTTGCATTTTATTGTCTACTAACGATGTAAGAATTGTTCACAATAGACATTTCAAAGCCAAAGTATTCAGAGATATTTAGGCTCACATTGTATGCACATTTTATATCATGTTTTGTTTATTTCCTGTAGAAATCGCTAGTTTAAACAAGGGTGTATGTGTAGCATTTTATTGGAGATAAGAATAAAGTCATCAGCGGAACCCCCTGCCCATGCTAATAAACATGGGTGAGAGCTGTGTGTAATATCAAATATACGAAATATGGTTATCTAACATCAAGTGATTTTCTGGAAATACATATCCAAGATCAAAACATAATACAGCATCTCCTAAAAAGATCATTTCTGCTCCATATTTATACTTATTTGGACTCTTTTTAACCAGCCCTTTCATTCGAGCATACTGTAGCTATGTTATCCGAGATGAACAAATTCCTAACTTTTACCCAAGAAGTCTTTTCATTTAACAGTCTCTTGGACACGTGGGCTGAAGCCCACATTACCCAAACGTTATGCCTGTTTATTGGAGATATGTTTCTACCAATTCCATATATGTTTCTCTCTAGTGCTGTTGTGTGCAGTTGCCACTTCATTGCTTGTATCATAAGTCTATATTTGTTTCTTATGTCATGATGATTTGAACCATGAAGGTTCAAATATTATCCCAATTTTACCAGTGAACTCTACATCACACAACCCCTCATACTGTATGTCTTCCAGGAATCAAGGCAAATATGCAAACATAAAATATTGGATGCTATTTATTAAATTAACAAAAATGCTCAATTTTGAAAACAAATCATAGCTTTCAGATAAGTCTGTATACAAAATTAATTAAGGTAAACCATTGCAACTAGAACAATATAATGCATTGATCAGAGAACTGGTAAGGAATAAAAAGTCGAATTTTATTTCTGTTTTTTCCAGAATTTGTTAGTTGTAATCTAAACAAAGATTAAAACAATGTCATGTATACCGTGTGTACTGAAATCTAATATTTTTCCCCCAACTGTGCTATTGAGAATCAGTATAAATTTTGAATTTTTCATAGTGCACTTTTGGAGCCTGAAATGCAAATGGAACTTACAGTATCTCAGCTCTCTGTAATACACCCAGCAGTGCTCCCTGAGACACTGAGGTTTCTTTCATTTTATGAAAGTACCCCTCCCCTAGAAGTTACATAACACATTAACGGGCCACAATTTTTTTCATTTTTTCTTCATACACCACCCCTTTCCTTCATCTGAATCTCCATGGCAACTTGCTAACTAAACAGCCTCCGATCTTTCAGTTCAGACAGGTCTCACACCCCGATCCACGGGTCATACATGAAAGACGGGCAGATTGAGGACATGATAACTGCTACCAGCCACCAGGTATGTGACTCATCCCTTTCCTCAGTGCCATAATAGTGTGTCCTACACTATGTGAACTGGCTCAGCCTTTTATATTATTTCCAATAATTTGTTAGTTATAAACAAAGTTTAAAACAATGTAATGTATACTGTGTGTACTGAAATATAATTTTTTTCATGTAAATGTGACTTTTTAGTTCTTTATAGCAGTGCAGCTCACACAAATCTTACATCTAAGCTGTGCAAACAAAAGATAATTGAAACATCACAACTGTTCTGTAGCTTTGTGAAAAATAAATAACTCATGGTATACTGTATCAGATTTGTATCTATAATCACGGTATACTGTATCAGATTTGAGCATAACTTATTATTTAGTGTCATCCGTTATTCTTTCCAACAACATAGCTTTAATTTCTTACATTCAGCAGGCTTAAATCAATTCTGTTCCAAGAGAAATTCTAACAAGTCACTTTTTATTGCCTGCTAGATATCTGCCCTTGCCAGGGAGACTGAACCATACCGCATCAGCTGGGGAAATGAGCATTTGGACAATGTGGCTGTTTCTGCCAGCCCCATTCATTCAGGGTAGGTCTCTCAAAATGGAGCAGTCCGCTATTCATGAGAATGGGAACACGCAACTGACTAAGTACTCATACACTCAGCCCTGCGACCTTAGTGTCCGTGCTTAGTAATCATCACTCCCCAGGGAGTAGCCGCTGCAGGATAAACTGTTTTAACATCAGAAAATGTCTTGAATCAAATGGCCCTCGGACAAAATTTCAACTCATATGCCAACGTCCAGTAGTTAACCTGGTACTTCATAATGAAAATAAGATTCGCCTGGGGCGCCTTTCTTTGGCCCAGAGGAAATCTGCAGCTGGGTTTTTAGTTGTGACATTTGGATTTGGTCTTTAAGGGGATGGTCATAAGGTCTTCGTGATGTGTTTAAGGACTGAATGCAGCCTTTCTTTAAAAAGTACTCTTTCAGGTTTGCCCTGTAAACTGTTAAATTACAGTAATACAAGATTACTGTACACTGATTATATCAAGACCTAAAGCAAATCTTCACACAGTCTTTTTAGAAATATTTTAGGGGTCCTGATTTAATCAGATGCAATTTTTAGTTTTGAATCATGCTCTGTTGTGCCAAATAGATTGGGGGTAACCTCTGTTACTGTGGGGTAACCTCTTCTTTCTCACAGCTGTTTCAAATCCAGGCTGCCTAGACCATTGGTAATTGCTGCCACAATGTGTTGCTGCATGGGAATGAAAAAAGTCTTTGTGGGGTGGAAATTGATGGTGGTGAAATTATTCTGCATTTCCTTTTCCTCAGCTGACCTTTTTACTTTTCATTCGGTCACAAATCTCACTCTTATCTAATCTTTCAGCCTTCTCTCCTTCTTCTTTTTTGTGATTAGTCTCTGTTCTGTTTTCAGCCGCTCCTCTCCCTGCCTTGACCATGACAACAGCAGGTGAATCTCTGCACCTTGCCCGTCCTTCAGTGTCTAAGGCTGTTTTTGCCCATTGAAACTCTCTTTATAACCTTCCTGCTTGGGATGCTTCAGGGCTCTTTAGGGAACTTTTTCTTGCTTCATTTCCTTCAATAAACTAAAGCCTGCTATCAGAACAGATATTTGGTAATACAGTATCGCCTTCAGTAAGGGCAAGATAAAAACATAATTCCTCATTTTTGCACAATGAAGCCTTTGAAAGTACTGTACCAAGATAAATTTAACCAGAAACCTTTCTGAAACCTTTCCCACATGTTCTATTACAAATAATTAATTAATAAACATTGTCTGCTGGTAGTGGTCATTTCTTTTTCCTGGTATTCAGGGAAATTAGTCCTTTATCTTTTATAATTGAAAATATGTGAATGAGGAACAAGTAAAGGTTTATTCCATGCAGAAAAGAGAAGAAAAGAAACACAATGTTTCAGCTGTGGAGCCTTCTCCGGGTCACACACTCAAAGAAGGCTCCACAGCCAAAATGTTGGGTTCCTTTTCTTCTCTTTTCAGCATGGAATAAACCTTTACTTGTTCCTTTGCAGCCTACGAATGCTGACGCAGCTCCCTACTTGAACTATATGTGAATGAGGTTCTTGATGACATTTTATGTGAGATAATCCAAATATTTGTGCTTTATTTCTGCACAATTATTTACAATTATATGTACAATTACAGAAACATTTATTTACAATTATATGTCTCAATTCATTATCTGTGTACCACAGTATATGTACAGCCATTTTATTTCTATTGAATATACAATATGTTCAAAGAACATATAATAAAGGACCGTTTTGAATTTGACATAAATAGTATTTATGGATTTGGTACACTTGGTTAAATATATTTAAAAGCCATTTTACTTAGAGCTCAGTGGGTTCCACTAGGTTATAACTGAGTCCCAGCAGTATAAGTCACCTACAAAGAGTCCTAAAGCATTTTAATCAAAAACAAGGCATTACTAACTAAAGAATGCTGTGTGTTCCATCTTTCCCTTTGGGTACTGTGATAAATATTGTATCACAAAATATTTGAAGCATTTTAACTGGTCATGTGCACATTTCTCAGATATATTCTTTAATGTGTTGACTGCTGCCTTGCTTTCTGGTAGATGCTATGTGAAAGTGAGAGAAAATCATTGCAGTTTTTCTACGAATCTTTAGCACAGTTGAACCTAGAATGACCACACCTTCAGAAGTGTGTGAGAGAGAGTTCAATTTGAAGCATTAAATCTTGGTTTAATGTTTTAGGGACCATTTGGACTTCGTAGTCATATTTATGTTTTTTTAGGCTTTAGAGGTTTCATTAAACAAAAACCAAAGCCAGTTGCATTAAAGAATTTGACTTGCATCTGCTTGTCTGTAAATATATTGTTGGGGCTTCATCCGTTACTGTGCATTTTATATTGTTTTTGCCTCCAGAAAAGTCATGGGGTCACTGCCACGTCCAGTACTAAGTGGTGTCTCGTGTTTTATAGTGTACGTGGTAATTGACAAGAGCATACTGTGTGTGATGTCACAAGCTGACACCATGTGGATATTGTGATATACAATCTGCATGATGGAGTGTTTCACATACCATGTTGAAAATTAGCTGGGTTCGGCTCTAACAAGGTTCATTGTCTTACCTTGTTGCATGTTATGCTTCAAAAAATGCCTCCCGTGCTTTCAACTTGTGTTTTGCATGAAGGTTTTTGTTAAAGGGTTTTTGTTGAATCCTTCAAAGATATTGTAAGTGCCTTTTTGAATGAAGCATATTATTTAATTGGAAAATGTGGGATTGCTGTGCTGTTCAAAAAGCCATATAAATCTTGTATGGGATATTAAAAAGTTTGTAAGAAAAGTTTGGAATTCAAGAACTAGCACAGGAAAATATCTCTAACATCCTTGTAATTTATGCAGTGTAATGGACACTGTGTCATCTTTAAGCACACTGACTGCTTACAGTGAGAAATTTAGTTATTATTGCTCAACACAACTTGTTAAGACAGATTTGTGATTAAGTTGAAAGAAAATCAGGAATACATTCACTTTTTACAGATTTAACATGGTGGGTATTCCTATCCTTCTCTTGTATCTGGAATACCTTTTGTTTTAAATCCACTCTTCTGGTTTAAAGACTATAATATGCTCCCATTTTCCTGTATCAAACACAACTGTGCAACCGTTATAAGAAAGAGAACATGTTAGCACTTTGGAAACAATCATAGAAAAGAGAGCATGGAGAACGTGCAAAGACGTGTGTCTGTGTCTGCAGCTTCCTGGTGAGCTTCATGGTCGATGCCCGGGGCGGAGCCATGAGAGGCTGCCGTCACAACGGCCTGCGCATCATCATTCCTCCCCGGAAGTGCACAGCCCCCACAAGGGTGACTTGCCGCCTAGTGAAACGACACCGTCTGGCCACCATGCCACCTATGGTGGAGGGAGAGGGGCTGGCCAGCAGGCTGATCGAAGTGGGCCCCTCTGGAGCTCAGTTCCTCGGGTGAGTCTGTGTTTGTGTGAAGCGTTCCAATGTGATTTGCCCTGAACACCACTGCATTTCTTGTATCCTGTAACTTCAGTGCACCGTGGTGTTGTTCGCCACCCCTTTTGGTTTCCTGCAGCACATTTAAGAACAGTTAGTTTGATTTTCCAAATCTTTCATTAAAGGTGTAATTAAACTTGGTCTACCATTTGTCCATAAAGTTTGACTTACTGTATGAAGGAAGACTTAGTGGATAAACGCTCATCAAGGGACTGTTTGAGTACTTAATTTGAAAGGGAAATTTTCAAGGATAAGACTAGTTCAGCTAGAAAATCTAGTTTATTAAATCTGACAGAAAGAGTAGTGGCAAAAAGAGAACACCTGGCTGCTTTCTAGCACTAGAATAATTAGATCACTTCTTAGCATAGCATGTAGACTGTCCCCAACCTTCACCACAGTTTTACCAATCACAAAAAAATGTTCTCGGGGATTCTATAGGATTCTAGTGCTCTCTTCTCTCAGTGAAGCTTATCCTGAATGTTGAGCAGTGTTGTGCTATTAAAAGCTTCAGTGAAGTTTAATGTCAGAAGTTTATTGCATGCTACAGCATTTACCTTGTGTCTGTTGAGGGCATAACAGAAGTGGCCAGATGCTACAGTACCTCTTCCTATGCTATATAACACTATACAGTATGAACCCTTACAAGATCCCGTCTTCAAAACAGGAGAGACCGGGTGCTCTGAGAATATCTTTGCTCACTGTTCACTTTGTTCAAAGCTTTCACTACTTTGGCTGAAGCTCCATGGGCAGAATGCCGCTCTGAAATTTTTTTTCACTGTCCTGGCTATGAGGGAGCAAAAAAGACTATCCTGATTTTCTGATTTTGAATCACTGTAAGGCTCACAAAAGTCTCCTGCTCTTGCGGTGTGAGTGTGCATGACCTTGGGCTTCACATGGCTCAATATCTCCGGTCTGTATCAAGTACTCCTAAAGTCCTTAAAATCTCACTTTTGGTGACAACTGTAGTTTGATTGCCTAGACTTTTGTGGGTGGTTTATGTTTTATTTTAATTCTAGAAATTGACAAACCTTTTTTAGCTTGTCCAAGGATGATGATAATGTCATCATTATTTGATATTTTTAAGTGAGACCATATTTTCTCTGAATGGCATCCTGATATACCCACAGCTTTGCAGAATAATGCATGATTATGCAAATTAAATGCATTCAGGTACATCTGAAATTTGTTTTGTTGTATGTTGTTCAATTATTATGATACTCAGGAAGGATTTCAGTGGGATTTCCATTCTGTCCACCCATCATATGTATTTGTGGCTGTCCAACATCACCGCCTAGAATGAGATAGTTGCAGCACATCAATAATGGATCACCATTCGGCATAACACAAGATAACAGTGGTTTCTTGATATCTTTGGGTCTTACAGTTGCCAGGAATTTCATGTCTCTGGTTATTTTTTCACTATGCATTTTTTACTGTACCTCCCAAATTCCATTCCATCCCCTACGTGTTGCTAAGCTCAGTTTTATTGTATGTTGTTTCTGGTTTTGTACAGTATTTAGTGTAAGAATTGAGACACATAGATTATTTATACTAGGTTTTAACATGCCTCTGTGGTGGTGGCGTCCAATGCAACACTTTCCATCCTGTGCTTCCAAGTTAGCCAAGATCTTTACCAAGAGTAAACAATTCCTGCTAATGGTCTCTGTGGCAGGATAGCAGGAGTTGCAATCTAACCTTAAATATTCAATAAGCAGTTTTAAAACTGAGATTCCACACACAGTAGAAAACTGTACCATGATTAATTTAGTATGTTCTAATTTGATGAAAAAAATTGAATTCATAATAAAATAATGTCCATATCTTCTGCATTAGAGTGTTCTTTATAATAATGTGCTGTAATTGGTTTTTGACAAAAACTAATGTTCATGGAAGACATTGTAACATAATTAAACAGTTCTTTTCAAGTTTTGTGTTATAGTTTTCAAAACAAAATTGTGTTTTACAGTATACAGTATCTGTCTTCTTAAATTAGATTATAAAGTCTCGTTTTCATAAAAAATGCTTCCTTAGTTTTACAGGACAAACAGTTGCTGCACTTCACTACTGATGAGAGGCAGGTTCTGGAAAGAAGACCATTTCAATCAATGCTGATGGGCTGGCTGGAGCTTACACTTACTGTAGCTGAGCACTACACTTTGCTTAAATCTGTATGTCAGCGCAGACAGTACATCAGCCTCCCACTGGTATTTTGTGTCTGAGAACCACCTGCGGATAACAAGATGAAATAAAATCTGTATTATTTATCCTCTTTCTGTTTTCACTGCTGCTTTGGATTCATTCAGTAAACTGCATCTTCCCACTGCTCCTCCCCCTCTTAATGAGGGAGAAAGCTTGGTTAGCCGAATACTTCAGCTTGGGCCACCTGGAACAAAATTCCTTGGGTAGGAGAGACATACAGTATTAAACAACCCATGGGTTCTGGCCTCTCATTCTCTTTATATCCTGTGCGATATCCTTATTTTTTGCCTTCCAACTTTTTTTCTTTCCAGCATTACAAAATATACTTATATTTTAATTTCTTATAATATATTTTTATTTTTAATTCCCCAGTAACCCTGTTGTCCTATGCTTTGACTGTCTAGTGCAATGTGTGTTCACCTCACAAGTTTTTTTGTGGAGTTTTCTTTAGTTTTAGCATGATACTCCCATAGACACGGATTACATACAATATATTGTTCTGCATATCAGGGTGTTGTAATGCCTGAAACACATTTCTAACAGTAAAGTTGCAGTGTAGTGTAAAAAGATCTTCCCGATATTAAATATCCCCTTAAGTACTAAACACAGATTGACATTTTAGTAAAAAAGAGGTTATCTGTAGCTTGAGGGAAACAGACAGGTGTCAGGAACCCCTTTATGATGGGACTTTCTATTGTTGGTAGTTACGACACTCTTATATACAGCAGACTGTGTTTTTCTACGAGTGTTGACCAAATAAATTTGTGGAATACATTTGTTGCGAATAAATTAACAAGGACCCTTTAGCAATCCCTACGCAACACCTAAGTGGCCACAAAAATTTAAAGAGCAAAAAAATTGGTGTGTCCATTTTTTTTCCAAAAGGACAAGATCCAGGGCACCAATACCTTGCTTTGATTATGCAAATATGTATGTATTAGTATCCGATTCTTAAGATTTCTAGAAACTGGTGAATATTGTAGTCATGAAAGTCCAGCTTGGTGGACTTTTGTTTTTTTGTAGTTCATAGTAGGGGTCTCCTTACTTGCTTTACTCACTCTGGGTAGACATAAAGCACTTGATAGACAGATTAAACTAGATGGATCAATAAAAACATATCATGACCATCTTCAGTGAAAATGGGCCGCTTAAAGTCCAGCATCTAAGGCTATCTATGTATCTCAAGAGCTGTAAGATAAATTTAACATGTGACAACATCAGCTCACTCCAGCAGCTGTAAGCTGGTGCGTTCCAGGCCTTACCACCTGAATGTGCAGTGCAGGAAGACCCAAGAAGCCCAGGCTGGCTGCTCACTGTGTGCTTGTCCTTGGCCCAGGCCGGTGATCGTGGAGATCCCCCACTTTGCTGCACTGCGAGGGAAGGAGAGGGAGCTGGTGGTGCTGCGCAGCGAGACGGGGGAGAGCTGGAAGGAGCACAGCTGTGAGCACACTGAGGAGGAGCTGAACGAGATCTTGAATGGAATGGATGAAGGTGAGGCTGAGGGGGTAAAGGCCTCTCAAACTTGTGTGAGATGTGCTAGCTTTGGGATGTTGGTCACTCAGAGAGTGAATTTGTTCTAATCACCGTTTTTCAAGTCAAAATATAAACCATGACTTCAGATTAAAGCTTAAAACTTTATATACAGGATACAGTATTCAATAACATCTGAATGCCACACCTATTGTATACTAAGAGGCATTAAAATTAAATAAGTATTACAACCGCAAAAGTTTAGTTATTTTCTAGATGTTGTTGGCTCTGGTCCGACCCCTATCAGTAGTCCACTGTGAGTGATTTACCAGGTGGGAGCGTACTCTTGTCTAAATTGGGTCACCACCTAGATTGGGTGTGTTTTACTCAGGCAAAATCCCCTCTGTTTTGCTCCATTTTTTCTAGGCTAGTAATGGACATTTTAGTTTGCCTTCTTGATCCTGTCTGTGCTTGCAAATAAACCAGCTGTCTCTTCCTCTACCAACTGCTGTTGTTACACAGTCTCAAAGTTTTCAAGAACTGTTGTCATTGAAATTTAATTTGTTTTCTGTATTTAAGGATTAAGGTTTGTTTACTCCGTTTTTTTTTCATCATTGTTCAGAGCTTGATCCTCCCGAGGAACTGGAGAAGAAACGCATTTGCCGTATCATTACTAGAGACTTCCCACAGTACTTTGCAGTAGTGTCTCGGATTAAGCAGGACAGCAACCTGATTGGGCCTGAAGGTGGAGTCCTGAGTAGCACAGTGGTTCCACAGGTTCAGGCAGTCTTTCCTGAGGGAGCTCTCACCAAGAGGATCCGGGTTGGCCTGCAGGTATGGGAACTGTTCAGTCAGCATTAAAGCACTCTCCTGTCTTAACAAGTGCTTGCTCAGAGCATTCAGTCCTGGCTGCTACAGGTTTCAGCTTCCTTTGTGTGACTAACATTTTTAATTGTTAAATTGCCGAGAAAGGATTTTATTACTAATATATTCCTTTCTCTCTGAATTACACGTACTGTCTCCCGTCAGTTCCGAAATACTCACCTGTTCTCTCTCTTTTCCTGCATAGGCACAGCCAATGAATGTTGAGCTGGTGAGGAAGATTTTAGGCAACAAGGCAACATTCAGTCCCATTGTTACTCTAGAACCCAGAAGAAGAAAATTCCATAAACCCATCACAATGACTATTCCTATTCCCAAATCCTCTGCTGATGGAATAATGAATGGGTACAGTGGAGACACTCCAACCCTGAGATTATTGTGTAGCATTACTGGTATGTGTCCATCACTGACAGTATTCTTTCATTCATCGATTTCAGACCTTTTTCAATTAACATTCATTGTTAATTTTGGTTTCCTGGATAGGAATGTTATTTATTTTCGATAGCAATATTTATATATTCAATTAAAACATATACAGTAAGCTGACACATTGATATGGTGCCACAGAGTTACAACTATAAATCACAAACTTTGCAGTTCAGTATATGACTGTGTCTACTGTAGATCAGAACTTCTTAACCTTCAGCCTATCCAATCAGCCCATTGTAGAATTTTGTACATTCATCTTGTTAATAATTTGGAAGATCTACAGAACAATTAAGGTACAGGTTGTATGGTATTAACAGGTGAATGTTTAAAAATGTATATATAATTATAAAAGGGAGTACAGTAAATTGCACAGTACAGTACAGTAATATATTACATAAAACATGTTGCAAAAATCTAATACATTTAGATAATTATTCATTATGCATATTATCTATTAGATTATTAGTTTATAAGAAGTCTGGTACCCTAATGCTAACTTCAGCAGAGCTAACTCACAAAAATTATACAGTAATTCTCAGTGAGCAAGGGACATAATACTTTTGTAATGATTTGGAATTAGGCAAACCTGGGTACAATTTATAGAGTGTGTGGTTAAATCTATTTATTTGACTTTACAGGTGGTACAACTCCAGCACAATGGGAAGACATAACAGGAACTACACCATTAACATTTGTCAACGACTGTGTGTCCTTCACAACAAATGTGTCAGCAAGGTAAGATACAAAATAGGTATCAAATTGGCAACAAATTCATAAATGTTATCATAAAAATGACAAAATTATTAATTTATCAGGCAAACTTACATTTTAGGGAACAGACATTACTTAGGTTAACTCGTGTTGCTGAATTAATACAGTATATGTCGTCAAAAGGCCCGATCAACGAGAGATACAGCAATTCATGTGAGACACATGCTTTGCACCAGTGGGCCGATTCTGTCTTGTGGTATTCTGTCATATTCTACTCATAAAACCTACAGTAGATGTGGTCCAACACAAAGATGAAGCATGATTATGTCTTACTTTATGGCTGTTCGTGGAGTGTACTTTTTGATCATTGTGTAAATCTAAAATAAATACTGTATGACTGTTCATCAGGCAACATATTCTGATGCTTTTCTGCCTTCTTGCAGGTTCTGGCTGATAGATTGCCGACAGATTCAGGAGTCTGTTAACTTTGCTACACAAGTTTACAGAGAGATCATCTGTGTCCCCTACATGGCCAAGTTTGTCATATTTGCCAAATCCCATGACCCCATAGAAGCACGTCTGAGGTGTTTCTGCATGACAGATGACAAGGTGGACAAGACACTGGAAAACCAGGAGAATTTTGTCGAGGTGGCTCGGAGCAGGGATGTGGAGGTAAGGGAGGCATTAGGAGACAAATTGGATGTTAATTACACAGCTGTTAAGTTTTATGTCCCCCGCCTGTCTTATAAATTAGGTCTGAAACAATTACAAGAGATAAGGTTGCCTGTTATGGGGACGCATCCTTCTGGAATCGTAGCCATTGGCAGTTCTCAACATTTTAGATAATTTGTGAAATACCTGAGAAATGCTGAGAAAATTCAACAAGAATCCCCATTGTCTTACCTTAGAAATTTGGGGTAGTGTGGGAATTGAATATAAACATTTTGTTACCCCAGACTTGGACAGTAGTTACCGGGTTGGGTCGTTACAACTTAACAATCTAAATGTTCCCCATACTTTTACAGGTACTAGAAGGGAAACCCATCTATGCAGACTGCTTTGGTAACCTGGTACCACTGACAAAAAGTGGCCAGCATCATCTCTTTAGTTTCTTTGCTTTCAAGGAAAACAGACTTGCACTTTTCATTAAGGTAATTCTTTTTTTAAAGAATGATGTAAAGCAATTAAAATGACTTTTTTTTAACACAGGACAGATGTCAGGTTAGAGCTGCCTACAGTACATGCCAAGGAAGCCTTATTTCTAACAATTTCCTTAACTGTTAGGTTAAGACGTTTTACATTTTGTGGTAGAGTACATGTTAATAACCATATATACAGATATATTCATCCAATCAAAGTGAATACTATTATCGTTTATCCAAGTGAATTTAAGTCATTAGAGTTTACAACTAAGTTGTAACCAGAATATACAGTAAATGTCTTCAACTAGTTCTTTAGTGAACTACAGTGAATCTCAAAGACCCTCTGTATGTACCTGGCCATTTTCATGAAAGTCTGATGTGATTGCACCAGGTACGGGACAGCACACAGGAGCCCTGTGGGCGATTGTCTTTCATGAAGGAGCCCAGATCCTACCGAAGTCTGGTACAAAATGCCATATGTAACCTAAACATCACATTGCCTGCATACTCAAAGGTAAGAAAGAAAATTGAAGCTTGTTCTTGGCTCACCCTAATCTTTTCATTTTATGTTGATAACTGAGAGTATTTCCCTTGCTCTATATATTATAATTCCTTATATGCTCCTTTTCATTTTATATTTTGTTGTAATAAAGTGCATGTTTTTTCAAATTCTTAATTGACATTGTTGTACTTCAAGTTATATGCATGATTCAATGAAAAAAATATACACCAGAATGTAAAATTGCTCCCTGTAAGATGGAATAATACTGACTAAGCGGCACATCCTAATCGTCTTAAATCTGATACCTTTCCCCTCCTGCTGTGGTAACGTACTGACTGAACTTTGCTTTGCTTGCTCTTTCTTCTACATTGCTTCTTGTGACTCAAAGGAATCTGATTCTGATCAAGAACAAGAGGAAGAGGTAACTTTAACCTCATTTCCATTTCAGCGTTAATGCGTGATGTCAGTGTTCACTAAATTATAAGGCAGCTTTCCTTGTGGCGGGTCTGATGTAACACAGTCATCATTGACTGCTTTAAATCAAATATTTATCTTTTTTCATTGACTTCTTCAAAATATAGAATATAGAAAGCCTATTAATGTTCTAAAAAGAACAGAAATACAGATTTTAAGTGCTTTAACTTTGTGCTAAGAATTTGACAATAAAATTGTCTTTTTTGTCTTTAAACACAAGGATAAACTAAACTTTTTCTCCTTGTAGGAGTTTATCACAGTAGATTTATTTCTCTAGGGCTCTCTATCTTACTTTTAATGAGTAGAATAAGGTAATCCTGAATTTAATCATATTTTGCATCTTAGCCAGGAGAATGAACCCAAAACAAAAATGAACTGCAAATGAAGAAAGCCTTCATCCAAATTTAATGTAAATCCCCAAAATATCAGGAATGTCAGTGAAATGTGATATTGTTGTAAAAAATATTTTCATTTAATACTGGTATATGTAAATATAAATACACATTTAAACCATTTAAAAAAAACATTTGAATATCTTAAGTTGATCATTATTTATAATTTATTATTATTTAAATGATAAAATCCTTGTAACAGTAACATGTTTTATTATTTATTGTATGAACCTATTGTATAAACACAAATTTCCAATAATTGTTAAAACTACAATTATGTTGTTATTTCTGAACAAATCACATGCTTACCCATGAAACAGATACATCTATATCAAATGTTAAAATCCTCAGCAGCCACACCTACTGTATTTCCATAGTTTATCATGGACAGTTTTGAGTAATTAACTTTACTTTACATAATAACTCTATGACTTATTAATGTTGCATTTTGTTCATTAATTCTTTGTTATAGAGTCTGAGAGCAGTACTACTTATATAGTTTTTTTTTATATTACTGACAAATGGTTCCACCATCTCGCTCAGAATCTACAGGGTTTTTTTCTTGGCTATGTTCTATGTCTATGAAATATGCAAGGAAATGTGCAAACGTGAGAAGGGGGTTCTTAAAGTAAAAGCTTTACCTGTCATTTTAACATTTCTTAACAGCCAAGCGGTAGGGCTGTAGAGGGGGATAGGATATAACTTTTAATGAATTCAGATTACATTTATTTTTGTTTTATGCAGCCATCTTTTCATCTACCTTCTTCCTACTACCCCTATTGTTAGCCGATCTCCATTCACATTTATCTGGCTTAAAACCTTATCTTTAAAATTTTACAATATGGCAATGCAGAGATTACATGGTACTGTACATGTGTAAAGTGTGGTCTCTAAACTGCAGTGTGGAATAAGGCCGAAACTACATACCTTATAAAAAGAAGATGGAATTGTCATAAATCCTAATAGCAATTAGGTGCTATTTGTTTTTAAATTCCCTTTCTCCCATCTGTCTAAAGTGAAATGCGTTTTAGTTTTAAGAGTCGTTGAACTATGACCACACCATATGACTGCATTTTGCACCTTTATAATTGTGAGTATTTAATATTGATTTAGATGTGTAATGATAATTGATCAAATGATGATCATGGTGTTTCTGTTTATGGTAGTTTTAATGTCCGAAAGCATGTCCGCCTGTCTGCAACAAGGGAGCATAGACCATGAGCAAGAAATTGTCACTAAAGGTCAGCTTGGATAAGAACGTCATCTTTTAAAAAAGCATTTATCATCTCAAACTTGTGCTTGGGTGATTGGTAATAATGTACAGTTGGTTTTTCAATCAGCTTGAGGTTTACTATTTAATTCTTGAATTGTCATTGAGTAATGGGAAAAGAGTTGTCGAATGTATAGTACCTTAACCATAAGTATGTCAAATTCTTTTCTTGCAGACCAGCAGGACACATGAGAAATGTAAGACAATTTTTTATAATTGTGTTGCTTTTTTCAGTGTGTCGTTCAACTTAAGTAACCTACCCTGTCTCGTAATTACTAACTTACCTAAAGTAAAGTAGTGTTTTAAATGAGATATTCCGTGTTTGCTTTTTAATATTCCCAGCCTATATAGTTAACTTTAATCCCAAATTTTTAAGAGTTTTTAAAATCATTCTGCTTTAGCCTCCCCAGTAGCTCTGCTGTGGCTGAAATGTTTTCTCCAAAGCCCTTTCAGTTTTGTATGTTTGTCTTGTCAGTTACATTTCTTTTGAAGCAAAGGTTATGCCAGTTTTATGGCATAATTCTGTCACTATCATCTTTCAAAATCACAGTATCTTCTTTCCGAACTTTTCTCCATACTCTTGATTCTGCAAGTCGAAAAGAGATACTGTCCACATACACATTTATTACACCATTCATGATGTGGTGATGTTTAGATTGAACATCTGATTTAGAAAACTGGCCAGATTTTCAATCACTTTAAAGACATCCACAAAGCAATTTTTATCTTAGAACTCTTCATGATTGCTTTAGTGATGGTCTGTGCCTCTTGTGAACTTTATTTATTATATAGCATATAATTATATATAAATATATTTATATGTATACCGGTCCACTTCTGTTTACTATAGAGTATATACTGTATATGACTACACAACTAAGTACTACAGTAACAGCATTTGTATTTCAGTTTATGAAAGGGATTTTAAAAAGTTAAATCTGCCTTCTGCTTTCTTGGCTCTGTTCAGTGATAGAGAGTTGTACCTTACTTGCACAGGGTTGTGAGTTACCATGTCTGGTTATCTTTAACAACAAATGGTATTCTGTTGGAGAAACAGAGAAACTAGAGAAGATTTCAGTATCTTGCATAATCGAATGGACAATACAGTCACACAAAAATAGTAGTTATGCAACCAAAACAATCAGGACAGAAAGACAAACTTACACTCACTTCTAATAATCATCTCTCAGCTAACACTTGGCTTACTGCTGAGTTGGTTTCCATATTCAATAATTGAAGTATCACCTTTGTCTTGGAAACAGTAGAGGGTTGTCTTTTGAGAAGCTGATTGGAGGAAGAACTGCTTCTCAGAACTTTTTACAGAGACAAGAGAAACACATAACACCTAGAACAGGAACTTAATTTAAGGTTTAGAGTGTAGAAGGTATAGTGTCTAAATGTTTTAGGCAGCAATGTTAGGGGTACATGAAACAACAGTTTATTTTTTCCAAAAGTTAAAAGTATCTGAGAAGAAAATGTGAAGAGGTTCTGCAAATATTGAGAACTTCTAGAGTAAAACATAGAGTTGGTAAAGTGAAGTTTTTCTAGTAGATTGGTGGTGCACAAACAGAATACAAAATGAATCACTCCATTCTTCAGTATCCAAATTAATGGACATTGTGCTTGAAGTGTTTGTTTTTCGATAATATACAATCTATTTAAACCTAAATTAAATAAACAAGACAAATCAAGAATCTGCTTTAAAATCAATGCCATGTCCAGTCCCTTTTAAGACTAAAGAGATTGAAGTGGATATACGTGCTCTGTTTGATCAGCTGACTAGACAATGTACTACTATGATTGCAAGCAATGAAGTTAAGTTTTTATAAGAAAGGTTTTTACTAAAATAGAAGAAAGACAGATGCTTTGTGGCAAATTTCTTTTGGTAAGGACCACATTCACATAATACGTGATGAATCCTTCTTCTAAATTGTTTGTAGGATTATCCAAGTACCCTCATAAATTCTGTATTAATGTTTAATTGTTAAATAATTATGAGCTGAATCACTGAATTCTTTAGAGCAGACCAATATTTTAATATAAAATATTTATTCAAATACTTTGCACATTTTAGTTTTTAAATCATTCCCAGATCAAAATTGTGCAATGATAATTCCCTTTTTTATACAGACCATCTGCTTACAGTATGTTTCACATGAGGCTGCATGCCTAAACATTTTCAGCACCTTTGCTTTGCATGGAAATAACTTGGCTTACATGTACTGTGTGTGTGTCAAGTGTGAGTGTTCTTTCGACTTTTTGTTTGCTTAACATTATTCTCTCAATTGTTTCATTCACTTTCAACCTAATTCACAACGACTCCTCTTTGTGTGTTTCATTTTATTTTATTTTTTACATCTTTATGTATTGTTTGTGATAATAAGGAGGATGTTCCCTGGAAAGGACCATACCTCTTTTTTGATCAACTTAATGTTTTCTAGTTAGAGGCTTAAAATTCCTTTAGTTGAAATGCCGGTTTGCAGCTGACTCAGATTGATATAGATGCCATAGTTTTGGAATTACAAAATGGTACATTTTCCTTCCTGGGTTCAATTTAAACATTCTTCTGACAGTTCGCTAGCACTGGCTTTCTTTTAGAGGAAAAACAGCTTTGATTGTTTCTGGTATATTTTCTAGACATGAATCTCTTACATTTGAACAATCTTGAGATGTCTATCTTTGTGTAATTCCACTGTCTCCCCGTTTCTTTATGTTTCTTGATTTGTTGGTGTCCCGTTTTGTTGTTTGAGGTTTTTTCTTGCCTTTCATGTTGTACGTATGGATGTGCAATGGTAAAAAAATAAAATAAAGTGTATAAGCAAGTTATTTCCTGCCCATCTCCTTCCCATTTTTGTTAGCTTGCTTTGCTCTTGTGTCCCAAGACCTGTTGGATCCACAAGCCATATCCACCCCTTTCTGTTGGTATTCCCCTTGCTACCATTTGAACCAAAGATTTTGTATTGTTCTGGTCCTGATCATATTTTTCCAATCTCTGTTTTTTTTTTAATTTCCATTTTAATTTGAATTGTTGTTCCTTGAAACCCAAGATGAAGAGGAGACTGATTCTACTGAAACATCTGCTCTGAAAATGCACTTGATTCGGGACTCTCCGGTCCTCGCAAGTCCCGATTTACTCTCTGAGGTCTCAGAGATGAAGCAGGATTTGATCAAAATGACAGCCATCTTAACAACAGACTCCACAGAGAAGTCAAGTCCCGTGGAAGGAGGTGGGCTTGAAAAGGGAACAGATGACGAACCTGGAGAGCCTTTTGAAATAGTAGAAAAGGTCAAAGAAGACTTAGAGAAAGTGAGTGAGATTCTAAGACGTGGAACATATACAGGTAAGACAGCATCACAGAAAAAAGAAGCGATAAGCCAGGCAGCACGGCAAGAGGAAGAATGGGTCTTACTCACTGACAGTGAAATCGAAGAAGCCAAACAAATGGCACCTTTTGAAGTTCAGGAGCCCTTAATACAAGAAGTTAAAATTGACCGAGGCACATCTCGGCCAAAGACAGCTAAAGATGTGAGTGGGATGGTATCCTATTTGGCTGAAGATCTAAATGAGTTCCTTTTGCAACAACCTGCTAAAATCCATACTCCACCTGAAGGCGTTATTGAAGAGCATTTCAAAGAGGTTCGTGTTCAAAGAGGCAGTAAATATATGTCTTTAGAACAGGATACTAAACTTCCTCCATCTGATATTAAAAAACCAGTGAGGAGAAAGTTAAAGGAAAAAAATGACCAAAAAGAATCTCAAATTGCCACATCTGAATCTGACATCTACAGGGTTAGCTCTGAAGAGTCTTTGGATGAAAGCATGATTTTGAGTTCAGCTCCAAAAGAAGTGTCACCAGTGGTGGAGGAGACCCCTATTGGTTCAATTAAGGAGAAAGTGAAAGCTCTTCAAAAGAAGGTTGAAGAGGAGGAAAAGGGGCGTAAGCAAATAAGCAGTAAAGCTTTAAGCAGTGATGAAAGTAAATTATCTCAAATTAAAAAAGAAACAAAAATGCCGCACTCACCTCCTGGGATGTCTTCTACAACAGAAAGACTCGAAGAGACTATGTCTGTCCGAGAACTAATGAGAGCCTTTCAGACAGGACAGGACCCTTCAAAGAGAAAGTCTGGGCTTTTTGAGCATAAATCTACAAATCTGATAACAGAACATTCAACTGCAACCAAAGGAACAGAAACAGTAAAAACACATTCCATACAGTCAAAAACAGGATATGTCACCAAGAACCATGAACAAACCACTTCTCTTTCTTTGGATTCATCTGAGATTCAAGATAGTGAAACAAGCAAAGAAAATGAATATTCAATAATGAAGGAAGAGATAAGCCCAAAACTTTCAACCAGTATACCTGACATGCTATTGCAAGTTGAAAAATGTGAAGCCAAGGTGATCGATGAGTTCCACAAAGAGACAGATATGCAAATAAGTCCTGACAGGAAACATTCTATGGATTTTAGTGAAGAAATTAAAGCAGAACTTGAGGGAAGTGATGAGTACAAGCAGTTTAGAAAGATATCTTGTCACGATGAAAGTGAACCAAGCACCAAGCATGAAGACTCAGGGGCTGTTCAACATGATCTCACAATTGTCTTCCCTCCTGAGCTTTCCAAAGACGAGTTCCTGCCAGACACAGTCCTACAAAATGGTGCCTTGGATGACAGCTCCGAGAGCCTGAAACACGAGGGTGTTGCTGATTCACCAAGTATTAGCTTAGGTGATGGCACACCTCAGATGAGCTCAGAAGAAAGTTATAAGCATGAGGGCTTGGCAGAGACTCCAGAAACAAGCCCTGAAAGTCTGTCATTTTCACCCAAGAAAATTGATCAACAAATGTTAGAAAGATCTAAGGAATCGGGTAAAGAAAAGTCTGAAAGCTTAGCTAATGATTCTACTGCAGCAGACTCTGGAGTTACAACCTTTGATGAGCAGCAGTCAACAGAAATGACTCTCCCAACATCTCCCACTGAGGAGACTGATGATCAAACCATGAGTGAGTCAACTGGACTCAAAGGGGACACAGTTTTCTGTGGTGAAGACACTAATGAAAAGAAAGGAGTATCTTCATCACCTAAACCATCACAATTTGGATTACATTCTAAAAGGGTTTCCGAAACTGTTGATACATTGTTAAGTTCAGAGGATGACGTGGCACCTGAAATTGCCAGCCAAGAGGTTCCTAAATCTTCTGGATTGCCAACTGAAAAGAGTGCTACATATTGTCATGATGGCCTAGATCTGCCACTTAAAAAGCAAGACTCAGAAGCTCTTAGTCCATTAGCTGATGATTCTTTGACCATTAGTCACAAGGACTCATTGGAAGCCAGTCCAGTTCTGGAAGATAATTCCTCACATAAAACTCCAGATTCTATTGAGCCAAGTCCAACAAAGGAGTCCCCATGTCGTGATTCATTAGAAAGCAGTCCAGTAGAACAGAAGATAGGAGCTGGTATTCCAGTAGTAGAACAGGCCAGTGGTCCTGCTTCCCAGACATTTCCAACAAAGGCAGACTTCCCAGCTGAAGCTGTGCGTAACAGGCTCCTTAGGGACCCTGAGGGCAGCGCAGATGATGATAGTTTGGAGCAAACATCCCAAATAGAAAGTTCAGGAAAAAGCCCTCTTTCACCTGACACCCCAAGCTCGGAAGAAATCAGTTATGAAGTCACACCTAAAACTCCAGACCTGCAGGTCCTGTCTGTACCCTCAAAACCACCTGCGATCCCAGAAGATACGGAGGAAGCAGATGAAGATGATTCCTCAGATAGCAGTGAGCCTCAAAAGAAATTCACCCCAGAAGAAGAAATGTTTAAGATGGCTGCAAAAATTAAAACTTTTGACGAGATGGAACAAGATGCCAAATGCAAAAGAGAAGTCAGAAGAGATTTTAAAACTACAGACGCTTCAGCTGTTTCTGAATTTTTGGAAGGTCAGCCTATAAGAATAGTGTCTCCAGATGAGAGCTCTTCAGAAAGTGAACCAGAGCTTACAAATCTTGAAAAAGATTTGGATTCAGCTCTTTCTGTAGAGCCCATAATTAAAGTACAACCCCCATCTCCTTTGCCCCCAGGCATGTGTGATGATTGTAGCCCTGTAGAACCTGAAGAGCATCATGCATACAGCTATGTAGAAGCAGAAGAAGAAAGAACAGTACCACCTTCAGAACATGAACAACAAACAGAACAAACTATACTGACTCACAGCTGTGAACCTTCTGATGGATCTTTTGGAGCTACAGAATGTTCACTGGTATCTATTTCTCATGAAGGCAGCATTAAGAAAGAAACATCTGATCATCCACAGGTACCAGCTAGCATAGAATTATATGAAGAAACAAAAGAAGCTGAACAAGAAACAAGTCCCTATGACAATGTAAGTTTTCATATGATTTCTATCTCCACTGATAGTGAAGAGTCAAAAAAGAGAACAACTGATGAAAAGGAAGAGTGCTTTGAACAACTGAGTGAAAGTAAGGAGGATAACAGAGGAACTGGCACGGTAACAGAATGCCCTTCAAAACTGTCCTTTGGAGATAGTCCGACAGAAACCAATGCAAAAGAAGAAATCAAAGGAGAACATTTCGAATGGTCTAGTAGATCAGACATTTGTGATGATTCTCATGATGAATTTGATCCCATCATGGAACGTGCACAGGATCCATGTAAGCCAGATGTCTGTGTTTATGATGACATTCAAGTAGAAGATGCACCAGCATCAGGTCTTAAAACTCAGTCCAAGGGAGTTACGGCAAGACCCGAAAGTGATGTAGATACCTGGAGTGCCATTCGAGAAGATGATGATGCTTTTGCAGCACGAGTCAAGGAGGAAGAGCAAAAGATCCTTAGTTTAATGGTCGATCGACAGTCCCAAGGAGCAACTCCAGACACTACTCCAGGTAGGACACCTACAGATGAAGGAACACCCACTAGTGAACAAAATCCTTTCTTATTCCAAGAAGGGAAATTGTTTGAGATGACAAGGAGTGGAGCCATAGATATGAGCAAAAGGAGCTTTGAAGATGAAAGTTTCCACTTCTTCCAAATAGGTGAACAACCTTTTGAGGAGATTTTGTCAGATGAAGCCAGAGAAGATCCTGTTGGATGTGAATCTTCTGAAGGGGAAAGTGCCGTTTCCATTACAGTGTCATCTTTGGATATAAAGACAGAAAATGATCTCCATGACACAACAAATGATGAAATAGATTTATTTCTTCCCCAGTCAGAAGCAAATGATGATGATCAGAGTCCTTGTACAGGCACAATGGTCACAAAGTCTGAATCAAAGTCCAGAATCCCAATTAAAATGGGAATTTCTGCATCAACTAAGACCGTGAAGAAAGATCCCCCATGTCCTGAACTAACAGATGGAAAGCCTGAGAAAAGAGATGAAGAAAGTCCTGACACAGAGACATCCATTACAGATGTACAACTGAACTTTTCAACGGTTACTAGGTCTGTATATTCTGAACAAGATGAGGAGTCTTCTGACTCTTCTCCAGAGGATCAGCATTCAGTCATTGAAATGTCTAAATCTGATACAGAGACAGTCACTACTAGTGAACCAAAGTCAAAACTCCCAGTCAAAGAATCTTCTTTGTCTGCTTCATCAGCTGTAACATCTACTCAGAAGGAGCCACCTCTGGAGGAAGATACAAAATCTAAATCTAAAATACCTGTTAAGCTTGGTGCAATTAAGCCTGAATCAACTTCTGATGTTTCATTAAAACGAGGAGAGTCCCTGAAGGATCCAGATAGAAAGTGTAAAATACCTGTTAAGCAGGAACAAAGGAGCAAGTCTGAAACTGATGCCTGCCCATCAGGAGATGGAAAATCAAAAAGGTCTTCCAAAGTTAGAAGTTACTGTGAGGGAGAGTCTCAGGAAACATCTCAGGACACTCAAAGCAGAACAGAAAGTGATGATGTTGTGAAACCAAGGACATTCCAGTCTAGACTGCCTGTTAAGACCAAATATGGACAAACATTCCATACCTCTACTCCAGCTAAAGAGAACAAAGAACAGTTCTTTGAGCTTTACAAGCATTCCATTGAATTCTTCGAAGAAATAAGTGATGAAGCCTCAAAGTTAGTTGAGAGGCTTACACAAGCAGAAAATGAACAAGAAATGATTTCAGATGATGAAAGCAGCACCTTGGAAGTCTCAGTTATAGAAAGTGAGGCATGTTTTGAGTCACAGCTGCCTCTTCCCGAAGATGTCTTTGACATGAGACCTATCTGGGACGAGTCTGTTGAGACTCAGATGCAACTCATTCCCGATGAAAATGTCCACGCCCAATGTGAAGGTACTTTCCAGCTAATTGGGTTTCTCTGTGCGTTTGCGCGTTAGAGATAAACTTGCGCACCTCTTTTAGCTAAAGCTTTTGTGATTGCCTCTGTGGTCTTTTGAATTATTTGTGTTGTGACTGTCTTCTTTCCTTGTGTGTGTTCTAAAAATCTCAAGATTGATTTAGAACTTTGTTTAAAAACAGGAAAAACACAATTAGCAGACGTGTTATTGTTTGTTTAAATCACCTTGTAGTTCTGTATTGAATCGTCTACTATGTCTTAGAACATAGTAGGTGATGATTACACATACTCTATCTTGCAACGAACCCTTTCTAAAAGGGCAGAATTTAAATATAGAAGTATTTCAGCTCAGAAATTTGTAAATATTTAAAATTAACTTTAACATGAATTAGTATCTATATTGGCATTCATTTATCGAACTGATATGGTCCTTTGCCAAAATGCTGCATTTTACTCTTTTTTTAAAGTGGCATCATTTTTCATTGCTTCAGCACCGTTATCTTAAAATCAAAAGAAATGCCTTTTTTTGACATAAAAACATATGTGGTGAAACTGCTACTCAGTTTTAATTTACCCTTGTTTTAAAACCTTCCAACATATAATCTTATTTAAGGGAAAATAATGAAAATATATCAAAATGTATTTAGTAGATATTAACACATTGAAAGAAAATGAAGTATTTTTTATGTAGACAGAATTTTTTTTCTTATATAAATGTAATTCTCGAACTACTTAAGTGACGGCTACTTTTGATAGTTGTGATCTGTTGTGGTGAAATTTAGATCCACAGGATGATGCAGAAAGAAAGGAGGAAAGATTAGCTGTTATTGCTGACCATCTTGGATTCAGCTGGACAGGTGAGTAGCAATACAATAAATAATACAGTGCATATGTGAGTAGGTTCTTTTCACACAAGATGTGAGACCACAGACAATATTGAAGCAATGCTGGTTTGACACTTGGAAGACAAAAAACAGTTCTTTTTGCAGATTTGTGACACGTCGCCTAGGAACCTGAGCAAGCAGAAACAGTGTCTGAAAATCCCCCCCAAAATTAGAAGCATGTTTAAAAGGAAATAGAATGCCTTATATGTACTATGCATAGTGTTGCGTTCTGGTGGAAATGTGAAACAATATTTTATACCTGAATCATCTTTTCTTATTTTAGGTTTTATTCTTCATTTTACTGAAAAATTGTAGGTTTTTAAAAACTTTTTAAAACTATTTGAATGGCACATGAAATGACAAACTGGGCAACAGTGCTGCAATTCAATGGTCATTGACATGGGTATATGGGTGTAATTTATAGCCCTTGACAAATGAATCCTGGTACTACGTTTAGAAATGCATTTGAACACTTCATGTTTAAATAAACACCAAAAGCAACATATCAAATGGATTTAAAATTATTATTTCTTTAAGTACTGACCGTTAAACCTCAAATGGAGATAAAACAAAACATGTACTCAATATAATTATTCTGATTTTATTTCTTTTTTTTAATATTTGGAAGCCTCAATTTGTTTAGATTTTTTTTCCCACCACCTGTAGTGTTTCAGAAACAAATAATGGTGTAGTGGATTGCACTGTTGCCTTGAAACTCTTGTTCCTGGGTTTGATTCTGGACTGGGGTGCCTTCTGTGTGGAGTTTGTGTTTTTTCTCTGTTCCCTGGTTTCCACTCATCTTCTTCCAAACTACCCCCCACATCCAAGGAGTAGTTTCGCCAAGAGCCCTTTGCATCCAGGTCATTGCAATCATTGTCAGGAATAAGTGGATTTCCGATTATGAATGGAAAGATGGATGTAGTGCTGTGGTAAACTCTTTATGATACCCATGTATCGTTTGTGTCCGGTTTATTATATTACTTCTGCTTTTATTTTTGTTTTGCTAAAATTCTGAACAGTTATTATTATTCCAAACATACCATTAATTCAGGTTACAACCTCTGATGCATAGAAATACTGAATGTACTGTAGTTCTCTTAGAGGATAAAATCCCAAAATAGCTTTGTAATCTACTGCATGTGTCTTTGTGTGTGTGTGTGTGTGTGCATATGGTCTATGAAATGTAGATTTGTGAATACAGTAGGTCAAAGTGAGTGAATTCAAGCAGAAGACGAGAGCTCAAAATCTAACAGATTTTTCATTCATCCAGAACTGGCCCGGGAACTAGACTTCAGTGAGGACCAAATTCATCAGATAAGAATTGAGAACCCCAACTCATTGCTGGACCAAAGTCATGCTTTACTTAAGTATTGGATGGAACGAGATGGCAAACATGCCACAGGTAATCTTTTAGTTTTTGCCACTAGCATACAGTATATATTCCTGTATCATATACAGTATATACAATATAAGACAGTAAACAAAAATGTTTTTCATAATACTGTATTTTTGTGTAAAAATGGTTAAAATGCTATCATAAAAGGTCTTACATAAAGGAATCATCACAGAATTTTTTGTCTGCCATCTGATCACTAATGTTTTATCATGTTTGTCATTCCAAACAGAAAGCTGTTTAATTCAGAAACTCACAAAGATTAACAGAATGGACATTGTTCACCTCATTGAAACAAAAAGCATGAAGTCATGTCAACAGCTGTCCTCACGAACCTATGCTGAGATTGAGCAGACAATATCCTTGGATCATAGTGAAGGTACTGTAAACTGTAGATTATTTTGCTACCACAGTTATCTAAAAGTATTTCGATAAAAGAAGTAATTAACGCGACAATTCCTCTCAAATCCGTCAAATACCCTCACATACAGTAGATAATACATTTGAAAGGGTGGTACCACTTCAAAAGCTTGCAAAACCTTTGAGAAACTCAGAGTACATGTTTTATTTTTACTTTAAAATACAGGCTTTTCTAACTACCGGCTTTTTCTGGCACTTTCACATAACCAGAAATTGTTACACTTTCTAATCGTACTGTTTTTTTTTTGTTTTAACTAATTTCTAATTTTAGGGGATGAATTTTAAAATGTGTTTTTAAAATAAAGCACATTGCAGCATGACCACACCTAATTGTTTCTGTGTTTGTGTATAGGATTCTCTGCACTTCATGAAGACATCGACAGCCCCAGGACTGTGCGTCGTGCTGAGAGCACACCTAGTAAGACACAGCCATCTGCAGGCCAGCAGCCACCTGTCGTGTCTGAAGAAGACATATCCGTTAGCTTCTCCTCAGTACATGAAAGCACTCCAAAGTGGGATGCAGATACTACAGTTGCCGATCTCTTGAGACAAGCGCAGAAAGATAAGATGCAAGCTGACATGTACAGAGAATCAGAGCTGCCATTTGAAACATTGTCTCTTGGTCCTAAACAACATTGGTAAGTGTTTCAACTCAGATGTGTTTGTCTTATGACTTTCAATATCACACTGCATGACTGCAGCCATGCAACCTGTCTTCATTAGATGTACTGTATTTCAGTGAGATGTTCCTAACCTTAAGAGCTAACAATATTGTTATAAAGGCATTCAATGAAAATAATTGGTATTCACATTCTTATTCAATGTCTTTTCTATGTGTGAATAACAAAAAAGCAATGAAACATGGGTTTGGGTTTGAGATAATAATAATAAGTAATAATAATAATAATAATAATAATAATAATTCCATGGTTTTGCTGGACTTGCATAAGCCACTGAGGTATCCTTGTGTTCTCTGTGTATGTGTACAGTCAGATAGTAATTCCATCACTGTCAGCTTGGGCGCTTAGCTATAGCCATTTGAAATTGGAGCTTTGAAATAGATGGTGATAGTGGTATGTTTTACAAACAGCTAACATGATAGAGTTGTCAGTGTGCTCCTCGTTAAAGACTTGCAGGATTCTCTGAAAGAGAATCTCACAATAGTAATATACAGTATAGTAATAATTGATCCTATAGTTTTGATACAGGTTTCAAAGCTGTACAAAGCATGAAATGTATAATTTATTATTTAAAAAGTTTTCATCTGAAGGCATTTTAAATTATGTTTTTTTTTTATCAGTGCTGTGGACCAAGAAGCAGAAGTCACAACCCAGCTGGCATTTGAAAAGGAAAGCACAGAGTCAACACTTGCAAACTACATGAGAGACTCTGGTGAACAAGTAAGTCCTCCAGTTCATGAGCACCAAGCATTCACTCCTGAGCTGGCAGCTCAGACCTCAGTGGCCATGCCAGCTCTCGCAGAATACACAGACAAAAGCTTGGCAAACAGACGAGCTCCCGCTGAAACCACAGGGAACACAGCTGAGTACTGGCTAACATCCTCCGAATTCAAGACGTCCTCATCAGACGGCAGACAAATGAACCCTGAAATGAGTCCCATATCATCTGTATTCATCAAGACCATCCATAGTCCCTATCTGTTATCAAGTGAATCTGTCAGACCTACAGATGAATTCAATCGGGTATCACCTGAATGCATTCAGCCTTTCCATGAATGCAAATACGTATCTCCAGAATTCAGCTATACTTCCACTGAAATGAAAACAATGTCCCTGAAAAGCAGCCCTGACGTCAGCCCCAAATCTACTGAATTTAACAAAGATTCTCCTGAGAGCAATCAGTTGTCAACTGAATCAATCAAAATCGGTCCTACATATAATCAAATGGCATCTGAAGTCAATAAATCTACTCTCGAATTTAGTCAGATATCACCTGAATCACTCAAAAGTGCCTTTACATTCAGTCCTACATCACCTGAGCGTAGTAAGACTACCCCTAAATACCAACAAACATCCATAGGAGTGAGCAAAAACACCAGTGAAATCAGTGAGATATCACACAAATTTAACAAAACATACCCTGACTTCAAACAGATATCTCCCATACTTCTAAACACATGTGAGATTAATGATTCAGCACATGATAGCAACAAAACTGAATTTGGATTTGATGTTATTTGTCTTGAATCTGACAGAAATGATCCTGATGTAAAATTAATTTCACAAGAAACACAGAAACCTAATATAGTTTGCACTGCAATATCAGAAGGTGATAGAGGTTCTACCAGTCATACCAAAACAAACAGTGACATTTCTACAGAAATTATAAAATCGTCCCCTAAAGACAGTCAAAGATCACCTGACTCGAACAAAATATCTCCTAAACTGAGTCTAATATCACCTGAAACAGAATTTAACAGAACACAATATGAATTACATCAGATATCACCCGAATCCCAAACAACCGTATATGAATTGGATGGAATATCACCTGTACCAAACAATACATCCTCTGAAAACTATCAAATATCACCAAAACTAAATGAAACAACCTGTAATGTCAGTCAAACATTACTTGACTTGAACATACCTCACACTGACTCCTATCAAGTTACACCCGAATCCATTGTGCTAAGCACTCATAATTACAACCAGATATTACCTGAATCAACTAAACCAATAACTGAATACTGGTCAATGCAACCAGACATAAAACACAACATCTCTGAATTTAGTCAAATACCACCTGAAATCAGGAAATCTCCATCTGAATTCTGTCAAATATTGCCAGAAACCAACCAGACTACCTCTGAATGTGGAGCAAAAGCATCAGGGTTCAATGTCACCCCTGAGAGCAGTCGTGTTTCCTCCGATGTCCATGATTACACTGATGAACTGAAGGAACTTAGCTTTGACTTCATGGAACCAGAGCCTGACAGCAAAGAACTAGCTATTGATTTTAAGGAACTCCCTGCTGATTATGCAGAACCTGTCTGTGATTACAGAGACATTATTCCTGAATACATGAAGCCTGTTGCTATCATGAGAGACACTTCATCTACTCATAAAACAGTTGTCCCTAATATGAGTAACTTATATATCTCTGAATGTATAGAGTCAGTCCCAGGTGACAGTTATGAACCTCCTATTTATACAGACGTTTCTCAGACGTACAACATCGCTGACCCTGAATACACTGAGCCTTGCGTGCAGTACAGGAAAGGCTACAGTGAATATGCCCAACCACCCCAAGAACACCAAGAAAGTGTAGCTGAGGCTACCTGCGATTCCAAGCAGCCTTTTACATGCCAGAGTGAGGCTACCTTTGTACATCCTGAAGCTGAACCAGTATACACAGTACCTGCTAGTTTGTATAAAGAGGAGACCTTTAGGAAGATGACCCCAGGGAGTGAAGAGTATGATGTGACCCCTATTGTGCATGAGCCAGAGGAGGTCCAGACCAGACCACCCACAGCAGTATCCCCCAAAGCAAGTGGCCTAACTATTATTGAAGAGCATCCTGAAAAAGTGACCAAATACCTTGATGATGATGCCCTAGAGAGGGTAAGGACTTGAGCATGGCCTTGAGCTTGTATTCAGCTTGTTATACTGTGAACACGAGGCTATGCAGTAGCAATTGATTAAAAGGGATTCACATGCAGACCATTAACATTGTGGCAGTCTAAACGTTTACTAACAATGTGGATTTTAAAATTGTTTTACACAGGCATGACCCATATGAATGTTACTAACAGATTTAAAGGATTTACCATTTGAAGTGTTAACATGTAAGAATTTGTGCGTTTGCATTAAAATCCTTTTTTTCAATTCTTATTTCCTTCTCCCCTAATGTATGCCATAGATACTCATACTGTATGCAGTATTTTTACCTACAGTTAAGTCACATGAGCTAAGAAGTTGTTCTATTTATTTACATGTTTTGCAGAAATAGATGGATTATTTTTGTATTAATTCAGGATAAATTAAAAGTATTGTAATGCTAAAATAGAACCATACACAGTTTTTTCTATTTAATATACCTTGTAACATCATTGCAGTTTTGCTGTGATTTAATCTTTTCCTTGCTCAGATTGTGAAATGCATTTATAACAGAAATATCTAATGTAATGAACTTGTATAAAAAAATATAAAATATAAACATACAGGAACTTTGAAAAGCATGTAAACTGTTAAAACAGCAACAGCTATTGGGCACTTTTGGAGGACCATTCTCTGACAGTCTTTAGATGACTTTGGAGCTAAACATCAGATTGTCTTCACAATCCTCAGGAGACATGGCTCAGTAATCTGTAGATTATGATGTGGAGTGTGGTAATTAAGACTTTTGAAAGTCCTAGAGAAATGATAGGATCTTCCCATTCAAAGACTCGTACAGTATGTCAACTGTATGATCTTACAGTCTATTGTATTTCATCCAGTCTTTAAAAGTAATGGTACATTTTTTAAATAGAAATTTCAGTTAGGATATATTTTTCTGTCAGTGTCTTTGCAGAACTGTAACATTTGCATGAATGGTTTGGGATTCTTGTGTTTAATAAACTTCGTCCTTCATGATGCAGCAGAGATTAATAACACATCAGATTATGTGCAGAATAACCTTACCAATGAATAATCACAATAACCTTACAATTTAGTACAAGCAGAAATAAAATAATAACAAAGAAACAATGATAAAATGTTTAATTCTGCTCTATGCCTAAAATGACCTGATATTAACAAAATAATCATTTCATGTAAGCCATGTCCAACCCACTATGCCTCTCTGCTATCAATCAGGAGATAGCAGAGGAACTAGGTTTGCTGGAGGATAGTTCAGATGAAGAAGAGATGGTAACGACCAGGGTTGTCCGGCGCAGAGTTATAATTCAGGTACTGAGTGGCAATGAAGAGCATGTGAATTTGCCCTGGGAAGAGTTAAGGGTGTTTGGCATCACTAGAGTCCATGCTGTGATGCTGAACATGTGGCTGTTTGCTTAGTAGTGCAATGGGCATGTGTTGCTTTATAGACCAACATAAGACTCCCCCTCTACTTCCCTTGTCCCCTCCGATGCTTGCTTATGAAGCAGTACAGTAGTTTGCACTGTACTGCTTTGTACTCCGACAGCCTTAATCCTGTTGTAGTGACAATCTCTTTCATTTCAAACCGGTATTTTTTAATTGTATGTTGCATCATTTCGGGGGTATGGAGGTAAATACTTGAAAACCTTTTTATGTGGATGAAAGAGAATAAAGGGTAATATCTTAGTTTGCTCGAAAAAAGCTGGAAAATGAACAGAGGTGGTGACAAGAGGTCTTATTCCCTCTCAGAATTCCCACAAAAAGCTGGGCATACATTTTTCATGTAACATTCTTGTCATTATTATTAGCAATGCAGTCCAATACATGAAGCCTGTTGCTATCATGAGAGACACTTCGCCTGATCATAAAACAGTTGTCCCAAATATGAGTAAGCTGATATTTGGTGAAGTCCTTTAACCTATTGGTCAACTGTAGGTACCGAATACAGGGCTTTAAAAATGACCCAGAAGGAAAGATCTCAGCTTTTTAAGGGTTTTAGTGTGAATAGTAATATAGAATATGTTTTTTCTTTTTTAAGAAAACATATTTTTTAGCATGGGGCTATGGACAAATGCAGTGATTAGTTTTTTGCACACTAATTTTTCATTTTCACTTTTCGTGTTATTTAGGCTGATGAGATGCCAGACATTCCACCCGAGTCAGTGACAGAAGAGCAATACACAGATGAGCACGGCCACATCGTTGTAAAGAAGGTACTATACCTGACCAAATCATTTTCATACAGAGTTCACTCGCCATATTTGTATTCCCTCAGCCCAAGAGAAGAATAGATGTGTTTCAACACAGTGAACATAATGGGGGCAATAATGAAATTAACGGCATGTTAAAATCCATTTTTGCAGGGCATTATAGTACTTTATGCTCAATAATAATGTAATGTATAATGTTTCTTTATTAGCCCTATACAATTTCTTGCATTAGGAATTCATCTTTTCACATACCCCAGCTTTTCTCCATGGAGACAGACAGGGAGAGAAGCTTGGGGTCAGAGCACAGGGTCAGCCATTGTGCAGCGCCCCTGGAGCAGTTAGGGTTAAGGGCCTCGCTCAGGGGCCCAATGGAGTAGGATTCCTCTGCCAGCCACAGGATTTGAACCGGCAACCTTCCAGCCACAGGTGCAGATCCTTAGCCACAGAGCCACAACTCCGAATGTCTATCAATTAATGGTTTGCAACTGCAGATGTTTTATTTAAGAGACTATAATAAAAATGTACGTTTCTTAACTTTCTTAACCAGTTTTATTGATCTCAGGGAAGGCATGCACACTGTAAAGGGACAAGGAATCAGGTTTTCTCCATGTTTATTTTTATTTTTTAATGTAAAATATGGGCAAACCCCTTTCTTATCCATTTATAACAAGGTGCCACAATTATACACTATATTCTAAATGATGCTTTACAAGTGCATTATTCAGATTTAACATCCTTTGATTTTAATTCTACACTTTAAGTTATCCCAACCTTTTGTTTGCCTTTTTTATTGCTTCATCAAATCATCTTGTCATCTGCCAGATGTTTGCCTTGAATAGTTCACATCTTTTGAATTTCATTTGCTGCTTCTGTGGAGTTTGCCGATTCTCTCAGTACAATCTGCAAATATGGCTAACTACTGTATACCAAAATGTAGATTATAAGATTACAAATAGGAAGAGCAGAGTTCCTACTACAGATCCCTGTGGTACTTCACTATTTACAGTAAATGACCCCAATTTAAGTATTCACTCCGTATCTGTATTCTCTGTCTCAATCTAAACACGTAATTTTCAGAATGACTGCCCTCTGTAACTTGAGCATCAATATTCTACGAGAAACTTTATCAAAAATCTGAAATACACTTTCAGAATCTGTATACACTATTTCATATGCTCTTTGGATATCCATTTCTGTCATCGATTGTTCAAAAACTCTATTCTTCCAGTGCAAAAGGACAGAATTTGACCATTTCCTTTGTTTCCTTTTTGTTTTTCCCCTACAGATCACCAGGAAAATAATTCGGAAGTTTGTGTCCCCGGATGGCACAGAGAAAGAGGAGGTGGTAGTGCAGGGACCGCAGCAGGACCCAGTGATTGCTGAGGAAGGTGATGGCTACTCCAAGGTGCTGAAGAGAACAGTGCTGAAGAGCGAAAGTGACCAGACAGAGGTCAGTAGATCTCCAGACTGCTATTTTTAGTCTGCTAGTCATCTATTACAGTGTGGCTTGGGAGCAGCTCGTTTTTGGATCAAAAGGCGTTATAGGGGGTGACCAGGTCAAGCCAGTCCATTATTAAAGGCGAGTACAGCTCGCCTTTATTGTGGACATTTTTACAGAAAGACTGGAAGTATTGCTAAGGATAACAATCATGCTGGATTCTCATTTTTCTCTCACTCTCCCCTTCCCTCTGGTAAGCGTTATACATGTAGGAGCACAAAGGCAAGTAGGCAAGATTCAGTGACAGTTTCTTTCCGATAAGCTGTCATATTGCTGAACTTTATCCCGACCACTGACTCACACTGATGTTTTTGTTTCTCTTCTCACACTGCTTGTCTGACTTGTTTTTAAGTTGTGTGTTATTTAACTTGTTGCTGTTGCTGTAGCTGTTCTGTGTTTATGTTTTGGTGTGTCCTTCATGTCTTTGTATCAGAGCATACAGTACTGTACGTGCAAATAAGCATTTCATTGCACTTGTGCTGAGCTGAACTTTTAACATTTTCTGTAAACTGTAAAATCAAAGCGTGAATAGAAAGAAAAGGTCGCACATCAAAATCTACGTATCTGATATAATGAACTAGTGTGACAGATGGTGTATGTAAGCTTCTAAAAGAGGATAAGAAGATAAATGCAAGCTTCTTTTTTTTTTACAACAGGCACATCTTCCACTTTGCCGTTATCTCAAATATATTACTCGGGAAAAAAAAAAGACATAATGATGTATGTTTTCCTACGGTTAATTGTCGTCTGATCTTGATTGTCAGTTCCATTGACAGCCTCAAAGAATCTTTTTGCTAGAAAAAGTGAAAATGAAAGTTTGGTATGTTGCATGGACACTATATGCAACTAAAATTGTTATTCATATTCCGGCATTGTATACTAATCTTGCTGCGTGTAACAGGAGTAGCCCATTTTTGCACATACATCATAAATATTTAACTGCACATTAACATTAGACTCCTTATTGATTTTTTTAACACTGTGAATGTGAATGAAAGTGGGCTTAAATGCACAAAGGGGGCTACAGCGACAGCAGGAAAAGTGAGGTGATATGCATGAGGTGGCATCTTAATAATAAACTGAATTTTGTTAATTGAATTAATATTTTCCAAGGCAACACCTCTGGGGCCTCAGCAGAAACAGATGTGCAGTTTGGCTACATGTCTTTTCATACATACACTCTAATTACTCACACAGCCATTTTGCCCCACATTCAACTACATAATAATAAACAAGAATTAATTCCTTACATTTCTATATCACTTTTCCCACCCACCTGGATGATGTGACGGCAGCAATAGTGCACCAGTAAACTCAGCACATCGACTATCAAAGGGAAGGAGAACAGAGTGATGAAGCCGGTTCATAGATGGGGATTATTAGGAGGCCTTGATTAGTAAAGCCAATGGGAAATTTGGCCAGGTAACATCCCTACTCTTTTAGAGAAACACCCTGGGAGTTTTAATGACTACAGAGAGTCAGGACCTCAGCACCTTTTTATAGTATAACGTCCCTGTCACTATACTGGGGCGTTAGGATCCACACTGACCGTGGGGTGAGCGCCCCCTACTGGTCCCATTAACACCTCTTCCAGCAGCAATCTCAGCTTTCCCAGGAGGTCTCCCATCCAGGTACTGACCAGGCTCACACCTGCTGAGCTTCAGTGGGTTGTCGTTCTGAGCTGCGGGGCGATAAGACTGCAGGCCATATTTATATCGCCGAACCTATTTATATCGCATAATGTGACTGTCTTGGTCGTCCACCAGGTGACCTTCTCTGACCCCGCAGCAGAGGGCAGCTCTTCGGGGTTCCAGGTGGAGCCCACTCATGGCCGAAAGGTCAGCAAGGTCATCAAGACCACAGTTGTCCAGGGAGAGAGGATGGAAAAGCACCTTGGGGACCCCTCACTAGCTACTGGTCTTCCAACGGCTGAAGACGACTTCCAGCAGGTCAGCCCTTTTCAGGTTTCAGTCTGCGCTGCATAGACATCAAACAGGCTCTATATTAAAATCAACAGTATAATGTAGTCTTTTATTTCTGGGTGGAGGCACAATGAAAGGCGATATTTCTGTGTATGAACTCCTTTCCCTTTCTTGTTATATTCAGGCCTTGAGTTATGCAGGGGGCTTTGGAAAAATTCACCTTCCACATTTAGTTGAGCAGGAGATTGTGAAGGAGGATGGATCAGTGATCAAAAGGTTTGGAATGGCATGAAACGGCTGTTGTCCAAAACCCTGAGATTAACAATGGCTGAGAATCCCTGTGGAGCAAATTGTGTGATTTAGAAGCACTGTAGTTTTCCTTCTAACAAACTCTCTCATGAATAGTTTTGCCCATAATAATCATTATCAAGGAGAGGGTAATGGCGTATGTATTGTTTCACTTCCCTCCTTTTTCAGCTGTAATTTCTCAACCCTGGGTTTTATAAAAGGATCATCTGAATCTGATTTCATATTTATATGTACATCTGGATGACATAACTCAAATCATAACATATACCAAGTTCTTTCATATTTGTAAGTTTAAAAATGAGTAAACTCAGGAATTTATCTTTACAGATTTAAGAGGAGAAGTGGAACAGCACATTTCTTCCACACCAAGAAGCTTGCATGTTTTTTTTAAAGAGTTATTGTGATACAGTATATTTAATCAAAATTAAGAACAATTATCATTGTCTTGAAGTAAAATTGTCCTTTGCTCTTACCTGCTTATATTTTAGTCCAAACTACAGTATAAATACAGATGTGGTCCTTTGCCCACAGTCAGTTAATGACCCAGTAGTCCATTATTTATAATAATAACATTATTTTAAAATGTCTTCTAACCTTTAGAATATCAGTGATTTCTGTCACACTCACTATGTTTTAAAGAATAATGCCTTCCATTTGGTAGAATATCAAATTCCTGCAGGATGGATTTCACCTCATTTCTGATATTTAGAAAAGTCTTCAGACCGACTAATAATTGCGTCAGCTATCAGTGGTCTTTTTTGCTATACATTTCATCTTCCGTTTTGGTTTACAAAAAACTGTTTTCAAATTTTATTGTAGAAATTAGATAACAAGATTTAATTACATTTAAAAACCAAAGCAAAGGTTTCAAGAAATATTTTAAACAAATTTTAAACTCTTAAGAGAAAATTAAAATATAGATGTGAATCACATGATATGACAGTGTATGAATCAATATCCAATATGTAATATGTGAATTTTGTATTGTGTACTTTATTAAAGACAAAGGGATGTTAAAAGGTTTAACAAGGGATTTAAGAATCCAGGTCTTGGGTTACCAGGTATTTCAGTGAGTTAAAATCTTTCGCCTAGTTTGCAGAATGAGTCACAAAGCCTGGAGGCTCAAACTGGCCTTCAGACTTTGGGATACGCTGGCCACTGTGAATTAGAGTTTCCAGTGGCTTGTTAAGCACTGGAATGGGGTGGCTTGTTAAGCACATAATAAGGAGTGATGTCCCTGTGACGTCTCTTAATCTCTTCTGTCTCCATTCTTTTTCACAGTAAGAAAACAAGAGACCAATCTCACACAATATAAAACAGCATCAAAATTCTAGCTGCTGGAGAGGTTAAAGCAAAGAGCCTGTTACCACGAGCGTTTTGATTCAGCTCCCAGCTCTGTCATTAAAACTGTGTTACCCTGAGCACACAGTTCCTTATGCTCTATCCTTTGGATGAGAAATAGAATTAAGTTTCTGCTATCTATCTCTAGTCACTGTAAGGTTCATAGATCAATATGACTGCTATCACTAAGCACAGAACTTCAAAATTTTCACCTCAAATACATGATTTTATTTTCATAGAAATGTTTGATAAGAACTGTGCATTTTAACACAATATACAATAGTGTGATGTTGACAGAACATTGCAAGTACTGTTCTGCTATACATACCTGTACTGTATTGTTGCTTTGTAGTTATAAAGTACTATTTATCTTGTTTCTTTAAAACTGTACATTGAATTGCTTATAAACAGCAGGTCATAAGATATAATCACTGGATTTTGTTATTTCATAATTCACAAATATGCAAAGGAGCTTTTCTCCAGACATCTTGAAACATCTTGTAAAGGCAAGGGAACCTGCCTTGTAACAGGTCACTGCTGTCCTTCAGTTATGCAATGGTTGAATATCAGAAGACTATACGTGTTGAATTATGGTACTCTTAGTTTTTAGAAACAGACACAAATCTGTATGCAACAGAGGAGTTGTCATTCTTCAGATTATGGTCAGTTTAGGGACAGATTTGGAGGGGTCTGGTGTAGCTGGCTTCAGATATTTACTCACGAAGGTGTTGCCGAAGTGAAAGCTGAATATGTGGTTTTTGCCCCATCAACTAGGGGTTTACTAAATACTGTTATGCTAAGTAAAAAAAACATGGTTTGCTATCTTAATGAAGATGTTCAGCTCCACCAGCGAGCTAGCACAGTAAATCCCAGAAGATCATGTTCATCACATGGTCGAAGATCTGATGGTAATGGGGGTGATTGATCTGAGCTCAAATGTGTATTATTATTATTTCTACCTGATTTGACTTCGTGCCAGGCTCCCCATCTGGGTAACAGTTTCTCCTGCGCTGTGCCCTGTGGACTCACGCTTGGCCTGTGTCCCCGTCACCACAGAGCGGTGGTTCCTTAAGCCCGGTTCACTCTGTGCCCGGGGGAGGTGGGGGGGAGGGCGAATGAACTGTCGAAGCCCTGTAGCTCCCAGCTCCCGCGTCGTGTTTTTCACGGTTGTCTTCTCTGCCGGCTCCTCTCTTAAGGTCAACGATGCATAAGGCCTGCTGTCAGAAGAGGACTGTGGTAAGGGACGCGGAGGGGAAGCGGGTGCACGTGGAGCAGCTCGAAGACACTCCCGCGGCGCTGCGGCGCGACGACCTCCAGCGCGACCTGCACCAGCTCCTCAGCCGCTTCTGCACCGACGAGGCCGAGTGACACAGCCAGCAGCCGCCCCCCGGTTCCCATTTCAGCCCCTCGCGCCCATCCTGCTTGACGCACCGGACCCGGTTTGTTCTCGCGCACCTACGCTTTACCTAAAGACGCTGGATTCTTTCCAGTGCTGAATTGGAACAGAGCAGTTTTTGTTTCCCAATTTTCTTCGATTTTCTTTCCCGTTTTCTAATTTTGTGACCAAAGATAGCATCCTGTGATGTTGAGTTACGTAAAAAAAAAAAATGAGATATTTTTTTTTGTTGTTGCTTTTTTCGCTGCTGTGTTAGAGAATGACTTGCCAACGGGACGGCAAACTACAATGTCTGCTTCATCCACAGACCTCTTCAGAAGGGAAGGACGCTTTTGAACATTTGTATATATATACTGTAGGTTAAGTGCTTGGACTTGGATGGTTTGTTACACTGCCTATCATAACTGCACACAAACACAAAAGTCACTGATCACAACATCTATTTTTCCTAGGGTATCGTTTAACAAAGTAATACCTGATATCACTATATTAATCAGCTGCGTGTACAGGCCCATTACAAAGCACTTATACCATGTGATCGCTGCTGGAGTGTTTTGTCTTTGTATGTCTATAATTGGGAGGGGAATGGTGACTTGTAGGTGATTTTAACAACAACAATAATAACTATCACTAAACTGCAAGTTCTGGGGGAAGAAAGCGAATGAATGCTGTTGTCGCCAGAACCGACCATGGCTCGAAATGGTCCCGTGAACATTCAGAACTGCATAAGTGAGCTACCTTCTGTGTTGCACCAATGCTCAAGAACCAGTAATCTTTTACAAGCTAGAACTGCAGAAGGCTCCGATATAGCCCAGTATTTTCCGCCTAAAGCTTTGCAACCACTTTCTTTCGGTCAGCTTTGTCCGTCTCATCCTGTGTGTGCTGTGGTTCCTTTTCCCTCCTCTTCACTGCACTCTAGTAGACCTGGGAATGAGGTGAGGCACTCTATGTGTGTGAAATTACTGTAATGTCTGCATTCAACTATTTATCAGGGTTGTCCTGTTTGTACGTGTGTGTGGTGGACATGACTGCTGTAACCATGTTTTTACTAAATAACTTACGTACCAAGAGGTTCCTCAATAGGACAATGTTTTTCTAATACAGATGGGTACGATGGGGGGCATAGACGTGAAGGCCCACAAAAAAGAAGTGCGAGATCTCAAGGGATTTGATAACAATCAGCGTCATCATTGATCAGGGGGTTTGGGGTGTTTGTTTTCTTTCAGAGATATGAATCAGCCCTGCTACTGACTCACTGTTACAGGGAAAACTGTTGTGAGTTTATTGATGTTTAAAAGACAGTTATTTTATGACATAGTAGTTGTTCAATATTGTTTTTACACTCTGGGCTCAGAATGGAAGGCATATCATCAGAAAAAGGTATAATTGTTATATTTATTCACATGAATCCCCATTTTATTGGAGCCATGTTTAGTGAATGAGCTAACAAAACTGATCTTATTTTGTAGACTATAAGTAACAAAATATGCTACAGGCCATGTTGTTATTTTTGTGAAAGTGTGCTAGGGTTAAAGAGTCCTTCAACTCTATAGAAATAAGGGTTTATCCGTTAGTACTGCTGTATCCCTATAAAATTACATTTTACATGTTAATTTTTAACAGAGAATTTTAATAGAATTTCAAAGACAAAAAAAGAAGAGTGGTTTTATGGATCATAAACATTATTTTAGGCTGGCCTAATTTTAGATATTTAAAGTTGTTAAAAAATCTCTTCATGGCTTTATTATTATTCCAAAACCACTTCCATCAAGAAGAGTTCAATACCATTTTGTCCATGAGCACATTTCCCAAAAGACAAGTAAGTAAAATACCATACTGTATATCAACTTTAAAGGCACAAAATATTGTTCCATAATTCTCTTAATATGAATTTATTTTCTAGTCAACTTTAATTTTCTGTGGCTTTCTTCAATTATGAAATATTAAAAAAACTCAGAATGTAGATTGAATTTCTTTTTCCAAACTGAGTTGCTAGAATCATATGATACATTCTAAAAAAATAGTAATTTTCCTAAGTGCTTAAACATTGAATTTTGTGCCTGAATATTATTCACAACCTCTACATAATTAATTTCTCTAGACTTTTGTGATATACAGTACTTGCTGGCTACTCAGAAAAAAAAAGTTCTTTCTGTTTCAAGTAATGCATTTTATGATGACAATTATTCCCTTTTCATTATTTAATCGGGCATCATGGAATAAATTTGTTTTGTGGCATTTAATTCAAACAGTAAGATCATTTAGGAAACACGTCAATTAATCTTTTATTTTTGGATTAATCTTTTTTCTGTTTGTATGTGGGAAGTTCTGAATTTCCAACAGTGGTGCAATGGGTCTGGAAAAAAAAAAGCTTTATCCCATACAAATAGATGTTTTCTTTCCTGCTTTATTGCAATCAAAGGTCATGAAACAACTGTTTCCACACTTTTTGTAGCATCTAAGTCACCATGTTCATGTGTGTGAGAGCTCACATTGTGCTGTTCATTAGACAGGGGTGCTAATCCCAATCTCCAAAACTAAAGAAGTGAACACTTACACAGAAATATTGCAGTTATGAACTGAGTGTTGTATTTTTCCCTTTTATTAATGATGGCTTATGGATATGGATCTTATTGGTCTAGCAACCAGCCACATCTCTAAAATCAGTTAAATTATGGACTTTGGGAGAATTAATCACATAGTTCTTCTATCTACAGTATATTGTATTATTACTTGATTACATGTCCAGTAATATAGATATAAAACTGGATGTTTCATATGGTGGATCAGGTAATAAGTTAGTGGAGAAGAAATCAGCTTTCTATTTTATATATATATATTATTTCTGTAACTCACTAGAATGTTGGTTATGGTCTTGTTTATGTTTTTTAAAAAAACAAAACAAAATATGACCTCTTAATCTAAAATAATAATTAATCGTCATGTGATCCTCTTCTTGTTTTAACTAAGAATGCAAATGGTGTAATGGCTTTAAAGTTCACACATGCCATTTTTGTACCTAGCCAGTGGCAGGGACACACACACTGTACAGATGAATTACACTGAAATCGTTTGATAAATTAGTATTGTTAAATTGAAAGTATCTTGCATGTAAAAAAAAAATCCAAAGGGGACACTTTATACAACAACCGTGAAGTGGAACCCGCACCCTTCACTGATTCGGTTCTTAAATTCAACGTGATTCCCACATTCCTAGGCCACTGAACCTCAGGTTGTTTGGTTGTTTATATGTGTTAGCATATATAAAGAAATATTTTGGGGTGAGATGTTTCCAAAGCAAGTTAGATACCTTTTGGATTTTAACCTCTTTAGAAGCAGTCGGCTCTTGTTCGATGATTATTTAAAAGAGTTTTTACAAATCAAGTCGTTCCAGTCCTACCTTGTAAAAAAGTATTAAATACTTAAATGCATATTGTCCATATTAGGGTAAATGTATGCGTAGGTTTCCAGTTCAATAGGAAATTTTCAAATAGAAATTCAAATTTCATAATTTCATAAGTCCATGCTAGATCAACAGGATAACTACTTTATTGTATGGGAGAAAATTCATTTATTTGAAAGCTTTTACCTAAAATCTGTATATATTTCTTATTTTACCTCTGATCTTTCTATCAGGCTCTTTCATAATCTTCTGTACATCTAATAAGAAACAGTTTGAGAGTTTTTCAACTAAAGCTGTTAATTCTTGGAGAACTCACAAGATTGGAATGCCCCCCAAAATATAATTTTCCTCTGCAGTATGTAATATTGATTTTCTTTTTTACTCAGAGTTCTAGGCTCAATTTTCTTCTAGCATGCTACTACAAAAGTCAGTCATCACTTTTTCGCACGTTCATTTCATTACGCAATAATGCATTTTCAAAGTACTGTACGTGTGGCAAGAGCACCTCTGTCCCTGCTGGGATCTGATCACGGCTGCTCACAGGCAGCTCAAGCACCACAGCCACTTTCCAGACGGCACTGAACTCGGCTATGCTAAAAGATCAGGACTCCTGCTATGGTTGAATTCAGCAATATACTGGATACAAGGGGGTGATGTCACTGTCCGTAACAAATTCAGTGTGCAAATGATCCCTGTACTATTACAATTGTTTTAACCCTGGAATTTGACATTACCAATACATTTTATATATATACATAAATGGATATACAGTACTAGAAATGTAGTTACATCATGTGTAACAACATAATAATACAGTAATTCTATATTACTAGTTTATAAGACTAAGAGCACAACATGCAGTGAAACTGTGAAAAACATTTAGACTTTTTTCAGTACTTCTCAAACAATGCTACAAAATGTGCAGTGCTTGTTTTCTACCTAGTGAGACAGTGTTACATGATTCTTGCAATACTTCATGTTTTGTTTGTAGCTGGAGAGATTACTTTTCACCTTGATTAGCTTCTGTAGTTGCTTTGTTGTCCACAGGCAATTTGTGCTTCTGCTAACAAAAGGGCTTATAGATTATTAAATGCTTTTGCTACTATATGATGCTGTTTTAAAAGTTTTGCTTTTGTTTCCTTCCTGAAACAGCAATCTCAGTATGCAATACAAATTTATCTATCGCTGTCCAAATATAAAAAAGTGTTCATGTCATGCTTAAGAGAAGGCTGCACAGCTTTACTCTGAGTAGATAAATAAGGCATTAGATTCCTAAACCTGGCTCAAATAAAACTGGTACCCCACAGTAAACTAAGGTACTACGGGTATATTGTAATGACTATTTTATATGTCATTAAAAAGTGTCACCTCTTGAAACATGCCTTGAATTCTAAGCCTGCAGTGTTGATACCGGTGCAGACTAGGTTTAGTTCCAACAAGAATTAAATCACAATGTTTTCTTAAGGTGTTTTAAGATTAATGCTGTTCTTAATTTGTAACCTCTGTAATCGTTACATGAATTCTTGTGCCCTTAGTGTTAAGCCAAGAATGTGGGCAAAATCAAATAAAAGGACTTCCTGTCTAATGTAAGGAGCTTCCCCTGAATTCAGGTACACTTCCACGTTTCAGTGCAGAACGCAACAGGCAACTGGGACAGCGACAATGCAGAATGAAGTCACCGACTTGGGTTAAATCTCGAGCAGACCCAAAAGTATCTGTGGTGTATTTGCAGTGCAGACTATATGTAATGATTATGGTTTTTCCACTTTGCTTTTTGAGTGTAATAAAAAAACCGAAATGTGAGAAGTAAACTTTTAAGTTGATGAATCAGCATCTTGTTTCCATGGTGATAACAATTATATACATATATATATAAATATCTATGAGGGCATGTATTAGTTATTAAATTAATTAAAAAACAACATTAAAACACTAACAATGCATAGCAGCTGCAGTGTGTACATGGCTGATTGAAATAAAATGTACAAGTGTTAAATGTACATGGGTCTGATTGCCTCATTTATTTTGCTTTTCAAAAAAGTCTGTGAATGTTGTGATGATGTGTTCCTTACATGAAGCCTTAGTAAGTTCTCTTAGTGATTCCCAGTGGTGCCAAAAAGTTATCTTTCATTTGGTTATTTCAAACTTTTAAACTATTTTCAGCTTCTTATAGCTACCCACAGTCACATACAAAAGTATTTGGGCAGTAGATAAAAATGCACACAAACACAAAGTTCTGTAAATTCCAACCCTGCAGCTGATAAAAAAATAGATTTAGCTTAATGAATCGACGACCATTCAAAATTTAAAATAAGCAACTATGTGAATAGTACATTATTCACAAAGTCTTAAAGGTGTTCTGTGATTCACTATTTTCACTACATTACACCAGTCATACATCATGGTGTGAATGCAAACTGAGCAAATTAAGCCTGAAATTTAGTTTTCATATACACTGCCCAAAATAAAATGGTAAGGGCCCAATGTCAGACTATTTCACTGTGAAATAATGAAAAATATTTCAGCTACTGTATATGTATTACTGTAGGTATTTTCGCCTCATCCAAACCTTCTGGCATGAACCCTAAACACATATTTGTACATGAAGACAGCTCAGGCGTAGATGGAATCTATGAAAAATGTCTTCAAGTTCTGCTTACATGTGTGCCTATGGAAGACCTACATAATATATTTTTCTATCGTGGAAAGAAGAAGCACTGGAATGTTATGTACTTGCCATTTATTATCCTCTGACCATATTTTAAAAATGCATACAGTATTCCACCAGGTTGAAACCTTACATTAAATTGTGACACAGCAGAAATAAGTGCGGTGGTTCAATTTTTTTTCATAAGCTCATCATATTTCAGTGTGTAGTGGAGCGACCAGGGAAGCACTATACTGAATACTGATTTTCAATAGTGAGCAATTTCTCTCGTTCGCTGTTAATCACACCCATATACAGTAAGACCCCAAGAGGAAAGAAAGAAAAAAAAATATTTGTCTACAGTATATGTCTATTTCATGTTAGTATCTTCCAAAAAAGCTGCATAGTTTTTTATATGTCTTTAAGCGATGCACCTAAGTGTAGAGTATTTTGTCTCATAAAATGGAAACTGACATGCATTACAATCCACTAGATGGCAATATTTAACAAAGAGCAGCAACCTTTATGTCTTGCAAACCCCTTTGATTTAAACATAGGGACTTTGCTGTATTTTCTTATCTCTGTCCATATATTTTATGCCATCTGACGGTGTGGACACCACTGCTTTATACACCACTAAATGATTTGGAAAATCTATTGTTGTACAGGGAAGGTATTGCTTTAAGAGAGGAGCGCTATCATTTTCACACATAATTGTTATCGTTATTGTCCTAGTGTGAGCATGTAAATTCATTTTCTTATCATACGGGAGGGGGGAGGGGGTTGTATAAAACTAAAACGAAATTATAGAAATTATGACATTAAAGATTAAACACCCGCTACGGTCAGAAAGGAAATCTGACCACGCTTATCACATCGCTTCCTTATGCACAGTGTGATGGTGATGCAAAGAGCAAATATTTACAACAGATTATTACTCACAATTTACAAAACTGTATATCCAAGTCTTGTCCTTCGACTCAACATGGACCAACCATAATACAAACTAACCATCGGTTTATGATGGTGATGCCTGTTTCTTTACAACAAAAGTCCCTTCACAGGTCAGTCCTCTGGACCTGATTGGGAAATATTATAACTCTTTCTCTAGACCAAATAATAGATACCAGACTTAAAACTGTACCTGGAGGATACAAAAAGTAAATCTGCTCTCCAAAATAAAAAAAAAACAACAACCCATTGTCCCTAAATTTACAGTATGTCTGCTCTCTGCATTGCTCAGCAATGAAGTTTCCATGCTCAGAGTATATTCGGTTTGCTGGTGTATTGATGTGTGGGAAGCTGGGAATCATTCACAGTGACTTTTACCTTCATCTCTAGGAAATGAGAGAGATACTATCCAATCCTACTGTACGTCTGAGGCACCAAACTAGTCTGTCTCACTAGACCAGCCACTCACCTGTTGGCTTACCATTTCGTTAGCTTGTTTGGACATCTTTCACACATTTCCATCTAATTGTACGTCACACAATAAGGCATGAGGCTCAGTATTTTCAGTTCCAAGCTGTCACAGATTCCAAGCCGTCACAAAATTCCTCTTCTGTTTAGCTTAGTCCACTTGTTCCACTGCTAAGTCCAGTACTGAAACAAAAGGTGCATTTACTTACAGCACGGGCTTCTCAAAAGATCGAGACAGAAAGTGAGTCAAAAAAATAAATAAAAATGACAAGAGGCCAGTTAACCCATTTAGCTCATTTCCCTGCTAGTAGGTAATGGATCCAGGATTCTCATGCAGGCATTTCGAGAAAGAAGCTAGCAGTATCACCTTTGATAACATGGTTTAGTAGATTTACCTTGACTCCCACAGCACACTCAGTAAAAAGTGACTTCTATTCTCAGTCTTAAAGTAATTTCTCCATAGTTTCTACTTTTGTGTACTGGTTTGCATCAGTGCTGATTCACAATAAGGTCATGGGAGTTTCAGCTGCCATTTGGTTATAGAATTACCCCATTCCACTTATATTCATGAAGTTATTACTAATTTATAACTACAGTATAAGGTGTGTAGGTATAGTACTTGGACATACATTTTTGTAGATGTTTTATGGGGAACTAGTTGAACGAGCATTACAGGGGAAACAAAGCAGGATTCAAAATAAATCAATGACGAGATCAGAAGAAATCACACATTTTATTATTACTTAAATATGCGTATCAATCAGTCCTTTACCGTAATGGCAAGTTTATGTACACTGTGTCCCATGGTAAACTGCAGCTGTGCAAATATAGAAAAAAAAGATAAAGCTCCATCTCATTGTGGTGAAGAAAGAACTAGTTTTGATTCCCTCAAAAAATTCTTTTGGAAGACCAACCTGACATATTATAATACTCCAACACCACATTAGATATTAAAATGCCAAACGCCACATTTATTACTTATTCAAATACATTGTTGCCACACTAGCTGTTAACAGATAAAGAAAAGTTACATTTTCCTACACAATTTTATTGGCAAAATGACATGGCTCAATACACTCATATGCGCAAAACTATCTACAAAAAATAGTAAGATAAAGTGTTAACTAGTTAAAGATGGAGTCTGTAACTACTGTATGTCAATTTTGCTTAAGAAAACATCTATTTTAACATTGTTTGAAACTGAGTTGCTAACACAAAGAATTGATATAAAGATTCCATTCAGGACTGAACTACTTGCTGCTCAGAGTAAGACACAATGGCTTATCATGCACTACACATCACAGCATTATATACTGTAGTTTAGCCCCATATGTATTAAAACAATTTAAACAATGCTAGAGGAAGAAAGAAATAAGAATAACCCAGTATCTGCAGGAATATCTATCAATTGCACAATGTAAAAAAAAAATCACAAATTACTAATAAAATATCATGGTACAAATATGCTTTTCCCTCTGGTGATTCAATGGCATTGTATATGTTTTACATTTTATAATAATAAAAATGTTAATATTGTCAATGATTACGTATTGGCAAAGATGAAGCAAAATACATGATTTATCCCTTCTTACTTTCTAACTCTCTGTATGGTCCAGGTATGCTTTATATATTGGAATACATCAAACCAAAAAAGCTGGTAAACTGAGTTCACAAGAAAGCCCAAATATTCCCATAAAAAGCAATTATAGCATTTTACTTCAATCACAACGTCTGTAAAACATCACCATAAAAGCAAGCTAGTTTTATATAAATGTTCTCATATTGTGAGCAAACTGAATCAGAGATTTGAAAGCAGAGCTAAATGGCAGACCTGAAGAGTATCAAATCACATGGATATGAAAACAGAAAATGGAACATCAGGTTTTGTAAACCCAAATTTGTACATTTATTAACTTTCGTAATTATTAGTCCCATTTACAACGAACTCAGTTTATCAGGAATTGCTCATGGGCTTGTGCACTTAGATATACCACAAGCTGCAGAAAATGTGGCCAAACAGCAATATTTAGGATATCGTTAAAACATCTGAAAGATAAATCAAATTTGAAAGAATAGGTAGTAAACGTATATCTCACCCACCAATAATGACCCTAGCAGATATACAAATGTTGTCTAAATAAAACATTTATACAGCCTTAAAAAAACTCCTTTGACTACTGTCCTGAAAATGAGATCCATTAGCATCACACAATGCATTTGAAATAATGACTTTTTTGCGTTCTTGTCTTTATTTCTGCATGGGGCATTTCCACCAATTAAGTGTAAACAACAAAGAATGATGGATTAACAACAAATGGGAGGGAGCAGACAGAAGACTTCGAGAGGCTGGAGCGTGGGGACGCTGGTCGGCTAACAGGAAGAGACTTCTGGCTGCGTCTGTGTATTGTGAAGCCCATTAACTGAAATACAAAGAGAATTCTCTTTACATACAGTACCATTCTGACACTTTCACCCTCCTTGCTGACCAAAACATGAGGAACTCCCCATGAATTAAGTACTGTCTACTAGAACTAGCCTGAACAGTACCTGGTACATTCTGAAATATTTACAGCCCTGTGCCACTCCAATCTTTGAGCAGGAGTGCTTTCAGACAAGGGAGGTGGCCGGGTGGTACTGAACTGGGTGTTCCTTCAGTTTTCAAAATGACTGAGCTTTGGAGAGTGCAGTGGTAAAAGGAGGTTTGTCATCTGCATTTCAAGTCAACACTGCAATGCCTGTTGCTGAGATAGCGTATTCACTTGCCTGAGGAGTCCCGATATTTTGGGTGGTAAGCGTAGAGGGATATTGTGGATTGTTCTTTGTTTTTATTCAGTAACAAAACTGATTTTTCTTCGCAACTGCTTAAGCATTTACACGGCAGATCAGACATACAGTAAGCAGTAAATGTAATTATTTTTTTCACAGTTCAAAGCTTGGAACTAATTAAAAAAACTGCCCTATCATTTTCTGCAGCTAAATGTGAAGTGCTGCAGTTATAATGCTGTGGAGTTTCTTTTATATACCCTCATTTTTCATCCCATATCTGTCTATATTGGACAGCTCTCTCATCCAGCATGATCACTATGACCTTGGCTCTGCTGATGACCAAATTGGTGACACATCGCTTAAACCACACCAGAGCAAATTCTGAACTTTCTCGGCGAAACAGTGGAACGAAAGAAAAGTATTTCGAGTCGAAAGCAAATCTTTGTGACGACATCTGCTTTGAAAAAAAAAAACGATCCGTATTTTGTTGCCGCCTTACTTGACGGGCACGGTGGGGGAGCCCGAACGATGGAAGTGGATGTTCTGCCATTTGCCATCCCTGCGGTGCCACACGCGGGTCTCCTCAGACTGCATGGTCTTGGGCATGCTGCCGCCATCCATGTACTGGGTCAGCCGGATGTACGCTATGCAGGCCGCGTCTTCCCCGATCAGATGCACGTGTGGGTTGAGGATGATGGTGTGGATCGGTTTGTTGCTCTTGGACAGAGCTGGATAAGAAAAAAAGCAGCATTAAAATAAGTGGAAAGAAATCCTGATTCTCCTTGTGCATTTTCTACACCTCTGATGTGAGCCACATGGCGTGACTCAGACTTTTTGGAAGCAAACGAAAGTCACCCAAGAGAATAGACGCAGAAATCATTCTACAGTACAGTATTTTAAAACAATAATAAAACTCTCTGTAATATCGCATGTACTAGATCTGTAACAATTTGATTATTTTGAAAATTAAGAGCAACACATCAGAAAATATACTGTGAATTTTCAAGGTCTCGATCTCACCATTTTCAAAGTAGAACCTGTGGAAATCAGTTCCTTCGACCAGGTTGCCTAAGGCTTCTGGCTCAAATGATGTCAGGCCTGGATCACAGATCTTTCTGCAAAGGCAAAAATCAAAAAGGTACTGCTGTTTGTCACTATGAGATGGATGGTGTTTCATATGTAAGATTTAAAAGTAGCAAAAAAACGTTTCAGTGTAACTTACATATCACATAAAAAAATTAAAACAGAAATCACAGAGATGGACTAATGTACTGTAGCACAGCACAGATTCACTCACGTGTATGCTTCGAAGTCACCACTGTTAATAGCTTCAATCAGCTGCTCAGTAACTTTGATAATCTCCTGTTTACGAGCTGAAACACAGAGGTAACAAGACATCAGTAGTGATAATAACAAACTACTTAATCCTATCTGGTCAAAACAGACAGTGAAAGAAGGTCTTGAATGGTAAAGCACGTGAAAGAAATTCTCGTTTCTTTTTTGTTTAACTGAACTAATAAAGCAGGGGAGTAAATTCTAACCAACAAGGGCATTTTATTACTCCCACTTTAAAAGACGGGATAAGTATGCTGACAAAATCTCATACAAATTATCAAAGAGTATACTTTAAAACAAATACAGTAGGAACACAAACCTTTTAAAAAATCCATATTTACGTACTCATGCACAGTGCCACCTCTTAGAAACCAAAACCTTGACTCACAGTATTCTTCATATACTAAACTTTGGCTTTGTCTGTTAAGGTGTGACTGTGATATTATTTTTTTCAAGATTCCGAGAACAAAAAGTAAAGTGAAGTTTGGGCCGAATTATCAATCCTAATCACGCACACTGACCAAGATATTGCATACAAAACCTATTCAATTTGTAAAGCATCTGCCCAACCATTAATGTGATTTTGATACTGGCTGATGCTGATGTTTGGCTCTTACATTTCTGTCTAAGATGTTAAGAACTAGGGCATGACATTGATCTCTAATGTTGTCGATGTGCAAACTACAGTTGTACAGCCAGAGGATGTTTAAACAACATAAGAATTTTCTGTGCTGTAACTACCCTTTCTGTAATTCCCAGTTCTTAACAGCAGCTCCTGTAGTTTCTCCTGCAGTAGAATCTTTACCAGCAGTTTACCATATCTCACAAAACATTCAATAAGTGTTATCTCTTAGCTGGAAATATAGATATTGTACAGTATATGCAAGGACTCTGAATGCCTTATTAACCTCATGCCACCATGCGGTTGCATGGAACATTACCTGCATACATTTTCTACAGATAGATCACAGTCTCTATATGCATTATTATATCATATATCAACAGATCAATTCTATCACCAGAAAGCGGCTTATTCCTGATGAGGGCTGCAGAAGCCTGAAGCCTATCCTGGAATCACAATGTAAAGGCAGGACAACATCCTGAATGGGATGTGAGCCCATTTCAGGACAAACAGGACAGTGTAAACACACCAGGTATCCTAAACAGAATGTGTTCTGGAAGTGCGACGGAAACACAGACCTAGAGAAAACCAATGCAGACCACAAGGGGAACGTGAACGTACAGTCCAGAACTGAACCCTGGACCTATGAGCTGCAAGGCCACCAAGCTACTCAACAGATGGACTGTCACTGCCTAATTAAAATTATGATTAGTACTCTACACAGCTAGCTTAGGATTCTGCAGTCGCTGATATCCCTGATTCATCACTCAAATAGACTTGGCTCCATTGCTGACAAATCCACCTGACTGAGATTGTGAGTTAGTGCAACCTCCAACAAAACAATGTCTAGAATGTCTACAACAGTCAAAGTCACTGTAATGTCAAATGGTCAGTCCTGAATGATTTATATAAAATTATGCAAACAGCATTTCATCCAATACCTACGATAGTACCTACAATAGTAATTGTTCTAAAAACATACATGCATAAACACTGTGATAAGTTTCTTTTGATGCTCAGTATACTATCATGAAATACTTCAAATCCATATTTATTTGTCACAGTGCAGTTTTCCATATTTTGGAGTGTATTAGTAGTCTTATTATTTATTTTATTATTAGCATATTTGCTTCAGCCTATGGACAGTATTCATTCATGTAATTACAAACCCAAATTGCTAAAAGCAGAATAACTTACTGTATATAAGAGATATAGCTACCCAGGCATTTACCTGTGGTTGAAAATATGAAATGACTTACAACAGTGCAGAAAAAAGACATCTGCTTTATCCTGACTACTATAAAGTCTCAATTCCTGAACTCTACACATAAATTCATCCAAGATACAAAACCAGACTTTTCAAATGCTTTTCAATCCTGGCTGAGTTGCTACAGATTACTGCCGAATGGATGTGGTGATAAACATTTTCATCAAAGTGTTTTCCACCTGAATAATGCATCACTTTTATGACTCAGAAACTATCCACATGAATTACTGTCCTCTTCATACTAATGAAGGTCAAGTTCAGAAATGATGACTACATGAAACAAAATCTCACTCTAGAAACCTAGACATCATTTAAGTCCAGCTGGCTATCTTCCAGTCAAGCTGTTAAAGATACTTGCTCCCCACCACCAAACACATTTACAAAAAAAAAACAAGATTCGCCTATTTTACCTCACAACTAAAATGCTGTTTGATAAAGCAGAAAATATACTTAATTCAACTGACACCAAAACTAAATTGAACAATAAAAACATGATACCTCTTGAAAATAGTTTCACTGAGAGCAGCAAAAGCTCTTGCATTCTCAGTGAAACTATTTTCAATTTCATTTTAGTAATACTGTACATGATAAAATGTAAAAGAACATACTGTAAAAGGGCATTCTTTCTACAAAGCCAAAAGCTGCGGATCCATACTAATGCCAATTCTTATTAAGAGAAGAAAACTGAGAGTAACAATTATTTAGAAATACTCATAAATGTAAACAAACTAAATGCATACATACAGTACAAGAACCGGTATCGCCTTAATATAAAACTATGTGGAACAAAAGTGATGTGGAGTATATTTTTGTGCAAATACAGTAATTATGTGTTTTTTTACAACTCACACTATTTGTCATTGTTACAGTGACATCATGTACAGTATATACGGAAAATTTAGTGTCCTATTTTGCGGCCCTGCCTCTCTACAATGAGTGATACACAATCGTTCTGCTGATTTAATGGCTCAGTCTCTGGATTATTACAACTGGAAAACATCTGTTTAGCATCATTAGTAAAAAAATGTTCCATGACCTCTTCTGTACCCTGTTATACAGACTAGTCTAACTTTCCAAATCCGGAAATCAAAGCTTTGCAGCACTTGTCAAAAACAATTACTAGGATTTCTTAAAATTTATTTCCTTTGCCTACTTTACACATTTTCTCTGCCTCTTGCTTTTGTTATCTTCACATATTAGCTTCCAAGAGATAATTCACAGCTACATAAAGCTCAGTATACAGTACTTCAGTTTAACTCTTTGATGATATGAGGAGAAAGTATGTCTGTTATCTGTCGAACACCCCCACCGCTGAGTCGTCCTGAGTAGTTCTGAAGCCTTCTCTGTTGCCAACCAGTTCTCATCCACACAACTTGGCTTTCCCTGACAAACAGCTGCCTGTGGCTAAACAAGATCATTCTCATTTTTCCCCACATTCCTCTGCGCTTAACGCCTGAAGAACGATGGTGATTTCTAAGTGCCATTTTGACTGCAACGCATTACAGACATGATAATTTAGTCATTGTAAATATCTTGATACCATTCAAATATTGGCACTCCCATGTAGAAGAATGCCCTTCCTTTACAATGAAATCAAGAGGAATCTTTGGCAGGAAAGTTTGACTGTTACCACCGAATCTAGGTACAATGGCACAATAAAGGATATTTAAGGAAAAAATACACACACGTAAAATTAACTGTAAATATAATTAAAACTTAATTGCAATTTACCTACAGGTAAAGGACAATGCACAAAGACAAAATCCAGGTGATCCAATAAATTGTACTGTACATAGACGTTGGGGACCAGAAAGTCACAATATACATTATGGCAATAGGACATACTGTACAGTACCAGTATACTGTGAAGGAGCATATTTCAAACAAAGCAAATATGGAGGGTTCAGAACCATAAAAGGACTAACTTTGCACATGCATCTTGAAGGAGGAGGAACAGAACCAGGTTAGGGACCATAAATCAGACTGAGTGTGTTTCACTTGTAGCATCCAAATACAGTACAGAGGGAAAACAATAAATAAAAATAACCTCACCACCTCTTTTCAAATTGTATCTGGTCAAAACCAACAAAGTAATTTTCTGCTCCACGTAGATTTTTGTGAGATTTCAGTGTTTGAACATGCACAGTTCATGCATCTAAAGTTGGCATGATCACACCTTAACCTACTAGGTGGATCAGTGATGTAAAGCATGGTGGAAAGGAAAGATGCAGGGACATAATGTTTCATAATCATAGTCAAGTGTAATAGCATTACAAGAAGAAGAGTTTTTTTGTGGAGTATTGTGATTCACATTTTTTTTCCATTTGCAGGACAAACTAATCCATGTAGGTTCAGGTCTTTACCATAATACTTTTACAGGCAAGTGAAATACAGTATTATCTGGTCCTAGGATTTTCTGATGACTAAAACAAAACTAAATAAGTTCGGGGCCACATAATAGCTCTTCTGTGTAAAGCTAATGCAAATTCAATCCCAATTCCAACTGTTATATTACGAAACAATTCCATTATCATCTTGGTTTATAGATGCATTTGTAGCAGACAATCACTATCATGCTATTTGCCAACTCCAGCTCCAGTCAGGACTGCCCCAGATGAAAGGCATTTTTATTTTTTTATGTACATTCAAATTGGCCACAAGTGGACATCGACCAGCTTTTTTATTCTTTAGTGCCAAAAATCCATTAGGAACATGCCTGGAATTCCTGACAAAAGCCTTGTCCAGGGAACAGATGGCAAGAATAGATCAGATAAACATTGCAATGATAACGGAAAAAATCTTACACCACTCAAAAAACAACTGACGGTACCAACATATAAACATTATTAAAATTATAATGATAGTCAGGAGTGATATGAACATTTTATTTAGGTAAGGAAAAATTAGTGTTTCCATGATAAATTAAAAAACATATACTAATATATACTAATACTTATACACTAATATACTAATGGTGCATACAATCATTACAGTGGAATGTTTCCACTTAGAGTACTTTGTCTATACTTTTTTTTCTCTCAAATTAACTTGTAGATAACATTACAAGTCACACTTTGAATTGGAAGACTTCTATTTAAAACTGACTCAAATGGGAACAGGCTGTGTTGAACCAAGCATTTTGGCTAGAAAATTCCAGCTTGCTGATTACTACCAACACGATGGCCAAGATGGCGACACTTTCTCAAGCAGCAGCTCCAGAGCCAGAGTAGCAGCCACAGAAACAGACTGAGAAATCCAGCTCTCTAAAAATGCGGAAGGGCAAACAAAATGGAGGGCACTCCGCTGTTATAAATACTTCAATAGAAAATGTGTAACCAATATAGGTGGCAAATAAAAACACCCTTGATTCTCAATTCAGTCCTACTCCTTCAGAGCTGGCAACTTGGCAGAACAGTCCGCCGATTGAAGGAATTATAGACACTGAGGGCAGAGGACATAGGGGATAGGGGTGTTACTACAGAACTAAGTAATTTCCCAACTACTTTACCCCTCCACAGGACTGAGGGCACACAGCGGGAAGGGAGGGTCTCCCCCTGGACTTACACTGAACTGAGGAGCTTGACGACTGGGTGGGCTCAGACTCATGTGACTGACTCTTTGAGTTTGCACTTTCCTTGCACTTGGCTGCAGAATTGACGGAAAGAAACACAACAAATGAACAAACGAAGGTGAGGAAGTAGAGGGCGACCAGCACCTTCAGGACGCCTTGGCAGCAGGCGTGGCCGCTGGGCCAGAGCGAGGACGAGTACCAACAGGATGAAGTGGTGGAAGAGGAAGAGAAGGATGAGTGAACAGAACGGGACCACTCCGGTGTAAAGTCCGGGGACCAGGCTGCAAGAGTTGGGGGAGGAGGAGGATAGAGGAGGAGATGATTGCGGTGGTTAGATGACTCACGGATGTGAGAATGGAAAATTGATTTAAAAAAAAAAAGAAGGCCAGAAAAAGAAAATGAAGGGGTGGACGATGATGCTTTCGAGACGAAAGTTTTGTTTCCGGTGTCGCGGGCGTCCGAGGTAATGAAGAAAACGAAGGGAATGAATGGGAATAAGAACATGAGAAGTGGCATCTCTTCGAATGCTGCAGGGAGTTGCCCTGGAAAATGTTTTATTTTTGGCATATTTGCTTTTTTGACCAACCCCTCATGCGGTTTATATACACTCACATTGAATCCATCCTTTTGGCATTTTCTAGAGAACTCTTTTACAGGAAAAGTGATACAAATTAGTTCTTGAGGAAAGATACAGTATAATATACTGTACAAATATAAAAACCAGAGAGTAAAACATACAGTAAATTGAAAATTCCTATTGATTCCAGTGACTTCAAACAAAAGTGCCACCAAACTACAGGCTTTGTAAAAGGCTTTATAAAACGCGAAAAGAGTTTTAAGATATTTCCTTCAACCAGTGATTCCGTTATTTTGGTGCAGTATCTGCCCTGTGATGGCACGTGATACCATTTGATCCTAATGTCTTTAAGTGCAGGAAAGGCTCTAATGACTTATCTAGGAATGTATAGAGATTACCTTATGGGAAAACACATGTTTTATACATGTGCAAAATCTGTCCGCAGTCAGTTACCAGATCATAGTACTGTACAGTATATCAATTATATGCTCCTGTCTCCAGGAAAAGTGGGACTGTATCATGAAAAACTTTGGCACGTCTATTGTCACACAGCACTACACACCCAAAGACTGTCCAATACATTTCAGTTCCAAGCAAGAGAATCAATTCAGTTTTTTGTTGTTTTTCAAACACAATTTACAAATATTTATACTTGCAATCATAATGCTAGCAACACGACTGAAACTTTTTTTACACATAGAAAATGAAAAATATGTGTTGGCCACAAGCCTCTGTGGAAAACGTAAAGGTTTTTTTTTAAGTAAACGTCTGCATTTTTGTAGAATATAATGTTTTTTAAATCTAAGAACAAAAATGAGAAAGCAAAACAAGGATAATACATTGTTCTTCTTCTTTTCGCTTTGCTAGGAGTTTAAAGAGAAATTCACAGAAAAGATGAGACCTGGTACAGTTAATTCGTCCCTTCTAACATGTCAAAAACAGATACCAAAATAAAAGATGGACCATCCATTCACCACAAAGTAAACTGTAAAACAGTTATCGGCAAACAATGTCATGCTGGAAGCACAACAAATTCTACAATAACTTGACAACACTGTTATCCATAATTAAAATGTGAGAAAGCCATTTAAACAAGCACCAAATGTTTCAACATTTGCCTTTTCATTTTTTAACAACAAAGAAGACAAAATCCAATTTAATAAAAGCTACAATTAAATAGACTAGAAATCATAATTTGACGATGGGCAGCAAGTGACTTTAAAAATATATAAGCAAAACAACATGAAATTTATGTAAACTTGGAAAAGAAACATAGCACAAGCCTGTAACATAGGCAAAAAAAGCTTTTAAAGCAAAAAAAGGAACAAACTAACAAACCTATACTAGGGGCAGAAAAAAGCACAAAATGCATTGGAAGAGAGCATGCAGTTTTAGGGAAAAATAATTGTTAGGATCTGCACAGAAAAAAAAGCAAAAACATGACAAAAGGGTCGAAAAGATGAATTAATGAAGATGTGAGTAAAGGCATGCATTAACAAAAGAAGACACAATTAATACAGGACGCAGTAAACACAAAGCAAAATCCATGGTAGTGTTCTTTAATTCTCAATGCACTATGCAAGACTAGGTTTATCCAAATTATTTAGAGACATTTCCTGGAATGAAATGAGACATCTATAAACAAAGTGATGCATAAATAAAGGCACTACTTTAAATTAAATGGATCTTAACAACCTAAATTAAATATATGGGATATTTAGAGAAAAAAAATGCAATAGTGGGTTGTTAAAAGGACACAGTTTCTCGCACTCATTTGCTGTGCTCTTCAAATTAAATTTGCCCGGTCCTCAAATTAACTCAAGTTCCCCAAAAAGGGTAACACTAATTCTGCCAATAACCTTCTTAGAAATCACATGGCCTTCGTGGTCAATTATGAAAGCCCATACCTTTCACATCTTCATCTTCAATAGTGGTGTTGGTGCTCTCAGTAGACTCCTGTAAAAAAACACACACACATAATGACATGCTGGTTTACAGAAAAACTGACCATGTTTATTGTTTATCAGAAAAACTGAACACGCGAGTAACTACACCACAGGAAGACATACAGTATACATCCATTTCAGAAAAGAAGGATGTAAACAAGCTGTTTGCCAAGGTAAAAATCATAAATAATGCCTTAAACACAGTGGCAGAAACTAAAAATGCAAGGCTACTTTGGTCTGTCAACATGCATGTACAGTATATAGAGTAGTACTATAATGGTCACAAAACCCAAAAGCTTTTTGTAAGTCCTGTCATTTCTATTTCCTTGTATCTGTATGTGAGGCCGTACGAACACGTACTGTATGAAGAGGGGTGGCTGCTGCAGTCTGTTTTTATGGGCAAGCACCAATCACGCAGCAGCCACAATGGGGTGTGAGAGATCTTGTGTGTGCCGATGAGCTCTAAGGTAGGGGAGTCTCTCCTGTGCACACAAAGGTCTCTCTGTAGTGTCCCCACTTCTGTCTGGGGGCATTAACAGGGCTGAGCTTCTGTCTGTACACTGAGGGAGTTCTGGGGGAGTATTTGGGGTCAAAGTACTTGTCTTCCCTTTTGCCAGCCCTCTTCATCTGACTGTTAATCTCTCCAATAAATCTGTTGAACCAAAGCATGTACTGTACATGGTTCATCACATTATACTGTAATTACATGTTGACACAGACTTTGTAGTGGTTCTCAAAATATTGGCATACTGTATCAGGCTTCTTTAATGAATGGTACTGCTACAAACTAGCCCCTGCAAGACTGTCTTTTGATACATGCTGTAAACTAGATGAAATGTGAGAAAACAAAGCTTCATTCTCGCTCTACTGTATATAGTAGATACCATGTCACCATATACATGAAATGTGAATTTATTAAGTACAGCTATCCCTCACATTATGGATCTAATTTGTTCCATATAGGGAATAGGCTACTTTCTTTATTCCTTATGGAGAAAATTAGCTCCATAACATGTGTAAAGTTACCACACGAAAGGTATAAAGTGCCAAATGTTATAATAAGTATTATATAAGTATATATAAGTAAAAATATCATGCCTTAAGCTGGATAAACATGGTGCTCAGTGTTGTTCTGTGCTCTCAGTGGCTGTCGATTCAGTAAAACAAAACTTGACAAGTTTTAACTCTGGATGTCTGCCTTAGTAATGCGTATTAACTCCGCATCAACTACACTTGCAGCAATTTGTGTGATTTTGTTTATTTTGAAATATGGCATGCACTGAAGATGAAGCTAAATTCATGGCTAAATAAATGTCTTGTGTCTCTCACACCACGCACAATTTATTACACAGCACTTGTGCGGTTTATATTCTGTGCAAAGAAAAAAAAAGCACAGAGAACACAAACAACACATGCAAAGCTCACACAAATTATTAAAATCCTTCCCATCTTCTCTTCCATGCACAGAAACAAGATCATGGAAGTTATTAATCAAGATCAACCCTGCGCACACCCAATGTAGACACAATAAAAACATAAAAGCCAACCACAACCTTAAAAATGCAAAACAGAAAGGCATTATTTACACCGGTAGGATCTGTTTGGCCCATCGCCTATAAAATGTGTGACTCACAAATATGTGAAATCATTTCATTTCAGCACATATTCTGAAACAAGGCTGACTACCTGGAACAAGATTTGATATTAACAGAGAGTATGGAGCCATGTTGTCTGAAAATAAGAATTTGTTGGATATTCTGATGCATTATACTTAAATTTAATGAGGATTCTAAGTGACCTTTTTAATTACCCGTATTCTAATCTAGAGAATAAACTAAACAAATATAACCTGTAGTTTGAAATGCTATGCTTCTGGACTGAACTTCTGCCTTAATTGCAGTGTGCAATAATTTCTTTGCAAAAATCTACGTACAGTATATACCGTAACAAGTTACTTGTACATTCAACTAGTTTGACTGCCAAGTTAACAACTAATACATTATCAACAAACTCTTTCATTTACATTTTGATCCATTAAAAAAAAAGAAAATGACAAAATGTGCTCAGTGACACTTCATAAAATCCCAAAAGACACAGTAAGGCAAGAACAAACAAGAACAAAGGACACAAAATCATGCATAAAGTAAATTTATCTTCACCAAAATAGTGCTGTACAATGCAACACTTCTTTAAAAATGTACCCCCAAAAATATTTTATGAAAAACAAATCGTTCATCACCGTGACATGATGAAAATAGCAGAGCAAGGAAACAGACGCAGAAGAGATGTTTAAAACTATTATTTGCAGCCAATAATATCACAGAATTTCCTAAATGCCGCTTGTTAAAACCAACATGCACTTCTGACATCCCACGAAAGTGCTTGTCCGAATACCTTATTTCCATCAGCTGGGTTGTGGATTACTGTGGTTTGAGGCTCCTGAGCAAGAAGAAGAAGATAAAAAGACAGAATTTTCTCTCATGGTCAATACAGTGTTGAGAGCAGCAAAGAAAAGAAAGTGAAAACGAAAATGATGCTGAAGCAAAAGTCACACAGCAGTGCTGGGGGTGGCTGTATGCCACATTTAGCTTTTACTTTCTACAGGACAAGTTCTATTGTTGGCAGCCAGAGCATGCAATAGACCTTATTCAAGATGAGCACACATTCTGAAGACTTACTGTATTATAGCAGTCTGAATACAGAACACAACTGTGCCCCAGTTCAAGCACACTCATCTCCTACCCATCCACGGTGCAGAAATTTACGATTTCGAATGTTTTCTAAAGTTTGTACTTAAATATAAATGAATTAACCTTAACTGCAATTTTAATGACTGTTTCTAGGTTTAAATCTTCATAACTTCATAACTTAATCATTAAATGATCTGTTGATGCCATGGTACAGAAACTGTACATGAAACCCATTTTCGTTGGTAGGAATTCTATATTTCCCTGAATCGATCAGAAACTTTCAATCTGTTTCCTACAGTCTCAGCACAACTTAAAAATTTAGATTGAACCACTAATGTTGTATAAAAAGGACAGTAATAAAAAGTGTTCTTGACGTATTCAGTATTTGCTATGTGGTTTCGATTCTGTACATACAGTATAGAGACGGCTATACTTTGGATTAAGCAGTATTTGAATCAATTTAAAATTCTCCTTCTGGTCCTGACAAACACACACTAAAACATATTTACAAAGGTATTAGAAAGTAGTAAGCTTAGTGTGGAATACCAACTGCAAAATTTATTGTTATTATTAATATTGTTTTGGAGTTTCCAAAAAAAACTCCATTGACAGTATATGAATTTCTTTTCATAACATTTGATATGACTCCCCTGGGAAAATATCAACAGTACACATTTAAGCAAGATTATCACATGTGCGTTGTAGAACACGTTTTCTGGAAAAACCATATGCAAACAAAGAAGGTAATGCTAAATAGGTTAAGTTGGAAAGAAGATATGAAAATCATTCTAGGTCTGGTAAGTATGACAAAATCTGTTAATACAAGGAATGACTTGTAGCCTGTAAATGTGAGAATCTGAATAAGGTCTATTTTCATTGACTGTACCACACCAATGTTAGCTCTTTGCTATACCATTTTGCTATTATGGCACTTAAGAGCTGGTTAAACATGATCTCTCCTTGGCATCACAAGAGCTAATGGTGATACAAAAAGCACAGGACAAGTCCATGAACTGAACCAAAGCATGCAAGCTTTTAACTACAGTACATCTATCACTAGCAACTCCAACAAGCAATGTATGTCTAAGGTCGGTATACTGATTCACAATGGAGCCCTCCACAAAAAAGGACAACTTAGAAATGAGTGGGAAAAAAAATCCACGATCAAAGAAAAATGCAAAATAAAAATCTAAAAGCAGATCAGACAAAAGCAAGGAGAATCGGTGGGGACTTAAGAAAGGAGAAAGTTAGAGTCCAGATGTACCAGAGCTGGAGTAGGTATAGGTTCTTTAGGACTGGTTACTACGTTGGTTTTGTTGTTAATCTGCAGGTGTGTAAAAAAACAAAAAGTAGAAACAGAGAAGCCTTAGACCTTATGACCGACTTTGAAACGAACAACAATTCAAGTCCCCTACAAGGACTCTGTAGGATTTCTATAGGAAAAAAACATTAATATCTATAGCATCATCTTTTCAACACAGCAGTCCTTAAATGATACAACCATGTCAGGTTTTCCAGTGGTAAAATGTTAACCTTGGAAATGAGCATGGAATTGAAAAACTGAAACCAGAGATCTGAAATGCTGACTCTTGAAAGAGTGCCTTGGAACATAAATTATGACCATATATCGCTCAACGAGATCTGTTTATTACAAAAAATTCTTTTTCAAACGTGGACACATTATATTGTATGATCATCAGCAATTTCAAAAAATGACTTAAGCTGCTGTTGGTTTTTCTTTTAAAAAACACATAAAAACTAAAACAAAATACAGAAAATTCTCATTGACTTCTTTAATTTGTATCTTGGTAGTGCTGTACTAGACAGTTAATGCTCTGTGTGATTTCTAGGAATTTATGAATCACTGTTTAGAAAACGGCTGCAACAAGATCTGATTTTGACAAACTAAACAGCTTTTTATGTGAAATTGTGTAATAAGGCTTTGGAAACAATAAGACTCAGTGATTCCCCAAGACTATGGGCTGGATGACATTTTCACACCTCCAGTGTCACTACTGACAGGATGCTAGGAGCTACAGTAAGTTCATACACTCTAACACGCTCTGGAAACTAAGTGGAGCAAAAAAAATATATTTTGAATGTGGTCATAAATATGTGCAAATGAATGCATAGTCTGAGTTACTGCATAGAACAAATTTCTTTTCTCCCTATTTTGACATCTCATCCACAGATGTTAAATTATTAAATATATATTAAACATTCAACATTTACCTTACCAAATCATGTTTTAAAAACATTAAAACAATGTGGTTTGCTACAATCAGAATCTTTCAATTCTATCTGAATGAAATATATTTATTTCACAATGACCACTTTTAGACATGGAGGTAAGCTTCAGGTTATGAATGCAACTCATAGGAGCAATGTGCAAAAAAGAAAACAGAGTAATCTGTAACTGATAAAGATATTGGAACAATACATCTCGCCAATGAACTAGTTGAAAAATCTCTAAAAGAATCCATCAGTCTTTCGATATGTCAATGCAAAGTGATTTCCAAACAAACAGGAAGATACCTCAAATATCAAAATAGTCTATTGACATACAGTATCATTGAGCTCATGGATTTACAGTATACATATGTTTGTCATAGAATGCCCAATATTTTTTTAGTACACACTGACTTCGAAATCAGACATGCTATTTGTCTTTAAATGAAAGTAAGCTTCTCGTTTAAAGTAAGGACTATTCTTTCCCAAATCCTTAAATTCTGAAATCCATTTATGGCACAATAGAAAAAGAAATACCATGTAATGTGCTACTGTATCTAGTTGTCTTAACCCATCCACCTAATATATCCCCGAAACAAACAATATTAAGCAGTGCATTTCCTATAGCAGTTCCTTCTTTCAGGACACGTTTGGGGGGCTGCAGGGTGAGGGTGCAATCTTTTCGAGCAAAATCCTCACCATTGTTTGAATACTTGAGGTGGACTTCCTTTTCTGAATTGAACAACCAGAGAGAAAGGAAAGAAGACAGATTTGACCCGATTAAAAACTGAAACCACTCATATTTCTGCACCAACGTGTTTGTAAGGGAAATAGGGAATAAATCCAATACAACTATCATAAATTATGTATAATGTATCACACAATAGTGGGCATGGAAATATTTAGCAATGACTAAATGTATGTACTGTATGCTTATTGTATCTACTTAAGACTTAAGGCTTAGGACTGCCCATATTGGTGACATCCACTTACAGTATATCAGCATACAGTACCAAGAACTTGGGAGATTCATAATAAAACTGAAGTCAGGGAGAATATTCAGTTACCCATTTTAGAGCACTTACACAAATGCTCGACTACAGTACATCATTCAAAATGTGAAAATTCTAAGTACTCACTGCAGGTTTTAAAACTATTAAGTAACCCAGAATTGCTTTCAAAAGATGTGAAAGGCAGCAATTTTATGTAAGTTCACTAGACATGCTCATCAAGGTTTTCATCATACATGAGTGCAAAAGTAAAAGAAACCAAACTGCTGTAGATAAATTAACTACATACTA